ACTACCCTGAAAAGGAAACGCGAAAAATAACAATTCGCAACTCTAAAAGCAAACGCGATAATTGGATATTCGCAACTCTATGTATATCATAATCGCGAGTTATGGGGAGGAATGACTGGCATGTATGGTGCAATCATGTACCATCGGGTACATGCATACGTGAGCCAGCCAGAAAAATAAACTAACTACAATTACAGACGAGTCAAGTGACAAAGTAGTAACATGAATGACTTTCCATCCTCATCCGAGGATGAAGATGAAAAGCCATTTGTTGTAGCCCACTCTTGAAACAGTTTGTCAGGGCCTCTTCAGCCCATATAGAGCCTTTTCTTTCTTCGGCGGTCCTGCCGGTGCCTGAAACTTACTTAAGACCGGGCTCGAGATTTTGTGCAATACGTAGTCTTCCAACAATATACGAATTGTTGCAAGAGCATACGTGGTGAATCTCGAGGGGGACGAACGTTTCGAAAGGGACCTAATCGCGACCGCGAGCGCGAGAGAGCGACTTTAAGAGCCGCGCGATTCGAGGAGTCGAAAATAAAGCTAAAGCAAACAGCATGCACCGTTTGAATCAGCAAGATTTCTACTCTCGAGATCGTAACTACAGGAACAGAACTGCCACGCGAAAACGCGCCTGCCCGAATTACTAATGTGGACAGTCCTGCCCTGACCCTACCTACTTAGGTTTAAACACACACACACCAGAGAATAAGTTACCTACCTACCTAGCCCTATATTTAAAAAATTGCAAAACTCATTCTCGCAAACATACACTCCACGGTTCTCATTCTCAATGTCCGGGCGCGACCTAAACTAGAGAGGACTCCCCGGGGCTCCTCCGACACCCGGACACAACCTCATTCATACTCTAAATGTACGTACCATTTCCTGAAAACGACTGACAAAGGCTAGTGTCCATTGCGTATTTTTATTGTATACATAAACATTTGCATAGAACGTTTTAATATATGGAATGTAGTCTTCACTAAAATATATTGTATCTATGTATCATTATAGAAGATTGAAAAATATTAAGATTGAAATCTATTAAGTATTTGATCGTATTACTTTCATCAATGTAATATCAACAATTTTCAAATAAATGGTAAATTGAAATTTGATATTATGAAAATTCTGTATGGAAATTATAATTATAAATATTTCTGAAACGACGCACTTCCACAACCTAACCACAGCACACATATGTGGACAGTACGTCGCGCACGATTCACTAACCAATGTCAGTCGATACATTATTAGAAATTGTTATAATCTAAGTCATCGTGCCCGTTGCCCTCGCTCATGCAAATAGCACCTGGGCATGTGCATGAACTTGGGCAACGAACACGGAAAGATTAGCCTGAAAATCCTGACTAAAAAAAGTTGTTAATTAAATGTAGCTAAACGGTAGTTTTTATTTAATTTTTAATCAAAAAGACTCGACTTATTATATCAAATATATCAACAATAAAATACATTAATATTGAAAAATATTATTTAAGAAAACTATTATAATTGAAATTTAATTATGTGAAATGAAAGATTTTATGATAATTTACTTTAAAATTGAATTAACTTGTTTGAAAATTGAAATATATTATTGAAATAAATTTAAAAAATTCAACAATTCATAATCGATTCTATCGTCAAAGTAAATTTCTAAAAAGGTGAAACTAGTATACAACACATGTTACTTTGACTCAAAAATCGATCAGTCGCGAAATGCCTTCTTGCACATAAAATACATTAGATACGATCAATATTTAAGAATTATATCAATATTATCAAAATTACTGTATAACGTCATAGTAATTATTTTATTCAATCTATAATTCATGTAAAGTTAATAAAAATATTTCATATATTTTATAGAGATTGTAATGTTTAATGTAATATTTATTTATAACATTAAGAAACGCGAGTGCAAGAAGACCCTAGCCTGCACTAAAAAAATATGACAATTTGTGTTACTACTCACGGGTATTTTTCATACCCGTGGTCACTTGACTCGTCAAAAATAGCAATAATACAACTGGTCACCCGTGTTGATTCGGATCTTTCATCCTACAACATGATTGGGGACCAGAGGAACATAAACGCATGCGATTCACTCAATAGTAGAATGTAAATGCTCGGGTGACGATGTTGACCACTTGAAGTCATCGACGAAGTCAGCACGGTCCTGTTGGTTTCCAGGTTGAAACTGCAAGAATGCAAGAAAACAATTAGAATCCATTGTTAAAATTACAGAGATTTTTAATTAAAAATTTCAAAGTATAAATACTTACGTTGTTCGCTCGTGGTCCATCGCCCGATACCCCCCCGGGTACTGCAGCTGGTTTTCAAAATCACGTTCAGACTCTGTAAAAAGACTGTAAGAAAACAATTAGAATCTATTGTTAAAACTACAGAGATTTTTAATTATAAATTTGAAGGTATAAATTTGTACTTACATTGTTCGCTCGTGGAGCACCGCCAAAATAATCCTCTTCAATGATGCACTGACTTTAATTCCGGTAACGAGGAGTTTAAATTTCAAATTGAAAAAATAATTAATTTGATTCGAAAGTATTAAATTAGATTACCGCGACCGAAGATTCATATCGGCGAGCAAATGATTCTATTATCGCGATTCAGAAAACAAGAGCCACGATGCTCGGGAAGTAATTTAATATTGCGTGGGAAACACTGCCTCTATTCTCGCGTTTGCCTAACACCGTATACGACAACGTGCTTGGGGTCACTTTGCCCCGAGAAACAAACTTGTTGCTACGCACAATCACTGAATCTACCGGCCGCATTGCGCGCGGCCAACAAATTTCCTGGAAAGAAAAGAGCTGAAAAGAATGGGGGAATGGAAGAAACAAAACAAGCACACCTGTGTGCTTAGCCTACTGGTTTTCTATTTTCTTCGTCTTACTAGAGTTCGTCAACAAAAATACTGCTTTACTTAATACTACTGCATACATAATTTGCCACGTAAAAGTTCAACGCCACGAAGGCGAAATATTCTCAATCAATGAGAATTTATAAATATTATATCGCTAAGTTTCATAGTTAGAGCTGTAAGCATGGTTATGTTTACTTTACCGAACGTTAGAATATCCCGTAATTTTTATAAATATTCCGAAATTTGCGAGAATTAAAGTTCGTTGGTTATTTATGCTTAAATAGCATATTACAACTTCGCAATTACTACGTTTTCTGAAACTTGCATCGAAATATATATGGAAATTGCAATTACAACAATTCATAAAGAAAGAAATTTAAACAATCAATTAAATATCACTTGGAAATATTCAATCGCGATCAGAGTACAGTTAAATATAAACTATTTCAATTTATCGTTGATATCTACCGACGCCATTTTGGTATACTTCGATATACATCGAAATGGATAAACAGTTTGTTAACGATTTTCATATTTTATCTTAACAATGGCCGATTAGAAAATTATAATCATGCTTGCAACGAATGATTTAATAAAGGAATAAAAATGTATAAATATTAATATACCCGTTAATTGTTGTTATAATTACTTAAACGTTACCAATATTCTTCCCTCCAAAATTCGTCGACTCGTCTGCCATCTGTCATGGTGTCGTTTACGCGCCAATAAAACTTTTCATGGCGTCGAATTTCAATCAGGGACTGCGACAGAAATAAAATACAAATTAAACAATGATTGATAATAATGAGGAAATATCAAAAGGTTGGAAATTCGTACCTTCGTTGGTCGCGAAACGCCGACACGTCTTATTATTTCTTGTATTTCGAAAAGGAATTTCTTGATTTCGAATTCCAATAAGAGACTGTAACAGAAACGAAATAAAGATCCATTAAAGTACATAAACGATTATTATAATTATTATTGTATTGCAAGAGATCGTAATTAAGACGCGAATAGTAATGATGGAAAGATCAACAGGTTAGAATTACGCACCTCGGTCGCGAAACGCCGATACGTCTTGACACGTCTTGCTACGTTAATTTTCAAAGTACGAATGATGGCTCTTCGCTGTGCTCGGCAACGCTCGCCAATTAGGCGGCGGGGTGGGGGAAGACCCGATGTCTCACGAAGCTTGTATTACGAACGCGAGGGATGCTTCAAGTAAAAACCGCGAATGCAAGAAATAAGAACGAAGGCTTACTAGAACATATAATTAAGAATAACTCACACTTTTGTCGATTTATAGTAACAGATGACAAAATTCTTGAATTTCTTAACATTATTCACTTCGATAATTACATGGAAATTATTCACAACTTTAACTGGTCAAAGAATCGCGAATAATTCGTACTTCTCAGCTCATATGCATTTAAACACACTAGTCTGCCTACCACACTAATTCAATGGGTTTCTCAACTGACCACCGTCCATGGGAAGAGGACGCTAAAATCAACTCTCGATTTTTATGTCGGTATGGCAGTGAGATTGAACCATGAAAGTCCATAAGGTGTAAGATCTACTCGTACACCTTGTCTGTGATAATATTTATAAATTATTATTCATCTTCTTAAAGTTCAATGTTTAACATTTGAAAATAAGAAAGTAACAAATAAAATTTAAAGATTAACATTTCATATTTTTTATTCGTTTAATTTTAAAGTTGACTTATTGTTAATTTATTATGTACATAAATATATGAACATTGCTGATCTAGTTCAAAATAAATAATAATTTTTTTAATACTTTTTTCAAATTTAGAACAATTTATTAGAATTGTATCTTGTAGAAATATTATTGATAAATATTTTTTGTAATTTCAACCAACTGTAACAGATTAATAAAATTTTTAAAAAGCCATATTAAAATTTAGCAAATCGAAATTAAATGTAAACATATAAATTTATGTGAACAATACTTATTTGTTATATAACAATGTTATATTTGTATTATTTCAAATTTAAGACGATGCATTGGAATTATATTTTGCAGAAGTATTATTGATAAGTATTTTTATAATTTCAAGCGATTGTAACAAATTAATATAATTTTTAGAAAACCATATTAAAATTTAGTAAATTGAAATTTATGTGAACAATGTTTATATGTTTAAACGTTGAAAAACAACCATATTATATGTTACTATACAAATTGAAGGTTACGGTAGAAAAAGCGTCAAGATATTTTACATTGTCTAAAATATAATGCACTTTAATATATCACTTGTGTAATAAAGACAGCAATAAAAATGTAATACATAAAAAGTGATACCAGTATTCTAAAGTATAAAAAAACACGTCGTCGACCCATTATAAAAACACTTTTATGGTTATGTTATGAACATATTTCAAAATATTTTTTCGTTTTAAAATATGAGTTCACGACACGAATTTAATAATAAATCTAACTTCGAATATCAATACGATGATAAACAAAAGAAAGAGACCTATAAAAAATATGACAGAGAGTGTAAAAACTATGATTTCAGCAAATACAAGCATGAATTGAACAAAATATTTTCAGGAAATATAAATGTAGTACAAGATATTGATGATTTTTGGAAATTCGTCAGTAAATATGAGGCTGTACAAAAGAAATTAAAAACATCTGATACTTCACCTGATTTTTCTTTAAATACAATTGGTGTACCAAAAGTATATCACAAATTACACTGCATAAATTTTAAACTAAGTTTCAATTTCAACGATTTGTTTGCCCGTGTTCCACCTACTGAAGCTTTAACAAAAGAGCAATTATTAAAATTTCAAAACATAATTGTTTTGTACTTGGACTTCAAACAGAAAGAAAAATTTGCAAAATTAAAAAAGCTTAGGGAATCCCAAGTGAATTTGCCAGTTAATCAGTACAAACATAAGATCACCGAAGCAGTAAAAAAAGAACGGGTAGTCATCATAGCTGGTGATACTGGTTGTGGAAAATCTACTCAAGTGCCTCAATATTTATATAAAGCAGGCCTTCAAAAGATTGGTTAGCGTAACAATTATTTTATGCTTAAAATAAAGAATATCCTGTAATAAAAAAATTTATTTTTATATAATGATTTTTTTACAGCATGTACGCAACCTAGAAGAATAGCATGTATATCTTTGGCCAAGCGTGTTGCTTTTGAGACACTGACAGAAAATCATAGTGATGTTGGTTATCAAATTCGCTTTGAGAAACAAAGAAATCAAGAAACTAGAATTACCTTTATAACGGAAGGTTTACTGTTGAGACAGGTAAAAACATAATCAATTGATAATATTTCAGATTGTATATTATACATTATACTTTTTGGGTAGTTATCTGGTGAATCTGAACTATTGCCTTATGATGTGGTTGTTTTGGATGAGGTACACGAACGTCATTTACATGGAGATTTCCTTCTTGGCATTATGAAGTGTGTCATTAATCAAAGAAATGATTTAAAATTAGTACTTATGTCTGCTACTATTAACATTGAACTTTTTAGTAATTACTTTGCAAAAGAAGATGTTAAAGTAATACAGGTATATTTATATTTATTTACAACTGACAACTATTTTTGAGAAACCCTTGTAACAATGAATAATCAGTATAACTTGTTTGTATGTATAGGTTCCTGGAAGACTGTATCCGATTCAATTATTATATAGACCAGTTACTATAGAAGATATTCGATATAAAAATGATAGATTCAATCCAAGTCCTTACATTCAAATAATGCAATTAATCGATAAAAAATATCCAGGCAAAAGATATTACTTAATGCATTAAATTTAATTTTCAATCATACCATACTAACAATGTATTTCTTTTAGTGGATGAAAAAGGCGATTTACTAATATTTTTAAGTGGTATGAGCGAAATTACGGCAGTTGTAGATGCGGCAAAAGAGTATAGTCAGAAAAAAAATAACTGGATCGTTCTACCACTTCATAGCACTTTATCCATTAGTGAGCAAGATAAAGTAAAATTTTCTAAACATACTTTTGTTTCAAAAAGCACACATTTGCAATTAAACAAATTAAATTTATTCTCTTCTTAAAGGTATTTGATTATGCTCCTGATGGAGTGAGAAAGTGTATTGTATCTACTAATATTGCCGAAACTTCTATTACTATTGATGGAATCAGATTTGTTGCTGATAGTGGGAAAGTGAAGGAAATGAGTTATGATCCATCATGCAAAATGCAACGACTTAAAGAATTTTGGATTAGTAAAGCTAGTGCGGAGCAACGGAAAGGAAGAGCTGGTAGAACTGGACCTGGTGTGTGCTATAGGTATTGTAATAAATTATACACGTTTCGTAATATTTTTATAATTTGATGTAATAGAAATTTGAAACAACAAATACTACTGAACAGATTGTACTCGGAAGAAGAATACAAGGCTTTAGAAAAGTATTCAATGCCAGAATTACAACGTGTGCCTTTAGATTCTTTACTATTACAAATGATAGCAATGGGGTTACCAGATACACGAAAATTTCCATTCATAGAACCACCACCAGCAGAAAGTATAGAAAACTCTATATTATCTTTAAAAGATCATGTTAGTAAATTTTCATTAAATTTTTATTAAATATAGAATCAAGTAATAATTGAAATATACTTTTTGTGTTTCAGGGTGCGCTTACAAACAATGAAAAAATAACTTGCATTGGAAAAACACTTGCACGTCTACCCGTCGATATAACAATAGGGAAAATGTTAATAATGGGCTCAATTTTTCATCAAGTAGAACCGGTATTATCATTAGCTGCTGCTTTAAGCATACAAACACCATTTACAAATAGAGCATACAGAGATTCGGAGTGTGAGGTAATAGAAAGTAATTTATAAATAAATTAAATTCTTCTAAATTTCGTTTTTCAACATATTGATTTAATACTGTAAAGACATCCAGAAAGAAGTTGGAATCTGACCATGGTGATCCAATAACGTTACTAAACGCATTTAAAGAATGGTTAGAAATAAAACAACAAAGTTCACAAGAATCTAGAGGTAGCGGAAGTAGTAGTAGAAAATGGTGCAAAAGAAGAGGTCTAGAAGAACAAAGATTTTACGAAATGATAAAATTGAGAACTCAATTTAAGGATTTACTTCAGGTTAATGAATATCTACTTAACGTTAATTCGTCAGATTAATCGGAATACTTGATTACTCAACACGGCTATTTGTAATTTATAGGATTGCAGTTTATTAAGGTGTTTTCCAGAACCAGATTCTTCTATGACTAGTGCAGAACGTGCTATTAGACATGGAGAATTAAAACTCCTAAAATCTTTAAAAAGAACCTATAAACAAAGTGGTCCCAGGAAACGAAAACAATTAAAGCTAGAATCGTTTGATATACAGTTAGAAGATAACGATCACGATGATGGCGAAATTGACATAAAAGATATTGAATTTCGAATGAGAAATGATCCAAATCAAGTTCAAAGTCTATTGACAGCAGCCACTGCATGCAGTTATAAAGACTTGACAATGTTAAAAATAATATTATGCAGCGGTTTATATCCGCAATTTGCGTGTGCTGATGAATTTAATTATTGTAAGGTAATATAATTTTGCATACACAGTAACATTATTATTTACCGATATATAATGTAAAATTTTATAGTCGACAAGCGAGCAATTATTTCATACAAAAGCGAAACCATATATTGCTCTACATCCAACGAGTTTCTTCGGAAATCATCCTCAAGTATTACAACTAGAAGAAGCTGATATTGTATCAATACCAGGATTCAAAAGTAAAACTCCCGTTAGTTCGAAACATACTATATTAGCATATTTGTAAGTTTTTTAACGATATCTTAAAAACGTACTCAATTTTTCACTTACTTGATTACACGTATATTGACTTAATTTCAATTGCCAGATCTCTTTTGGAAACAACAAAACCTTATTTAGTGAATACGCTTAGAATGCCTGCTGCGCAAACGTTACTTTTATTCTCACGTGAAATTGATACAAATAGTACATTTTTAATGTAAGTATAAATTATAAATTTTATATTTAATTTTTAAAATAAATTATATGCAAGACGAGACAGAAATTAATTTGTGACCATCGAAAGGGGGACTAATTTATGTCTCACTCTGTATATTTAATTGTATAAATATTCTTTTTTATATTTTGTAGAATAGTATGCGATTCGTGGTTAGCATTAGAATTTCCTGTACCCGACAGTGGTCAAACTTTATTGATGAAAGCTACCAAATTACGAAATAAATGGGATTTTTTATTAAATCAACAATTACAAGGTATACAGTATTAAATGTAACGTATTTAAGAATTATACTTTGTTACTTCGTCTTTTCTAAAGCATAATTCTTAATATAATTTAAAAAAAAAATAATACATTAATATAGTAATTTAAATGTTACAAATACTATATAGAGTCCAATGCCGGTCACGATGAGAAACAAGATTTTAATGAAATAGAACAAACACTTACTCGGGATCTAATTGAATACATGCACACCACAATTCCATACACATTAAAACGACTTTTACCTGCTGATCTTAAAAGCATGTATGTGGGATCTGAAGAAAATAATACATCCATAAATCCAAACCCTTTTCAACCTGATTTTACGGTAACCCCTAATTCAACTAAAGGAGGGGTTCGTGTAACAAACATAATTACATATAACTGGTAAATTATTAATTATTATGTTTCTAATATAATCATATTGCAAATCAAGATATAAGATTTATGATTTCTTTTTTTCAGTTTGAGAGAAACAGAATGGAGCGATAAACTTTCTATAGAAATGTCGGAAACGGAATGGAATTGTCAAAATTGTAATACACAAGCAATTCTTACTAGTATAGAAAAACTACAGCATCAGGAATCTTGTAAGCACCAACATACAAAGGAAACTGAAAGAGTTCCTGAAAATATAAAACGTAAACCTAATACACAACTATATGAATGTTTTGATTGTGCACAAACATTATACCTGACACCAATTGAAATACTTAAGCATAAAAAATCACATGTTAAATAATCTCTTTTATACCACATATAGTTTCAATTAAAAATTCTTATATAAGAAATGTATTTTATACTTTAATTTGATTTAAATACATGTACATTTTTTCACTTAAATTTAACATTTCAATATATACTTATTATTCTTACAGTGATGGATTTACAATTATCACAATTTTATTTAGTTATTATAACATAACATCTATACAATACATATATAAATTACGTCCAAGGTAAAAAGTTTGGAAACATAAAACAACCTATAAATACATATCCTAGAAAGTATGATAATATAAGCTTATCCTTCAAAACATATCTCTTTGGAATTAGAAAAAATAATCTCCATTTAGTAAACATAGTTTCTCCATTTTCATTCATCATGTTATTGTTATGTGTGTTAGACATGGTTAAAGCACAATACCAATATATCAATGGACTTGCTGAGCTTATTAAACGTGTGCTTACTTGAATATGTACGAAAAGAATACAAAATACAGTCAAAAATAAACCATGAAGAATGAACACTAACATTTCTGATGGATATTTATTTGTGGTAACAAGCTCTTTATTCTCAGTACTTTTAACGAACCCCAATGTATAAAAATATTTTCTGTGCTCAAGAAAATATTCTTTTATACATGTAATCATAATAACCAATATTGGAAATGCTAGAATAAAATTTGGTATCTGTTTTAGTTCATAGTAATTGAGAAAGCCTACATTCCAGTATTTCGTTTGTATATATGAGTATGCAATTGGAATCTTAGCATGACACCATTCTATGTTATTACTACCTGGCAATACTAAATTATTAATTCTACTGTGACTATTAATATGTTTTGGAATAAATATTTGATTAGAACGAGGAATACAAAATGTAATGTAATTATATATGTGTAACAACATAAAAGGAGCTATTGATATAATTAACGTATTACACATTAACAAAATACTTTTTAAAGTAGTTTTTCTAAACAAAAATTGACCTAATGCTTTCAATGAAAAATTATTATACTTTGTTGAAAAACTATGGCATAATTCTTTTAATCCAAAATATATAGGAAAACCAATGTTGACTATACCATTTGATCTTGTAAGAATAGATAAACCTATTGGAAAAGATACATATAGATCATATTTAATAGATCTTAACATACTGTAATATGTTAAATAAGTAAACAAAGATTCTGAATAAATAGCAGAAAAAAATATAGTAGCTGGATTTATGCAATAAAGTATTGCTGCTTTATAAGCTAGATTTTTCTTTTTCAATACTATCGTACTTAAATCATAAAATATAATAGCAGATTTTACAAAACATGTAGTATTAATTAATATGGCTGCTATAATTATAGAGCTGTGAGTATTTAACATAAAGAATACTTTTCTTATAAAAGTAGCAGTAATTCGAATTAATATGGGATATAATGGATAGAATGCCAAAGTATTTTCATATGTATAACCATATTTGGCAATATGTATAAAGTATTCACCATCCCAGCGTGTAAGACCACCAAAGAAAAATGTAACTATATTATCATATAATGAAATCTTTTCGCGATTATCGACAGGACTTCTAAATGCATCTGCATGATGATCAGGGCATACAAAATTAAATATAAATTGTAAAACTAAAACTGTTATTCTACTAAGTATCGCAAACCAAAAAATCTTTTTTCGTGGTTCATTCATTATTATACAATTACATTACATAAAAATGTGTGCATTTAATACTTAATTGTATTATACTTATTCTTTACCAGAATTTACTTAATAACAGCTTTAAATGTGATTCAGTCTTCTTCATTTCCTGTGCCTCTTATCAAGCAAAGATAGAGATATTATATTACATATAACGAGTGGTTCTTTTCCTGCCCACAGTTCTTATTTTAGAAGCGCGTAAAACTAGAACAAATATTTAAATCACAGTACATTAATGAATCTTTCAAATATCGCCAGTCATTATTGAGATAAAATATGCACGCTTCATATTATTTAATTGTTATTTACTGTTGTTTCCCATTATTCAATTGCAATTCTACACTTCCTAACAAGTCAGTAAAGTTAACATGTAAGTATGGATCTCAGTATCTTAATATTATATCATGTTATTGTGCATTATATAATATTATAAATAAAATAGTGTTAATATAATAATAATACAACTTCAAAATATCTGATTTAAAGATATTAAAAAGCCAAGTAACATTGAAATTGTGAAGGATAAGCAGAGGTTGTTGGACTGGTTATTAACTGGATCTTGGGAAAACACTAATGTTTATGAGTATAAAGCAAAAGCAACAGAATATCCTGGATATGATGGATGGTATAATAATATTGGTCGACCGAAATTGGGAGCAATTGATACTCCTTTATTAAGAAGATGGCCAGCTGCTTATGAAGATGGTGTATATAAGCCTTCAGGTACTAATAGGCCAGAACCATTGGAGCTAAGTGATAAACTTCTCAGTGGTAATATTGGATCTAAATCCAGAACAGGCAAAAATGCATTACTTGTATTTTTCGGTATGTTACAAGATATTAAATTTATTTTTAAGAGAACATAATCAATATTCCATTTAATTATGATTACAATTACAATGTATTTAGGGCAACATGTTGTAGAAGAAATTTTGGATGCACAAAGGCCAACATGTCCACCAGAATATTTCAATATTAAAATTCCAGATGGGCATGATTACAGAATCAAACCTGGACATTCTGAAATGCCAGTATTACGTACACGTTATGATATGAGAACCGGGCACTCTCCTAATAATCCACGTCAACAGGTTTCTAAATTCTGTTTAACGACACAATTAGTCATTTAATAGTTACAGATTAAAAATAGTACATTGCAGTTGAACGAAATAACTCCTTTTTTGGATGGTGGACTCATCTATGGTACTTCAAAAGCATGGTCAAATGTTTTAAGAACTTATTCAAATGGTACCTTTGATCAGAATGGTTTACTTGCAACATCCCACGATAATTTATATCCTGAATATAATACTGCTAGACTACCCATGTTTAACCCACCACCTCCACTTCATCATCATAAATATATTACACAGCATCATACAGAGAAAGTTGAACGATTTTTTAGTAAGTAAAATTTTATTTGAAAGACAAATAACAGATTTATATTTTCATACCACAAACTTTCTTAGCAAAATCTACAATATGATGATCTTTAGGTGTACACTCGTATTCAATATTTTCTGCATATGGCATAGGTACATCAATACCTGTGCAACGAACAGCCGGTGCATCAAGTTGAAAAAATATTGGATTTTCCATTACTGTAGCCACTATTTCAGAACCCACTCCACAAATAGGCCATCCCAATTCTACGGTCATTAATCTATGGGTTTTTGTAACCGACTTAAAAATTGTCTCCCAATCTAATGGTCTAAGAGAACGTAAATTAATAACTTCTGCTTCTATTCCTTCTCCTGCTAGAATTTCAGCTGCTTGCATTGTATAGAGAGTAGCTTGACCATGTGATGTTAAAGTAATATGGTTACCCGATTTTTCAATTTTAGCTTTACCAATAGGTATCATAAAATCTTTATCCATAACTTCATCCGATACAGGAAATTCGATATTATAAAGTAATTCACTTTCTAAAAGTATAACTGGATCAGGATCTCTGACAGCAGCTTTCAAAGATCCCCTGTAATCTTCACAGGTTGTAGGTGACATAACTTTTAAACCAGGCACGCTCATATACCATGCAGCAAAACACTGAGAATGTTGTGCAGCTAAACCTTTAGCATTACCATTTGGACCACGAAACACAATGGGTACACCATATTTTCCTGCGCTCATATATAAATTCTTAGCTGCGCCATTTATTACACGATCTATAGCTTGCATTGAAAAATTAAATGTCATAAATTCACATATTGGTTTTAAACCACCGAGTGCTGCTCCAATAGCTAAACCACAAAATCCTGCTTCTGTTATGGGTGTATCAATTAATCTTTTATCCCCATATTTTTTCCAGAGCCCTCTTGTTACTTTATATGCACCATCATACTGTGCAACTTCCTCCCCCAAAATAAATACTTTTTCATCTCTTGCTAATTCTTCATCGAGAGCTGAATTTAATGCATCTCTTACACTCATTTTTGTGATAGATCTATAGAATTTCCTTTGAGAAATATGTGATATATTTGATAATATTTTAATTCTTAAGGAGTACAAAGAGTGCATTGTGAACAATTAATAAAGTAAATATGGTGCAATTGTATGTTCTAGAGCTAGGAAATCCAAGAGGGAATGAAAATCCGTTTCTTCTCACTTTTGGTATAATTTGGTTTAGATGGCATAATCATGTAGCAAGATACATAAAACACCAGTGTCCTGATTGTTCAAGTGAAAAAGTTTACAATGAAGCTCGAAAATGGGTAATAGCAACGCAACAACACATTGTTACTAATGAATGGTTACCTGAATGGTTAGGAAACGAACTTCCTAAATACAATGGTAATGTATTTATAAAAATTCCGTAATTTATACAACTTATAAAAGATACATTATCTTTATCAGATTTTGTACCAATTTAAGTTCAATCACTTTTCAAAAGGTTACAATCCAAACATCGATCCCCAAATAGAACAATTTTTTCAAGCAGCAGCTTTTCGATTTGGTCACACTTTGGTTCCACCAGGTACTACTCAAATGATTTTGTTAATTTAATTAGAAATAATATAAACATTTTACATATCATAATGAATATAAACAATTACATATTATAGTATATATAGTTATTTTTCCATGGCCTACTTTAAGAACTTGTTTTTTTTTTTCATGTGAGAATTTGTTAACTTTCGACAAATAAGAACACTACTTGAAAAAATAAAAATAAAAAGGGCATAATTCAATATTATTTCAATAGGTGTTTATCTGCGAGACTATGGAAGAAATGGTTGTAAACTAGAACAAAATTCTTGTGCAATTAGAACTTGTAATAATTACTGGATGTCAGAGGTATTGTACTAAACAAATTGAATATTGTTTGTGTTATTTTAAAACCACTATTTTCTGTCTAGAATTCCATTTTTGCAAACATGACAAAAGTAGAGGGAGTTATTGATATTGAAAAATTAATAATGGGAATGGCTGTCCAATTAAGCGAAGAAGAAGATCACAAAATCATTGAAGACTTAAGAGGTAGATTGTTTGGTCCACTTGAATTCTCCAGAAGGGACTTAATGGCGCTTAATATACAAAGAGGCCGCGATCATGGACTTCCAGACTATAATACTGCCAGACTGGCATATAATTTAAAGAGAGTCGATAATACATCTCATTTTTTAAATGTAGATCCAGAAGTACTTATTGAATTTATGCACTATTTCTTAATCGAACTAATTCTTTCACAATTTACACTACATATCATTGTATTATTGTTTCATATCTCACATCAAGTTTAAAAAGCAATTTTTGAAATTACATAATAATTCCTTTGATAATGTCGACGTATGGGTTGGAGGAATTTTGGAAACCATAGATGGACCTGGAGAATTATTTCAAGCTATCATAATTGATCAATTTGAACGTATTCGTAGTGGAGATAGATTTTGGTATAAAAATATGAAAAATAAGTAAGTTATTTGCATAACAAAGAATATTATTTTTATTGGACCTTATGTTTTATATTTTTATATTAAAATCTTAAACATTATACCTTTAGTCTCTTCACTGCTGATGAGATCAACAGATTAGAAAATATTTCATTCTACGATATATTAGTATCTGTTACTGCAATGGATCATAATGATATTCCAAGCAAACCTTTTAAAGTTCCTGCATCAGGTATATTTATAAACAGTAATCAAATTTTTTTAGTAACTATCAATACATACAATTTTTATTTCAGGAAAAGAATTGCATCCTAATTGTTATACAAATGGTATTATTAAGGAGGGTAATTGTACAAAATTTAATAAGGAATATATTAGTTGCTATCATGCTGAAACAATTACTGTTGGAAATGTTGATAAATGTACAGATCCTGGAACCTATGACTATTTTAATAATAGCATTCTATCTTTCTCGCTGACATTAATGGGATTACTTGTTATTTTGTGTTGTAAGATATATTTGTCTATATTTGCTTATAATGTGAACAAGTATTTAGATATAATAAACTTTTAAACAGCTTCCATCACAATACTTTATCTTCAATCAAGATTAAAACAAACGAAGCAAACTGAGTACCAATCAAAGTGCATAAAATCACATTTATTAAAAGAAGATCAGGATACTACATTGTTTACTGGTAAGTTTTTCAATGTTAAATATTAAATTTAAATACGAATTTTTTACAATGTTTTATTAGTGAACGAATGGCAAGGTAAAAAATTGCCATTGAGACCTATAATCATTACTCTAAATCTAATGAAAAAACAATTGGAAATTAAAAATCAAATGGGATGTATAATACGAGCAATAGATTTGATACATTGCAACACAATAAAGGTACATGTAACACTAAATTATAAATAAATAACATAATAAATATTATTTCATAAACAAAATTATGCTATTCAACAGGTGTACGTTACATTTAATGGGAACTATGTTATGCTTAGAGTAGACCATAATTATGATTTAGTCTTAAAATTTAATTCTGATTATCTCAAAAGCTTATTTCTTCAAACATTAAAGAAATTCGTTGAAGAATTAGTAACAGTATCGATACAAGAAACACTAAACATTACAGTTAAAGAACTGTTAAAGCAAGCTGTTACCAAAAGGTGTAGACAGAAAAAGCTAGAACAATTTTTCCGTGTGGTTTTTGCACAAGTATGATAAAGTAAAATATAATAAATAATTAAGTATGAATAATTAGTTTCAAATAATAATTTGTTTTTATTTTATACTTTACAGGCACTTCATATAACTCACACAGAAGATGAAATATTAAAAATTGATTCAGCAGTGGCAAGAGAAGTCGTGTACACAGAATTAACTATTATAGAATTCTCTGAAGCATTAAGTATGAGATCAGACTCAGAATTTATCAAAAAGGTGAAAATCTTTAATTTTTTGTACGTTAAGTTTCATAACATAAGTAAAATATAATTTTCAGATATTCAATCTAGCTGACAAAGATAAAAATGGTTTCATATCGTTTAGAGAATTTCTTGATATGTTAATTATATTTCTGAATGGTTCTGCAGAAGAAAAAGTAAAATTAATGTTTGACATGTATGACATAAATGGGACAGGAAGATTGAAAAGAGATGATTTTAAAAATATGCTACGGTACCTATTAAAGTAGATTTAACATTTTTAACAGTAATTTTATTTTGTTTTCTATAATGCTTCTAGATCGTTTATGGAAACAGTTAATGCAGATATAACTGATAATAATTTAGAAACACTGGTACAATCAATGATGGATCATGCAAACATAGCAACAAAGGAAAATATAAATTTGCAAGACTTTCATCAAATTCTCAGTGACTTTAACGACAAATTAAATTATGCTGAATTAGAATTTAATGTAAATTCAGATGGGAAGCATAGAAAATTACATGTTGGAGGATCAAAAGCTAAATCAAATTTTATAAAAGAAGCGGAAAGAACAATAGAAAGTTTGTATTCGGATCCGAATGAATTACAAACAAGAATTGGCGGTAACAATCAAATTAAACAAAGCATAATTAAAAAAAAATGTAGAGAAATTATGAATGAAAATGAAAGAATTGTTGAAAATACGAAACAGTATACTGATGATTATTGGTATCCTATAATGAAATATTTTGCTAATAAAAAGTTGCAAATATTTTGGGCATGTTTATACAGTTTGATTCTTCTTGGAATCTTTGCAGAACGAGCATATCGTGAGTGCCTTTACACTTTTGCATTAAATAATAAAAGTGTGGTTCTAACTGTTATTAATATATTATTATAGACTACTCGGTGGAACAAGAACATTCTGGTTTAAGACACATCTTAGGATATGGTTTAGCAATAACTAGAGGAGCAGCATCAGGAATAATGTTTACATACTCCACACTTTTAATTACAATGTGTCGTAATATCATTACAATTCTAAGAGACACTATTCTACACTTATATATACCATTTGATTCTATGATTGAGATACATAAATACGTCGCTTGTTGGGCATTAGCATTCACAGGTAAATTATAATGCTGTATTTAATGTTTAAAACTTTTGTAACGTATTATCTATAAAATTGTAGTACTTCATATAATTGGCCATGGGTTCAATTACTATCACATTTCTACACAAACTGCGGATGACTTAACGTGTTTGTTTCCAAATTATTTTCATGCGTAAGTATTCACCTTTGCAGACAGATTATACAGGATGTTATGCCACCCCTATCATCAAAATCAAGAAAACCAATTTGTTGATTGAGGCTTCGTTAAAAATTTAAAGTTTCACCTGTAGAACGACAATCTGCAATCTCCCATTAAAATTTTTTCCCAAGGGTGGACGAAGATCCTGTATATTTTTACATATTAATGCAAAATTTATATTTTAGTACACATGAATTGCCAAAATTTCATTATTGGTGCTTCGAAACAATGACAGGATTAACTGGAATACTGTTAACTATTGTAGCAGGATTAATATTCTTATGTTCGTTACCGCACATACGTAGAACACATTTTAATCTGTTTTCAATGACACATTCTTTGTATCCTGTTTTTTATATTTTAATGATATTACATGGAACTGGAAGATTGGTTCAGGTAATTTTCTGTATAAGAATTATATGTATGTAGAGATGTAATTTAGTTGGATAATACTAAAATTATAATTGTTATCACATAACAGGAACCATTTTTCCATTACTTTTTTCTGGGACCACTAATTTTATTTGTTTTTGATAAAATTATTACCATGACACGGAAAACGATACAAATACCCATTTTAAAGGCAGATATATTACCATCAGGTAAAATTTTAGTGTATTATATGTATAATCATCATTAACCATAATATTTTTTTAGTACTATATTCAGAATTAATTTGATTAAACATTTGATACAGATGTGACTTGCCTTGTGTTTCCTAAACCACCAAATTTTCAATATAAATCTGGCCAATGGATAAGAATAGCATGTCCCTTGTTACAAACAAATGAATATCATCCATTTACTTTATCTTCTGCACCTCATGAACCAAATTTAAGCGTACACATTAGAACTGTAGGACCTTGGACTACTAAGATTAGAAATAAATTGGATCCAACTTATATACTTGATGAAAAATTGCCAATGGTATTTAAAAATATTACTAAATCTAAATTTAATTTTACTACATTTATGTTCTATGCTTTTTCTTAAAGAATAAACAAATGATCGCTTAATAGCAGCTTGCAATAGTTTTATTTAATTTTTTCTATATTTAACAGATTCATATAGATGGCCCGTATGGTGAAAGCCATCAAGATTGGTACAAATATGATGTGACTATAATGATAGGAGGAGGTATAGGAGTTACACCTTTTGCATCAATATTGAAGGACATAATATTTAAATCAAACCACAAATCCAACTTGGGATGCAAGAAAGTAATTTCAATCATTTTCAAACAATATAAAAGATCAATTGCCAAAATTAATACTACAATTTCATAGGTATATTTTCTATGGGTAACAAGAACACAAAAGCAATTTGAATGGCTGGTTGATATATTACGAAATCTTGAAAATGCTGATGTTAATAATACCGTATTAGTTCATATTTTCATCACACAATTTTATCAGAAATTTGACTTGCGAACTATACTATTGGTAAAGTAGCATTGATATACAGTTAATATATACTTAATAATATTAATATATACTTAAACAAGACACCCTGTATAAGTATATTAATTTTTTAATGTTAAAAATATAAAAAATGAAATATCTGGACATTTTTCAGTATATTTGTGAGCGTCATTTTCAAAAAATCTCAAACAAATCTTTGTTTACTGGTTTAACAGCAGTGACACATTTTGGACGACCCAATTTTGAACAGTTTTTCTTATCTATTCAGAAATTACATCCAACAGTGAGTAACATCATTACATTTATCAATCTTTTACTATCACTTTACTTGAAATACTAAATAAAATATCATTTTTATTTGTTATTAATACCAATTCTTTCATTCCAGATTAATAGAATTGGTGTCTTTAGCTGCGGTGCACCATCTATGCTACAAGCTATAGACGAAGCTTGTAAATCTATTACTCTAAAAGAAAATCTTAATGTTTTGTTCCAACATTACTTTAAGAGTTTTTAAAATTTTAGTAAATTACTATACATTATCCTCATATAGTAATTATAATTTCATTAATCCTCTGTAGACATACATGTTGAGTATGAATATTAAAGAAATGTAAAGAAATAATGTGCATCAGAAAGTAATTTTGTAAAGAATATGTTCGCAAAGAATTTCTCGAATATGTCCAAAAAAGTAAAAGTATCTTGTTTGGTATATTAAAACATTGTCTGCAAACGATTAACATATAACATATAACTTGATGTAAATTAAGATATATGTATAAATATATTTTGAAATAAGATTTACGTTTATTATGGATTGCTAATTATATTCAAGACCAGTATATGTATGTACTGAAAACTACATTAAAATTTGTAGTTATAACCTAATTTTATAACCTCAATCTAATACTTCTATAAAATTGTCGCACGTATCTTTAAATTTTTTATTACTTAATTGTAAATCACGTGTTTCTTATAGTAACAGATTTAAACTTATAAAACTATAAAATATAAACAATTATTTTTTATGAATAAAACAATGCATACCTACAATGCTCCAGTAACAAAAGCACGCGTTACCATAATTTGTTTAATCTTGTTTGGTTTACACTATATAAATTAAGAAACTAACAAATACTTCAATTGGTTGAAATTCACTTTTGTATGTTGAAGGATATGTTTACAGCAAATATTATTCGTAGAAAGCTATTCCACTTTTGCAGTAAACCGCACCTATATGCCCGATCACGTGTATGTGATCCAAACTGGAGCCTCCAGTGCGCATGATCAAAAATTCCCACGAAAGTCCGCTCGAACTATGATCTATCTAAAGACAATATAACATAACTCTATTGCAGTAATAAAAGTGTACATGATGTGATTACATATATAGAGTTAAATATCATAACTCCTATTTAGTCACTAAAATAGATGAAAACGTTCGAAATGGCTAAGGTTATGTTCATTTCAAACGTTATGCATTTTCACAAATTATTAAAAGTGAATCGTGAAATTATAAAATGCCCAACTAACTTATTCTATACACGTAAGTGTTTTAGAAGTCATATGCGGTATTAATTATAAAATCAGAAGGTTTCTAAAGTAGTCAAAAATTTATAAAATTCTAAAACATCCATGTTTTGTCATCTAATCATTTCTGAGATATTAAGCCAGATACTATTTTCATCATTCCTTGAAGATCTTTTAACATGGATAATAATCAAATTGAATATTTTTGGCTGCTCTATAATTTTGCAAAGCTTTATCAATGCTGAACAATATATTTTCAAGTAGTTGCCTTGTAAGTAACAAATTAATCCTTTTTACAGAATATCAAATACTGTGTGCAAAGGAAACCGATACAACCGAGAGTTCAAGAATGCGTGAATTTAGAAAAAAATTAAGAGAACGTACACCTATAGGTACATTACTATGCAATAAAGAAACATCTATCGTCAAATTATGTAAATGTTATTAATAAAATGACATAATTTTACATGACAGAGAAAGTGGAAGAACTAGAAGAAGGAAAACATCCTTATCAAGAGAAAGAACCACTGAAACCATTTCCAAATGATACCAATCCAGAAACAGGTGAAGTGGGAGGACCACGAGGACCAGAACCAACCCGATATGGCGATTGGGAAAGAAAAGGTCGAGTAACAGATTTTTAAATGTGTTTAGGAAGAAATTTGTAATATAGTTATTAATGTAGACTGTAAATTGTAAATAAACTATAGAGTAATGTTAAAATAATTTAGAAATGTAAAGAATATTATTTAAAAATTTTGTTAAATTTAAACAAAATAATAAAAAGTCTTGAGTTAAAACATTTTGTACAATTTAAGAATTAATTCTTACTTTCTTGTATATGTAACTGTATGTATATATAATATTTTTAGTTTTTATAGATATGTATGTGAACATAATAGTTAATAAGCATAGAAATTAAATTATATTTAAAAATAAAAAAAAGTGAAACTAATGATTTGATGTATTTTTACTTGTATTTTGTTAAACATATAACAAAAGAATTAATACTTTGTAAACCTTCAATCTTTTTCTTAGCCATTTCAATAGGATATACAAATAAAAGTATTTATAAATTAGAGCTGACATTGTGTTAATGTCAACATGTTTAATCATCTCAATAAAATTTCTATAAAACCGTTAATGCATAGAACTAGACAATTTGCAGCAAGTATGTAGCATATAAATCTTATAAGCGTATATATGTATAAACCTTAGTTTATAAAATTATTTTGACATATTAACATAGAATATTGTTCCATAATTAATCAGATACAAAAGGTGAAAAGGAAGAATCTGCAAGAATGAAACAGTTTCATAAAAAACTGAAATTGCAACCAGTACCAAGTAAACAAAACATTTTACATTTAATCATAAACTAATAATCAAATATTATGCAAATTAAATTAAATGATAGGAGTTCCCCCAAAAGAACGTTTCGTGGATTTGGTATTAGTGGAAACTGATCCAAACAGTGGGGAATTAATAACAGATAGCGAAAAAGATCCAACAAAGTGGGGGGATTGGCAACACGGTGGCCGAGTAAGCGATTTCTAAATCCGAAACTGCATTATTCCATAATTTTCATTTGAAGATCTAAATGTATATCCAAAGTACAAGTAAAATAACAGTCTAAGTTCATTGTAAGTTGTAATTCTTATTTATTAAAAAAATAAAATATCTCTATTCTTGTAACATGTTTTTAACAGCAAATAAAATCGTCCCATGGTCAATGATGGTTATACCTTGTAATTTTTTGATTTCCTTAACACATTTGTTATTTGTAAGTATCAAAGAATTTTTCAGTTTTCCCTAATGAAGGCAAACTCTTAAATTTATTCATAAGAAATATTAATTTAATAAGCTTTATTTAATTGTATAACAATTTTGTAAAAAGTTGAATGAAAATATTACTATATTAAAAATGCAGTGTGACATTGGAAAGAGCAGTCACAGATACAATAATGTTGTTTACGTCAGATTGTTTTCTAAAATGCATTGCTTTATATTTACATTACAATTTCATATTACAGTATGAATACAAGAATTTTCAAGTCATACTTTTATAATGCGCGATACACAAAATACAAAATTCTTTTTATGAAAATTTAAAACTAAAAATAGCGAATTATGTACAAAATGGCGATTCTTACGTTGTAACATTTTAGTTCTACTCCTAACAGATCCATAGGCGATGTATCGAAAATAATGCTGATTGCATTTTCAAAATTAATATCCCACTAAACTTATTCATTTGTGTAAATACTCTACAGATCTGAAAATCTTCTAATAATAAAATCACTTTCCTATTTGTTTCAAATTACATACCAGAAATGACTAAAAAGTGAATTACAATTAAATTAAGTTTCACGTACTAATTAGAATTGTAAAATGAAAAGTAAATAAACTAAAATTATAAATACACTGATATTCGAATAATTCTCAGTCTTTCATCTAGGATCGACGGACCTGAAAATTGTAGTTTTAAGGTAGCATCGAATGTTAAATATTATAGATCTTAACAAGTTATAAACTATAAAGTTTTATTGATGGCCAAAACATCTCGCATCATCATATTCCTGAGTGTCCATAAGGCGTTTACCACGTTCCCATGATTGCCTACACCGTTACCGAGCCATTCGGCGGGTAATTTTGTTACATCAGGAATTTGTGTATTATCAGGATTTGCGTTCATCTGTTTATCCCAATTTGATATGTACCGGTTTTCTACGTTTAGAGCTTCAATATACCTAAGAGAAAGGTATGAATAATATGTTTTTATAAATATGCATTAATAATAATCGTAAAAATAGTAACGATGATAATTGTACCGTAAGTAAGCATCTGAATGTAATACACGACTTGGTCTTGGAGGAACTGCAACAAACATTGGTTCCGGTTGTTTAGTGGTAGGTATGCTACTTGTTTGTGTCGCAGCTGCCGATGTTTCTGCGACAAAAGCATTTATTTGTAATCACACAAATATTATACCTTCGTTCTAAATACTAATTTGAGATTATTAAAAATGAATTACCAGTTTCCATTGGCGGTAATATCGTTGGACCTTTCGATGCCATATAATTTCTGCAATGAAAAATACGATGAAAATAAAATATAAATTTATAGATTGAGAAATATATTTTGATAATATAGCAACTTTTGATATCATACTTGCTTCTTTCTGTAGGAGGTATTATTCGTCCATTTGACTTAAGGATATGTACTTCTTTAACGTGCCTTGCTAGTCTTTGTACACTTGGAAATGGAGGTACAGATTTCTTTGTACGACCACATCCGCGCCATTGACATTGATATTCTACATCTGTTAAAAAATAAGCATCAGGACTTCAATACTTCATTTATCTCCAATAGTATTGAAATGACTCAATAAACTTACCACTAGCAGCGTTAGCGAAAGACGATTGTACATGTCCATTTTGTTCAGCGATACAATGATCGATACAATCGGTCATATCTTCAAATTGCCAGTCACAATTGTCCCAACAACATTCATATACTACATCTTGTAAAGAATTTGTACCCACTGAAACGGACGTTCCTTTAAGCTGTCCGCCATCCTCGTTCATCTTAATTGCTCTTTCCTCCCAAGCTTGTTTCTCTCCCGCTGGTAATTTTCTCCACTGGAATGGAAAAAAATATTCATTTTCGCGATATTTTGATATTCTTTAAAAACCAGTTTTTCAAACCTTTTTCATGATCGAGGATAAGAAAATGGTCAAACAAACTGTTTTCTATCATGGCTACTTTCCGTAATAGTTTACGTAATTAATTTGTAATATATATTAGAACAAAAATAATTAAATGTTAAAAAATATATGATGAATGAATTATATACTTACAAAGTACATAGTAAGCATACGTAGTATACATAGAATTTCAATATTTACATTATTTTATAATTCGCATATAATAATTTGTGTTTAAACGATAATTTTTTATTGTCGACAAGAATAACATTTTGGAGTTGATGGCAAAAACGTGGATAGTAGCCTCGAGAAGAAGCCGCTTGAAGAAAAGATGAAGCATGCAGAATGGATGTACACTCTTGATGATTTTTCGCAATAGAAGTCGGTAAGTCTTTTTTTTTTTACAACACTGAATTTTTAAAATTTGATCTGCATACTTTACTTCTTCAATAGATTCTTATAGTAAACTAAAAATCAACAGTAAAAAATAAATAAATACCTCATTGCCAACAATTCTGCTAATCTCCCCAAAGGATGATTCAGGATTGTTTTGTGTAATCTGCGTTCGCATTTTACTCGAATATAAAATATAGCCCGTAACTAATTTCTTACCCGCCGTTTTCTAAACAGAGGAAAACACAAATTATAATGTCGCTGTCTCATCAACGAGTCTTGATATTATACCTTCAAAGGTAAAACATCTAATTGTCGTTCTATAATGTTAGGTAACAAAGTTTAAACGGTGCAAAAACAAAAAAGTATGCTGGCATATTTCTCTAAACAAAAAACAAAAATGAAATAAATAAAATGCAATACGTGATCAAGTTGTAAGTAAATAATGTCACGATAATGCCTACCTTCTTAGTCGACACAGGTGTTTGAGTATTGGAGAGCACCGGTTGAGCTTCTGCAGATCCAACGGACGGTGGACCACCAGCGTCCATGCTGTCCTCCCCAACTCCTACTCCCACTCCCACTCCTAATCCTACTCCCATGCCTAGTACATCGGGTTCCAGCTTCGGTAACAATGGTGAGGCTTCCTATACCATTTATGTTATGTTACGTTCAATATCCATCACCGAGTGTGATATCATGAATATCTTTTTTGAATTGTTTCTATCGATATAACAATCTCGTTTAACGCTATTAACTACGTAAATTATCCCTGATCAAAGATATCACAAACTGCAGTATTCGTGAGTTTACTGTTGAATGAAATAAATTTCATTTCATTATGAATCATCGCGATGCAGTGCGTATTATTTACAGTTTACTCTTTGACGCTAATATAATATTGTAATATTCTAATGCTCGATTCTTATTCCTCGGAAATATTCTAAAGATCTGTATACTTAGATATTAGTACTGTATGCATTACATTTAAAGCAAAATGTATTAATTTTTACATTATTTGGGTTAGAGTGACATGGAAGCGACTTTTTGGTGGTATTCTATATGTATATATATATATATATATGTAAGTATATATATACATATGTATTAGCGATAAACCCAACAGGTGCTCTGAATTTAAAACCTTGGAAAATAATTGCTAGTCCTATATAAATATGTAGAGAAAACGTAATTCCATAAAACACACATACATGTACATAAACAAAAAAAAACAAAATAAATAGAAAGAAACGATGAATATGCCGGCATAAAATGAGAAACATGCTCAGATACAAAGTGATGTAAGATCATCACACGCAAATCATATTCGTATGTCGAACAAAATGTACGATTCTAATTTAGTCTGATAACACTTTGTAAGACTGGTAAGTATGAGCTTGCGTATGACTACAAGGAAACATGCATCTTTGGTGTATTGTTGACAAGAACATAAGAAGTTTATAGATAGAAATTACCATTTCAAATTGAGTCGAACTAGGGGTAACAGACTTGACTTGATTTTGCGTATGAGCCACATCGCCTGGAACCTACAACACACACATCACATGCAAAGCAATAATATTCCGTTAGTTGCATATCAAAATAATAGGCTACTACTAATTGTTATTGAAATGTTGCATATAACGTTAGCATTTATGCTCAAAATGTATGCATACCTTAGCGGGATTAATTGGCCTCCGAAAGAAATAAATTTCGTCTTCGGTTACTGTTGTGCTGTGATTGAACTTTTTTAAACCTTCTTGCCCAAGTTTCTTCATAAGGCTTTTACTTTCATCATACAATGATTCACAAATATAAATATCATCCTCCGGGATTTCTGTAGGTCGACCTATATAAATATACACATTTTTTTAGAAATATTATAAGACATGATCATTAAATATATACTTTTCACTTTTGTGTTGCGTTTTATACTCACTGCAAATATACTCTCCAAAATCAAGAACAGCACATTTTCCAACAATAGCCACGATAGGATGAGTACCGTCAACAGTTGATAAAAAAAGTTCTTGTTTATAAAATAACTTATTGGGAGCATGTGGGATTTCTGCAGGCATCAGCAACCATGGACCTTTGAAGTAACATTTTCCACTAAAAAATTAATTGCTTTTAATAAACACATAAATCGTATGCAATTTATACTGAGATATATAACTTACTCTTTGGTCGACCAAATAGCATCGATTTGCGCAATTTGTTGTCTACCTCCATCCGTTGCTACGTATACAAAATCTCCAGTTTTTACGGCACCCGTGCATGTACTATATTGTTCATAGTAGGTATTCTCTGTATCACTTGAATTATATAGTATCACATTCTACAAAGTAAGATACGTTAGATGAAAATTCTTTTTACATTATATGAATATTGTAAATATGACTTACAGGTCTTTCCTTTTCTGTTAATTTTTCTCCCTCTTCTAACTCCGCGATTTCTTCTTTATGTTTCTCTAGTCTTTCCTTGTACACTGATATTACTCGTTTCGGTTCTAGTGGTTTGTCTCTTGGAATTAATTTTAAATGATCTGGATCAAAATTCCAGACTTTGATTTTTTTAAACGCTCTTGCTCTCGTAGAATATCGTGATTCGCACACATAAACATCTTTCTCTAGAAAAGTTTCTGGTTGCATTCTAAAATAATCCTTAACACTTAGCACACTACATCTGCCAGCCACTTTGGCTAGAGGTACAGCTATATGAGCATCACTTTTAAATAATTCTTTGTCAAGGAATTTCCTAGAAGCTACATGATAAGTTTCACTTGGTCTATAAAATAAATTGCCATATAACATCTGCTGTCCCTCTGCATTTGTCCACAAACGTTCTATAAGAACCACACTATATTCCATGCCTCGTTCTGAAGGCTCTACATACGCAAAATCACCAGCTCTATATACTTCTTGGTTAAAACTCATTGGAGCACTATTGTCAATATTACTTCCCTCTGTATTAGTATTTGCTTCTGAATCCTAAACAAACCAAGAATACCAAAATAAATAAAATTATTTCCCCTTATATACAGCTCTTATAACATAAAATACTATTATACATGCATACTTTTGTCTCATTTCCATCGCAACTTTCCTCTTCATTAGGTAATGTTAATTCTTGTTGTTGCTTTAGACGTTTAAGTTCTGCAACTTGAGTAGACAGATCGAGGAGAGTATAATTAAGTGCCGGCGAATGTAATAAATCACCACCGCGTGTTACTTCGTCGCGAGTTCTGAGGAAAAATGCCTGAAGCTCTACACTATCTTCGAAAGGTTGTGAATCTGTGCGTGACAGCCTTCTAGCTCTTTCTAAACATGTAAATACATCTTCTTGGAACCTATCTAGTCGTTTGTAAACTCCACGATCTAACCTTCTTTTAATTAAATCTAGTGATAATCCTCGTATCCTGTTATTTAAAATAAAATAAATTATCCTAATTTAAAAAATAAAAAAAATATAATATATAAATAAAAAGTATAATTGGGTGTTATTTAATTTTAATTAAAGATAACATACTTCTTCCCATCGACAATATCGTGCTCTGGAAGTTCAGCCATAGAATCTGAATAACACCTTCCTTCTTCGTCTTGGTGATTATAAAGAGCAGTAAAAATTGTTGCTAATATTTCTTGGACTGCGGCAGACACATCTGGCACACTTTCTTCGTCTTCGCTTAATTGTAACTTTGTTTGAAGAACTAATCGTTGTAAAATTAACGCATCCTGAAACATTATGTAAACTAATTGTAAATTGAATTGAAAATTTGGTAATGCTAATAATTCTTACTTTACATTTATATGTTAACGATAAACATTATTGAAAGAAAAAAGATCGGACAACATTCTGAAAAAATGAAGTATTTGTTTACTTCTGTTTCATTCTTCTTGCATTTTTTTGATAAGCGTTGATCTACTTCATGATCTCTCAATAAACGGATAAAACAAGGCCGAACTTTTAACGTCTTTTGCGGGAAAAAAATATTCTCTTGTTTATTACTGTATCCTTGTTCAGACATTCTGAATAACAGCACAGACACGTAAAAACTGTATAAAGTCACGACATTTGTAATAACTATCCAGGGAACTTTTCATATATTCAATTTATGATTATTAGTTTGATAGAGTCACATATTCACACCGATTGTATTAATACATTAATACATGTATAAAAATCATTCGTTGTGCCATAAAAGTCTTATATAGAACCATACGAAGCACAAAGTTACGACGGAAGCTAACTTCACGTAACCTCAAAAATTATAACCGTAAACAGATCGGACTTTCCATGTTTTAGCGCGAAATTTCAATTGAACTTCCGGCTTACGTACTGTTCTCCCACGAATTGTAATTATTTCATAATTTTATACAATATTTTCCAAATCAAGTTACAAACATAATAATTATGCTTTTCGATATATATCATACCATCTAATTAAGCGATTATTGTTTATTGTAAATAATTAATTCTTTCTTTTAATTCAGAATTATTACAAGTAATAATTATTATGATTTTTCATTTTTAAATAAACAGATGTCTTTTTTTTTTCAAAATTATTCTACTGTTAAACAATAATTGTTAGAAATCTCATTTTATTTTAATCAGATGTTAATAATCTACATATGTGTGCACTAATGTACAAACCTTGTATATTTGTGAATCAGGTTCATTGTATTTGCAAGCATTATCAAACATTAATATAAAATCCGATACAAGATCGTCTAAATTCTCATATCCATTATTTTTTAATGTTGAAGCTATTTTCTCCATGTTCATTGGTTGTTTAATGACTTCGTAATAATCAGGGTACTCATTCTTATTCGGTAATTTCATAAAAATTAAAGACAACTGTCTTCCTTTCGTGTCATGGTAATCTTTTATAATATCGTACATAGTTTTCAATTTTTGTAAGTGCACTGGTACAGTTTTTTTGGGTCTCCTATATTATGTAAAAATATATATCACGTACACACCTTCTTTTTATCATAATAAATACAACTTTCTGATAATGAATCTATGCGCATAATTCTTTTTTTGTAATTTTGTGTATAATAAAATATTACATACCCAACGTTTCTAGTTGGCGTAGACCCACTCGATTTTGAAGATTTACCTGAATCTGTCAATGGACCTAATTCTTTTACTTTGTCCATTAAAATTCTTTCTAAAGTATTTGCATCTTCATATATTAAAGAACCTTCTTCATTGTACTGGCGACAATTGTTAAACATTAACTAAAAATAAAGAAACAGTGAATCGATGCAATAAAAAACACAATAAGAAATCACATAAAATAAAATAGAAAATAAATTTACAATTAAAAACATCTAATATATATACCTTAAAATCTTGTATTAATTCGCTTTCGCTTTGATACTTCTCTCCTTTGATATTCGATTCAATAGCTAACATGTCAATGGGTTCTGCTATTACTTGATAATAATCTGGATACAATTTTTTAGAAGGTTTTTCCATAAACATTAACATCGGTTGTCGTCCATCTTCACACTATAATATGACGATATCCTCTGTATTAATAAGTTTCAGTTTTAATAATTCATATTGGAATTACTTACAACGTATTCTATGACACATTTAACCAATGAATACAATCTTTTCTTCAATGGTGCGTTGTCTTTATATTTTCCACGAGTCAACAAACTCGTAGCACGTTTCATAAAATTATGAGCCTTGTGAGAATTATTTTCAAATTCGCTGTCTGAATCTGAATCCTACGAACATAACAAATATAAAGCTAAATGGTACAAAGAAGAAGAGGCGATTAATAGAAACAAAAAGAGAAGAGAAATAAGCTTGTAACACTTTCTTTGGACCACATGGTATGTTATGTAATGTAGATTTAGGTAATAAATCTTGCGAGCGTTTGTTGAATTGTTAAGAGAAGTGTGAATAGGAATAAAAGAATGATACAGCTCATTAATGTTTTAGAAAATTCAGGAGATCAGATAATCAAGGATTCGTTGTGTATGTAGTTAGAAAGTTAAATATTTGATAAAAAAATAGCTTCACTGATAAAGAATACATTGTCATTATAGTGTCATGTTAAATGTTTCAATATAGTCAAATTTGTTATAGTACAATATGACATCTAAAATCTACAAGAACAATATATCCTTACCTCAATAATCTGTTATTTACCTGATCAAATTCTAAGAGCTCTTGTACTTTCTCTTGCATTATCTTTTGTAGTTTTACAGCACACTAAAATAGTACAACACAGACGAATGACAAAAATAAAGTACATGAAATTTTTAAACCTATCAATGTTTATTACCTTATATAGTCTAGATGTATGAATATTATATTTCTTTGCATTCTCAAACATAATATTCATGTCCCCGGCTACTTCGCTAACAGTACCATATTCTCCTTTCTGCAAAAATGATAAATTAAATAAAAATAACTTATATTACGAAGCGTGAAACATTTCTATTTCTATTAATTACCTTTATCTTTGTACGAATTTGTAGTAAAGAAATAGGATTTTTAATCATTTTGTAATAATCGGGATATAACCTTTTCGATGGCAATTTCCAAAAATATTCACTCATTCTAACTCCTGCATAAAGGAAAAGAAGTTTAGTAATACTGTTATAAAATATTTAACAATATAATATGACAAACAAACGCTTTGAAATACCTTGATTATTAGGTGTTGTTCGGATAGTTTGAAATAGCTGCCACTGGTGATTGTCAGCCTCTTCAGTCTCTGCAGACTCTTCCTCTTCATCGTCACTTTCTTCATCTTCATCTGGTAATGCTGCAGTCTGGGCTATCAAGGATTGCGCCATTGTACGACTTCCTCTTTTACTTCGTGTTGATGGTGCAGTTGTTGCAATTTTCGGAACACTGCTACTTAATCCAGTGTCCTGTTTTTTTGCTGCTGCGGTAATAATCTTTTTCAAAAGTTTCGCATCTTTATAAATTTGAGAACCGGGTTCGTTAAATTGACAAGCATTACGACACATTAGCATCAAATCTTTTTCCATATCCGCAACACAACTGTAGGCTGCTTCTTGAATTTTCCTTGCAACTGTTTTTAGATCTACTGGCGTTTCAATTACATCATAATATTCTGGATATAACTGAAAATGTAACATTGATCAAGTAATACATTTGTTTAGAAAGATGACATGTAATATTTTGCTAATAAGAAATTATCGAACTTTTTTAGATGGCTTAAGTTGAAACATTGTATGCAACGGTCTATTGTTGTCAGCCGGATCTGTTGCTGTCATAACTGCTGCAAATAGGTCTTCAAAAAGTTGTATTGTTTCTTCGTCAGGATTTGTTGAACTTTCAGACGTATCTTCTGCGTCGTCTTGTTTCGCTGCTGCTTTTCGAGCCTATATAATTAAAACGGCATTGATACTTTCCTAATATTACATTATACATAAAAAAATATGTGCTGAACTCACCAATCGTGCTACTTTTAGTATAAGCTTTCCTTTAGGTTCTGCATCTTCGTATTCTTCCATAATACGATTTTTTGTATTTATACATAACTCCCAAAGTTCAGTCGCATCTTTATACTCAGGAGATGTACGCTATTTTTACAAAATAATTTTAGTAGCTCTTATATAGACTCACAACACACATATATGTTTAATAATTGAAAATTAAAATATATTACCATATAAAAAGCTTTTGCATTATTAACCATGAGTTGAATATCAGCAGATAAATCATCCATATCTCTATATTCATCGGTTTTCAACTTCTGTTGTACCTTTAATAGATCTATAGGATTTGTTACAACTTCATAATAACCAGGTTCTTGTCTACGTTTAGGCACACGTATAAATGCATCGCATAATAGTGTTCCATCTTCCTTTTTTTGATTGCGTAGCACGTCATATAATTGTTGGCATAGATCACTCTATACACATCGAATCAAATAATTATCGTACCTTGATCGTTAATTATGTATCGTTTTATAATAATTTGAAACAACTTACAGGATCTAATTTTTTTCTTCTCTTTGTCGGTTCAGGCGGTATATCATCACCGTCATCTTCTGTACCACGGCTTGCAACAGAAGACGTTCTACGGCGCTTGTTCATCTTGAATAATCTTAAAAAATATGAATGATAAATATATAGTAAAATCCAAATAACACAAATTTCCTCTATCAATACGGGATTGCTATAACATAATTTCACATCTAAGCCATAGTGTCAGTGCAAAGACTGTACACAAAAGATCCTTTTAACTACATGTTATATCTGATTAATACAGTATAGCTACATCACTCAGAATACACAAAACTAGATCATAAATGATAATCTTATGGAATGAATTTTATACACAATATATCCATTTACTAAATATGTTACTTCACAAAGAAATTCCTTTGCGTACGTATTAGGTATGAAAGTCTCGAGATACACAACTGCAGTTAAGAAAATTTCGCCGCCATGATATGTCGCCACTGTGCTTCAAAATGTAGTAACGCATAATGTTTCAATTTTTCAGCGTAACATTGCGGGTAAAGTACGCTGCGAGTCAAAATTTGAAACAAATATTGCAACACGCCTTGCACGTGAATATCTGACGAAACGATCGAATAGTACTGCCGAAATTTACAATAAATTCTCGCCTAACTAAAATTTGCCGCCATATCAAAATCTCACTGGCATCTTTAAATTCAATTCATCTACTAGTACTATTATTTTTCTCTGTAGACACTCGTGTTACCATTTTCTGGTACTCTCACCTGTCGTCAGTATTTGTATAAAAAGATTTTCATTAATGTACAACATGTAAAACGAAAGTGTTATAAATGTTGTACGATTTTCATCTACAACGCACGATGACACACGACTTGGCTAACGCCATGCCGTAAGCAATAAGCAACCGTGGGTTTATAATCGCACGACCTGTGCGATCCTATAGACGGAAATAGTGACTACTTCGTGTGTCTGTTCATGTATAGATTCACTCCGTCGATAAAATCAATTTCAAATATTTCGTATGATCATCGCACCATAAAAGAAGTACATACATATTTAAAAAATCTTATATTATTATATATAAGTATCAAATTATGTAAAAAGTGTGTTCTTGTGTTTTACAAAGTTTAGAAGGAAATACACCAATGCACAATAAATTGGTAATAAATATTATCGTAGGTTAAATCGTAATTGATCGATCTATATTTAATCGATGTTATATTCCACATATAATTAAAAATATTGAAAAAACCATTGGTAATAGAATGTATATTTATATTGTTTTATCTAAAAGTTATTTAACAACAAAATGCTAAGTACTTTACAAATGAACTTTATAAACCGCGGCTGGAAAAATGCATCAGATATCCTGTTCCATACCTCATTGTCGATTGGATACTTGTGAAATGCGAATGCATCGGCTACTACCGCCAACTACAGTCAACAGTGTCACCTAGAGTTACTGATCGTAATCTACCCCGTATGAGCCACAGCCATTTTACTTTACACTGGATCGGTATCAGTAAGGACAGTAAGTTTTCATACTTTATATTATTTCATTAATTCTATACATCAGCAGTAAGTATTGATATATTCATTAGACAGTTAAACATTAACCCTAATTAATCTACATATTTTTGATAAGTGTCTGTTTTTTAAATATTTTTTATGAAGTGCACTCTGTTAGGTAACCGCTACTAAATGTACTCTGCAATTACTACGTAACATTATCTAAAAATTAAATATTTTCATGAAACAAAATAAATATATTAAATCTTCAACAATTGAATCCATTTTTTTAATTATATGAAAAGTTACACCATATTCATGAATTTTAATTAAAATTTCAATCTTTTTTCATCTTGAGCATAATTTTGTATTTGTAATAAAATTCATTTTAGTAAATTAAATTGTATAAAATTTCTATACAAGCATGCAAATCATTGACTCAATGTTTCGTGTTATAAATATATGAAATTTATGGATTAACTTTACTCTAACACTTTATACAACATTTCTATAAGATAGAAAATTGACAATATATTTAAATTTGTATATTATTTCAGTACACGATGGCCAGTAAATTGTTCCTTCCATACTTGCGTCAAAATATTCCAATTTACACCCGTCGAATGTCAGCTCATGTAGCCATTCCAGATAAAATTGGTAATAGGGATGTAGTAGGCTGTGGATATAATGGAGAGGCATCTTATATGGATAGGCTTGACTTTCCTCTGCCCGCAATTCGTTTCAAAGCCAATACTCCAGATGTCATGGTAAAATAATTCTAATAAATCTATGCTATATCTCATAAAGTATTAATTGTCCTTACAAACAAGCATAAGTCTAATACCTTTTGGTTCTATACTCGCTTATATTTTATCGAGGTCTGTGCAAGTACTTTGTTGCAGTTCCTTTGTGCGTGTAATTAATCAAATGTCTCTTTAAGAAATTAATTCTTTACGTGTAATTATATTATATAGTTATTACAGTTATAACATTTGATTAAAATTACATTAATACAATGAAGTTCATTATCTTGATATTACTCTTGCGTAGGCATTAAGGGAAAAGGAAAAAGGAGATTGGAAGAAATTATCGATCGAAGAAAAGAAAACAATATATCGTAATAGTTTTCGTCAGACACTCGCCGAAATACAAGCCCCAACAGGCGAATGGAAAGGAGAAGTTGGTGTAACGCTTATGGGTGTGGCCCTCAGTATTTGGATATTAATGTTTCTTAAAATCTATGGTATTTCAATTTTATTACTGATTTTAAAAATATATTTTCTGTATTAATCATTTATGCTTAAATTTTATTATGATATAGTAAATGTTAATAATATTAACATATTTAACTTGGATGTACAAGGTGTTGGAAAAAACGTGGTGCAATCGGCAAGAGCCGATGCTATACTTTTGGCTCAGTTTTATGCAAGGAATCACTCCCTTGCAAGTTAAACCATGATTCTTCGAACATCCTGTATACTAGAAAACAATATATACAAATTTAAAATTTAAAATTAAATTAAAATATTGACAAATGGAATAGAGCAAGAATTTTTAAGAACATACTATATTACACATAATAAAAATTATTTCAATTTTTACAGCATATCCACCATTACCAGTAACATTTGATGAGGAACACAGACTAGCTCAAATGGAACGTATGAAATTACTTGATGTCAACCCTATCACAGGAATCAGTTCAAAATATTTTAAGTAATTTTGTTCAAAATATAGTACAAAATAATATATTATATGGTAACACTTATTTAATCCAAATTTTCTGTACGCATTTAGTGAAAAATCGAATAAATTAAGTGCTGCTATTAAAATTAACGAGTTTTTATTTATAACATGTATACTTTGTTGAAACTAAGGTCGTTGAAATTTATTTTATTAATTTTTTATTGAATTTCTGTAAATTCTTATGATAAATATGGCTATATGTTTATTTTACTTATTGAATACTAAAACATATATAGGATGTTCATCACGACTTTTCAGCTATTCAGTATTTTTATAACAATAAATTGCAGTAGTAAACATTTCGAAGAAACTTTTTATTTACTGAAAAAGTAAAATCACTGGTTTTTTACAGTATTTTTGTCTATAAAGTAAACGTATGAACATATAAATCTCCATAAGCACGGATCCAAATGGTGCACTAAATTTATCCACCTATCTAGCATTAATTTTCTTTGTTCTATCTACTGGTATGGAAACGATCTTTTAATATCCATTCGATTATAATAATTATTGCAACTGTTTCTCCTGAAGACCACTGGTCGGGAATGGTTCCAATTCATTAAAAGATAATTCCTGTACAATTTAAACTCGATCGGATTCACTGTGAGGCACGCCTTTCTTTTACTCGATCGAGTTAATATTTTACAACAAAGTCTATTGAAATCGAGTATGCCATTTGTTCAGTTGGCTATTGGAAGATCCATACAATAAATACAAAAAAGAAAATTAATAGTAAATAGGTAGATAAATTTGGTACACTATTTAGAGCAGTAGAGAACTTGCACATATAAAGTATTGCATGTTAAGACTTGTACAACACATTTTCCCGTTATCTAATCGAACAAAATATTTCATTGGAATTAGTTTTCATGCATTGAAATGATTTTGGGGGGTTTCTCCAAAAAATTTAGAAAAAAATGTCGATTATCTGTATCTGAAGATCACCTTAGTATATGTAATATAATTAGCAGTCTATTACTTAGTAGACTAAAATGTTAAACTTTAAATACAATTACGTTATAATACAATGCTATCAAAATAACGACAATGACACAAAGAAACCTGTTATCACTGTTTATTAAATTTTCAGTACTTACACATTTTTCAGTGGGTTTTGAAGATAGACAAGCATACATCGCAAATATTTAATAAAATTTTACGAAACTTTGTTCCCAATTAAAAAATTTGTAATAATTTTTGTAGACTAGTTAGTTGTAGTAATAACAACCATAATAATTACATAGCTTTGAGAATGTAAGATCCACATTTTAGTGTTTACAGAGCCATACATAGATCCATATATAGACACATTATACATATGTATATGTGTTTTAACAAGCAATTGACATTCTAATTCTAAAATTGAATCACAGCTTATAATGTTATTCATGAACAACGTTTCACTCAATAATATACAGAATACTGCAAAAATATTATACACCTTGGAGGAAATTAAATACTAGTAGTATTGTTATCTCTGCACTCCAATTTAATAGGAGACACTGCCTGAATATATATTACAAATTGAATTAACACAAAATGCAATCCGTACAAAGATTCTTAATTGATAAACATACGTTATAATAGACGCAGTTATGTCTTCTCCTAAATCTGAAGAATAAAAATTGATCTGTCGAGAAACGGAATGTAATGTTCAATAACTTAGATACAAGATAATTTAACAGTACAACATTTGGAGTTCTCAGTGATATCAAGGCCTTTCTACGTATTGTCATATACAAAATTTTTGAAATATTGCTCAATTTTTAAAAAGTAATACAGAATATTACTATAATAAACATGTTTAAATGCAATATCTGATTCGTGCATTAAATTCATTTTACATTCGATCATGACATATGTATGCTTACTATTATTTGATAATATAAAAATAATGTATCATTATTCAGGGGAGACTAAAATTTACGAACTAGTTTTACGAAATCAGCAATTCTGTATAAAAAGTAAAATTATTATTATGCACAATTATGACTTTAAAGAACACAGTGTAAAAATCTAAAGTGTATTATTTTTTTTTTTTTTCAGCAATGAGTTAGTATTTTCAAAAATATTTTTATTCAAAATTTGTTGATTACCAGCACACGAACTTATAATTTTATTAAAATCCGAAAAATATACCAAAACATTTTCACAATACTGGACTTACATATTACAGAAAAAATATATAATTCTCACATAGGCACGGTAATATCCATGTCTTAAAATGATAAAATTATTGTAATAAACCACTATTAGGTACGTACAAAATAAGAAAATTCAGTAGGTAACTCTTAGACTTATTTTTCTATGTTCGATAATGTATATTACAATATTTACAATAGGTAAGTCCCAATATCACCAATTTTTCTGTCACCCCTTTGTTATAAGAATATAATTCCATATAGAAAACTAAGTCTTTATCATCATTATTAGAGCTTGTTTTACAGCTTCATGAAATCTTTAAGAAAACTGCACTGTAAATAATCTTTGTATATATCGTTCGTATTATATAAATGTATTACAATGAGTTTATCATGGTTATGAACACAATTACTATTCAAAGATTGCAATAAGCTTTGTAACTTTGTAAACAATAATCAATGAAATATTACACATTTTTTTAATGTTGTTTGTAACATGTGCAGTAATGCAAAGACGAAGTAAAAACTAAACCAATCTATATTACAATTCTGTACGTCTTTGGTATGTAAACTTTTCGTACAGAACACAAAAAATGTTTCTGGTGAAATGAAGAACTTAACTATATTCGGGGCATTTCCTTGTCCCTATGAGAAAAAAGAAACACAGTTCATCAACTCTTCACTGTTATAGACACCGAGCCCCTTTGTATGCTAAAGTGGAAAGGATAATTTATTTGTGCGATGAAAGTTAATCAATGTCTTTTCACCACACAGTTATGATATTGAGCTCGCTACTTAAATGACAAACAAAGTCCAACATTATTTTGCACGTTTCATCACCGTACACAATCTCCGGTACCACGAGGTGCAATGCACTGTTTTTTTCGTTTTACGGTTTGTGGCCTCGAACTTGGACTGTGACTATTATTACTACTTCCGTTACTATGAAGAGAATGTTTTGCTTTACTCTGTCCGGTTATATTATTGTTTATTCCACGATGATAATTTCCTCTGGAACTGTGATGGTGATTACCTATGATAAATGAATATACGTTATAAGTATAGTATAACAAATATTACTATATAATTTCATCAAACATAATATATCTATTAGATTACATTTAAACCATAATGATTTTTTTATATTATAATTGTAAAAATAACTGGGATATTTCAAGACTATTGAATATTTAAATACTTAAAATAATCATACCATGAGCAGTTCCTTTATATGGTTTTCTCGATTGTGAATGATGATGAGTATGTTGATTATTATATACATGTCTTTCCTTATTCCTATCTTCACCTTTTCCACCAGTGTTAGGAGAATTACCACGACTACATTCAGAATCCTTTTAACATAAAAAAGTACACGTTACAACATGTATCAATATATAAGATATGTTAAAATCTGTTAAAAATATAATTAATTTATAATTGTTATTTTGTACATAAATAAACTATGATTTAGTACCGTGTCACTAGCTGGAGCAGAAAGCGTTGATGCGTCAGATCCAGTTGAACTTGACAATGAATCTACTTCGTTCAAAGGTAATGGGAATGTTTCCTTGATCCACTTACGATATTCTATCACTTCATCTGTCACTCGAATTATTCTCCCTAGTATACTAAATACAATACGTTTTTAAAAAATACATGTAAAATAGTACTACAAAATATCTAAACAATTGTCATATATACAAATAATCTCACCTTACTTTATTTGCATCATTAACTAAAATATTTAAAGGACTAACTGCTTGTGAAAGGACATAATAAGCCCAATCAAATGCATCTTTTACATAGAGTGCACCGTAACTACTACGACCAATATCATTTCCAGGCGTAAGTGGATCTTCTATACACAATAAAGAAGGTCGATGGCCATCTATCATATCTCGTTGAACCTAGATCATATAACATATATTATCCTTATTGTGCATTAACGTAATTATATTGCATTATAAATAACATTAATAGCATTTTCTCTATTGTTCATATAACAAACATAAAACAGTGAAGATATTGTGTATTTAACTCTCTGGATTATGATTATTTAGTACATACATAATTTACAAACTAGAGAAGCATCTATACAGAATATTATATGTGTATATTACACTATTTATTCATTATTATTATTTCATAAGAACATGCTTTACCTCTTCCTTCGATATGTAAGTACCACCATCTTTTACACGAATTCCTGTTTTAACATAATTAAATTTCCTACCATATAATTCCAAAAATTCTATTAATAATACCCCAAGATTAGCATTTGAACAATAAGCATTTTGCCTGGGATGTAACTGAAATAAAAATTTTTCTCTATAAGAGAATCAATCTTTCATAAAGTGAATTATGAATGACTTAATTTTATTGAATATAAGTTTAGCATAACTAGTTTAGCAACACTAGTTATTTCTGATATAAGTACCGTATATTTGAAAGAAACTTATCGATCACATACCTGTAAAAAACTGATAGTCATAAGTATTAAACTGTACGAGGAGATTCCACCAGTAAAAACTTCATTCAGGTCTCTTTGTAACAAGAATTGCTTTAATACCATAACTAGCTTCTCCAGCACTGGATACCGCTTCTTAAAAGAATTGATCAAGTCTACAGATTTAACACCATTATTCATATTAAAACTGATGTCTACTTTAATTTCAGTTTCTTTATCAGTCAACTTGACAATGGGAACACTAGCTTTGTCCAAAACTTTAATAGACGATGGTTCAGCAATATTTTGATCCAACAAAGCACGCTCCAAAGTACGTAATGGAAGATTCATCCACATTCCTATTACTACTAAATCTATATCACTGAAAGACAAAAGAAAATCTAAGAATCAATTGTATCAATGACACTTAAAAATGTATCTAAAATATTAATTACATTAATTTCATGATGGTTAAAGAATAATTAATATTATTTCAATAATGTAATAAACGATTTTCAATAAATATTAATAACATAAATATTTTCACAATTTAATACATGTAATAATTAAACCGATTCATAAAATACTATATATTTTGTATGTGAACACATTACTAAATACATTCTATTTCAAATATGTACAATGATACGTACCTTGTAGGTAAATATAAACCAGTGCGAAAGCTGCCAAATACTTCAACCTTAGAATCTGGCCAGAGATCATATATTACTTGTTCTATCCTTTTGACAACACGCATTCGTAAGCTATGTTCTTCATTAGAGGGACACATATAAGCAAAAAAATCTTCAATTTCTTCGTGTAATCTACACATTCAAAAAAAAGGAAACCAATTATTAATCAACTTTTTATTCACAGTACATGTATCATTTAAAAATGATAAAAATTATTATTTTTTATTGTCATGTATTATTTATTGTTAAATTTGATTATGTTGCAAGTAATTATTTTTAGAAAATATATGATTTTATTATCGCAATTGTTTGCAATATGTGCTAATAACATTTATAACGCAAAAAATATACAAATTTAAATATTCTTATTTTACATATTGGTAACTGCAAAATTTTTACAATTCATCGATAGTATATGATAACAAATATTTTATAATTTATTTTACGTTTACTTATTAAAAGTAAGATTTCAATAAGAAATATGAAAACTTTATTTATTACACAAAAAATAGTAAATATAAAAAAAAATTATTGATATAAAATTGTAAATAAATATATAAAACACAAATTAAGAATGAAATAAAATAAGTTAATGTAAGAATTTAAAAATATGCGTAACTAATATACTAATAAAATTTCGTCGAATATTTAGAAATCAAACATAATAAAAAACTACCATAGTAATTGGTTTTTACTTTTTTTTTTAAATATATTCATTTAGTAATATTGAATTTGTTAAAAATATAAAATTCGTATCTAATTTTCAAACTGTGTACAATTTATAAGTGTCAAGACGTCCGTGTTTTATCAATGTTATTACTTCCGGTAATTATTAAAAAACTATCAAGAAGATATTTTTTCATTAAACAGTATTTATACAAAAATATGTAACATTTTTTCGAACAATTCAGTAGGAGGATCCGAATAATATCAAATATTGTCAATATAAACATAAATAGTCGAATTATATAAACATCCACGTGCGCTACAAACTTATATTAGCAGACATTAAAATTGTATTAGAACAATTTTACGTAAATTTAAAATATCTAATTATCGTATGCGCTTGAGATAAATAATATTTCGTTGTATTTTGAAAATGAAAACAAGTTCCAATTCGTAACGTCGTCGATTACAAAGTTACCATTCCGATATAGCCTATTTGTAAACGAGCATGCAAGATACATAACCTTAACCATGCCCATATGGACGAATCGCTCATAGTGTAATACCCTAATTTCCAAAGGACAAATAATAAATCATCGATCGAAAATAATATTCACCCAATAACTCCTTTCGAATAATGTTTATTCGGCACACGCCACGGACAGCCGCCGTATTCGCCAACTAAGGCATCGTAATTGTAGTTCATGCCGTAGGTACTAGCACGATTATCACCTTTCCTACGCGACGGATTATAATAGCTATTGCAAGTGTTATGTTGCATGCGGTCGCCCGTACGAGAATTAAGGGAATCCAATGCTATGAAATCTTGCTGAAGCTTCACACCTATCACATTCGAAGACGAGTCGTTCTTCAGCGTTAAAATATCGAGACCTTTCTCAGCTTCCCAAATGTGTAACCAAAAATCCTTAGCGGGGCCGAACTGCTCCGGTTGATACCAACCGATAGTCGGATCCATTAAATAGTTCTCGATTCCGTATCTCACGATTAATGGTCTTTGCGCACTACACTACAATTTCAATCTTAATTCAACTTTAATTGAAAAATTGTCTGATTTATTGTAACCTGCGAACACTATGAAATTCATACATTCGATCAATGAATAACAGCATTTTAGAAGGAACTTCGTGCATCGTTGTTAAGTATAGTACGACAACACCTACAGGACTTAACCGCCAGAGGGCTGCGAACAGTAGTCGATTCTCGTTAGTTCTTTAAAAATACTAATTCTTTCAAATAGTAGAATAATGCAAAAAATAAAGTAAAATCAATTAAATAATATAATTAAGACCATTAAAGGATTACCAATATAACTTGTATTAATACCGGTAACTATATCAGCAATATGTATCAAAATATCGCAATTATTTCAAATAAAAATCTTCCAACATTTAATAAACAAAATTTATATCGCTATATGTGATATATGTGGTATTTTTTAACAAAGTAATTATATTTTACCTTAATATTTCGGATAATTTAATTGATCATTAATTACATATTAATTTCCTTCGTAAAAATACCTTTGTATTAATGCAAATCATTTTGTTATCGAATATTTTTATATTAATTGTACAAAATCTAGTAACTTAGTAACATTAGGTTTGCTGTGGTCGAAGAGAAATGAAATATTTTTATTCTCATATTATGAATGAAATTAATGAACAATTATTCATTATTCGTGAACATACTTTGGAAAACTCAAAATATATAGAATATAACAACTAAAGTAATATGCAATTTTAAATTTACGTGTATCGAATTTCTCATCCAGATATTTGTCAGATAAACTGTCTGCTCTTCGACGTGATGTCGCGAGTTTCCTACTTCACGCAAGTGACAACGTGATTTCTTAACTAAAATAGTCGGCAATTAAAAAGATGTAAAGGACGTTGTCACTGGCAATGAACGAGAATGTTTTATCGAAAGTCCTAAGCTAATTTTGTCTTCCATATCATTTATAAATGCGCTATACTAATTGTTACATAATTTTATTAACAAACCTATACGCTGTGATTAACTAATTAGTAAAGTTATTACCGGTGAGTATATTTGTTAATATTAACGAAGTTAAGACTAGCATTTTTTTTACTTAAATGTGTTTAATAAGTAAGTTACTTCCACAATTCGTTATCATATTAGTTAGTCGTATTTTTGTTATTGTTTCCTGTTAAGAATCTATTTTAACAAAATATTTATTTAATTTTTATTTGTAGAAAATTGTTACAGTAATGTATTTAAATAACATACAATCATTGTTTTGACTTGTACCCTTACTTGCTGTTACTATCATTTTTGTGTATAACTATGTCTTTAAAAAATTCAAACAGTTTAATCTCTTTTCTTTTTCAGACATGTCAGAACATGTTGAATTACAACATTTAGTTGATAGTGACGTTGAAAGTAATACGACAATAAAACAGAAACGATTTTCGGTTCTAACGTGTAAATCATGCCCTTACCTTGGTTTAATACTGGCGACGTTATCGTCATTGTTTTTCTCATTATGCAGCGTCATTGTGAAGAGTTTAGTAGAGGTTAATCCAATGGAATTGGCAGCATTTCGTTTTGTGGGTGTATTGTTACCTGCAATACCAATTGTGATATATAAAGGAGAACATCCTTTTCCAAAGGGGCGTAGGCTAATGTTAATATTAAGAAGTTTTGTAGGGACCACTGGCCTTATGCTAAGTTTTTATGCATTCAGGTATATGCCATTAGCCGATGCATCTGTTGTAGTATTTTCTGTTCCTGTATTTGTAGCTATATTTGCGAGAATCTTCTTAAAGGAGCCTTGCGGAATATTTAATGTTATTACAGTCTGTTTAACATTGATCGGTGTAGTTCTGATAACACGTCCGCCGCTTATTTTTGGGCATACTATAAAGTCTCTTTCCGATGGGCATGTAAAAACAGAACATGCAGATTTATGGGGTGCCGTGGCAGCTTTCTCGGCGACACTGTTTGGTGCAAATGTGTACGTTTTATTAAGAGCTTTGAAAGGCCTTCATTTTTCAGTAATAATGACAAATTTCGGATCGTTTGCCTTAATTCAGACAATAACTATATCTTGGGCCATAGGCGCACTTTGCTTACCTCGGTGTGGAACTGACAGACTCTTGGTCGTAGCACTTGCTCTTTTTAGCTTTGGGGGTCAAATATTATTAACATTGGCTTTACAGATGGAACAGGCAGGACCAGTTGCAATAGCAAGATCAGCAGACATAGTCTTTGCATTTTTCTGGCAAGTTTTATTCTTTAATGAAATACCAAACCGTTATTCAGTAGGGGGAGCAATTTTAGTCACAAGTTCAGTTTTATTAACAGGATTAAGAAAATGGGCACTTTCATTGCCAGAAACATCTAGCATTAAAAAATCTTTAGGTATTTTGGTGATGTAGACTATGATTCACAAAAGACAAATTTTAAGAATTTATTATGCTTTTTTTTTAAATTTGTTTCTCTGGGGGTAGACAATTTAGTCTGCAGTGAATTTTGTTTATTGATATATCAATGATAATACAATAAAATGAAATTCCTTTAATACTTCATATATTCAGAAGTAATCTTTTTCATGTAGACAAAAATGAATCTAAATTATTTAAATTGTTTCAACATATTTATAAAAGTAACTGTATGGCATGTTTAATACATATAAATACATTTTCAAAATTTTATAAAGTTATATTGCTTTAAAATTGCAATAAAAAAATGCATTAATATACATATATCACAGATTCATGTAATGAATATTGCTAGTCATTGTAGAACAATATAAAAAGAGATCAAAATAGATACATTTTTAGCTAATCTCCGTCTCCTCTTTGTTTTATTAAATTATTCTAATTTAATAAATATGGAGCTATAATGAAGTATAAAAGTAAATGATTGTAAAATATCACTGGTTATGTACAACTAACACTTAGTAAAAAATAAATAAAATTTAAATCTCTATTAAAATATATTTCACAGAATAAAAATATCATTGCAAGAATATTTATTAAATAATAAAGTCATTCTTATGCTATTGCAATAAAATATGGGATTTATACTTTCTAATGTAAGTTACACAAATTTATAAGAGGTATATACTCATACACTCATACTCATTTATAAGATTTCTGAGAAACTATATGTACAGTTGCTTTTATTAGAATAATTATACCCTTGTAATGTTCTGTTTTATACAATGATCTTACCATATTTTATAGTACTACATGATACATTTTTTACATCATAACAAGGATATTTGTAATTATGTTCGAAAACATAAATCTGTATATTGTTTCTTGAGAAATTGTTATATTCATATTTCCTTAACGGTCTACTTATTGTTACTATAAAGTCTAGTCTAAAATTCAGTATTAAATATTTTGCAGGAATATTTTAATGTACAATTAATGTATAAAAGTTCATTATTAACTTCAACGTTATACATATTTATTTTTAAATACATTTTACAGAATGCACAAAATAACGAAGCACTTTCTTATATGTATTTTCCTATAAGATTAATTTTTTTATATCCATAAATGGTTGTTTTCATTTAATTTTCTATGCATGTACATATTAATACAATAACTTGAGTAATATAAGAAATCTGCACAAATTTTGATGAACTTTATAAACCTATTGGAAATAAAATTTATTAATAATATTGATTTGCGAATTGATTATTTTATTGTCGTTATTATTAATATTATTAACGTATCTATTTTAAGCCTTCAATTACAGAATTAAATCAAAGCTATATTACATATTATAGCAGTCTAAAAAGTGTTTCATTATTTTATGTAAACTGTTTGCAAAGAACGAAATGTACTGAGTCAGTGTTACTTAAAATTAAAACATAAAAAAGTTTCTCCAACAACGAACGAATAGTGTAACATTCAAATTTTATTTATAAGTGTACATATGCATAAATATAAAAATTACTTGTATTCATAATTAATTATTGTATGTAGTAAACATTACAATGTGGTAAACTTTGTATTAAAATTACATTGATTCTTTTCACCGTCAAACGCATGTAACAGTAATTGATTTAAGAAACACTACCTCAACTTGATAAAAATTGTTTGGAAAAAAAAAAAATGTTAATCTTGGATTTTAAACATTTTATAGAGATGTACAAACGTAATAGTAAAATCAGCTATGTATTTCTACATGCGATTTTAATCTGCGTATTTACAATTGTAAACAAAATGTATATATGTGCACTTTAAATACAAGTCGTAATTTCTTAGTAACCTTTGATTCTAATCGGTAGCTTGCATGAAATTAATATTTAATAAAAATGCCAAAATGTATTTTTTACGCAATATTTATGGAAATTACCATAAAATAATGAGATGGACGTAATATTATCATAATAATAATAGGGAAAATGTAAATGTCTTCTATCAATTATGATTTTCATAAAATTTAAATATAGTTGCTCTTACTAAAAAAACATGAGTGTGGTTTTAATAATCTGTTGTAGGGAGGTTTCGGGAAAATTCAGAAATGATCTTTTGTTAGCTACATTCTGGTTTGGTTGCATGTAGGACTCAATTATTCTTTGTTAACTCCAAACGCTGCAACGAATTAATTGACACACGTGATCTCGTAGTGTTTCGGAGAGCCGACAAAGGCAAACTGACACGTGCCCTCTTTCTCGATTCTCCGAAGCTGCCCGAAGTTACTTCGGACCGTCTCGTGGGAGTCGAGAGAGAAAGGCTCACATTTGCCGAGACGGCCCGAAGTTACTTCGGGCAGCTTCGGAGAATCGAGAAGGAGGGCATGCGTCAGTTTGCCTTTGTCGGCTCTCCGAAACACGTCCGTACTCACGTACGCGTGATCTGGCATAGTTTAAAAAAGTGGAATGAGATGTTCCCGGTGCACCCGGTGCTCCGTCTGGCATCTCCGGTTTGTATGAAACCTTCCACTCTATCTAATCCTCTTTAACACTGACCACATGGTTGAAAGGTGATAACTAAAAGCATGTATTAAGTTTAGTTTAATATTTAAATCTTCATTTATTGTATAAAAATGTCGGTGCCGGATAAAGTGTTGATGCGAAAAATAAAAAAAAGAGAAAAGAGGAGACTTGAAATATTAAAGAAACGGGAAATACAAGTACAAGATGGTAATTGTATGTTTGGAATGTAATTAACTGTTATCTTATTTCTCAATGAAGTTAGTAATTTGTATTATTATTACTTTGTATAGCAACGAAAGATGAAACTGCAATTGAGGATTCAGAACGTAATATTACGAAAAATAGTGAAGAATTATCAAATTCATCTGGACAATATTGGATAGAAGATGAACCGGTAAAAAGTAAGTCCGAACAATTGTTTATTTGCGCTATGAATATACAGCGAGTCAAGGAAATCTTCATGAACTAAAACATGTGTTTTTTACCATATTACAGACAAGAAAAGAAAAACGAATAATGATAAGAAATTAAAAGTAGATGATACATCAATAAATGAAGCTGTAAATTGTAAGTGCAATAGTAGAATATAAGTAGAATAATACATTATTTTGTTAAATAACATTGTACATATGTTCGGTTAAATTTATTTTGTAGTGCCTGGATCAGAAGTAGGATTACATGTAACGAATGATACAAGTTTCAAAGTGTTAGAGGATACAGTATGTGAAAATACATTAAAAGCAATAAAAGACATGGGTTTTGAAAACATGACAGAGATACAAGCAAAATCTATTCCACCGTTGTTACAAGGCAGAGATCTGGTGGGATCTGCAAAAACAGGATCTGGGAAAACTTTAGCATTTTTAATACCAGCCATTGAACTGATATATAAACTAAAATTTATGCCCCGTAATGGTATGTAATTAATATAGATAAAACATTTTTAATTTGTATTACAACACTTTTACTTATAGGCACAGGTTGTATAATTATATCACCAACAAGAGAATTGTCCATGCAAACGTTTGGAGTTTTAAAGGAATTGATGAAATATCATTTCCATACCTATGGTTTGCTAATGGGTGGTGCTAACAGACAGACAGAAGCTCAGAAACTTGCGAAAGGAATTAATATCATTGTAACTACGCCTGGTAGATTATTAGATCATTTGCAAAATACTCCAGACTTTTTGTACAAAAATCTTCAGTGCCTCATTATCGATGAAGCCGATCGTATTTTAGATATAGGGTTTGAAGAAGAACTTAAGCAAATTATTAATATCTTGCCAAGTTAGTAGTCTGAATTTCAAATATAACAAAAGAATTAATAAAAGGCAGTATCAATCTAGATTATAACGTAATGTACTATATTTACAGAAAAGAGGCAAACAATGTTATTCAGTGCAACGCAAACGAAAAAAACAGAAACGTTAACGAGTTTGGCTTTGAAAAAAGAACCAGTTTATGTTGGCGTTGACGATGACAAAGAAAAAGCGACAGTGGAAGGTTTGGAGCAGGGTTACGTAGTTAGCCCCAGTGAGAAGAGATTCCTGCTTCTATTTACATTTTTAAAAAAGAATAGGAAGAAAAAAGTCATGGTTTTCTTCAGTTCTTGCATGTCGGTTAAATATCACCATGAACTTTTGAACTACATTGATCTACCAGTATTAAGTATTCATGTACGATTATATAATATGAAACATATATGATTGGTAATAGAACATGTAGGTTTATGTTAAATTTTTTAATTAAACAACAGGGAAAACAAAAACAAACAAAAAGAACGACAACATTTTTTCAATTTTGCAACGCCTCGACTGGTATACTACTCTGCACCGATGTAGCTGCACGCGGTCTTGACATACCAGCTGTTGATTGGATTGTGCAATATGATCCACCAGATGATCCTAAGGTAAATTGTCGGTACTATATCGCCGTTTAAAAAACTGCATAAATTAAACAACTACATAATATTTCAGGAATATATTCATCGCGTTGGTAGAACAGCTCGAGGAGAAGGTAGCAGTGGTCATGCCTTATTAATTTTAAGACCAGAGGAACTTGGCTTCCTTCGTTACCTTAAACAAGCTAGAGTACCAGTAAACGAGTTTGATTTTTCATGGAATAAGATTGCTGATATTCAATTGCAGGTGAGTTTTTAACTGTTATTCTTTTAAACTAAACATTTATACAATTTACGGGACAACTAATAGGGATACTACCTGTAGCAGCTACGAAAAATTAAAAATTTTATTTATATTGTTTCCAATGATTTTTAGCTTGAAAAGTTGATTTCGAAGAACTACTTTTTAAATATGTCGGCGAAAGAAGCATTTAAAGCATACGTAAGGGCATATGATTCGCACCATTTGAAACAAATATTCGACATCGAAACTTTGGACTTGGCGAAAGTTGCGAAATCTTTTGGATTCGTCGTACCACCAGCCATGGATCTGAGTATCCTTTTTAAAAGTCTAATACTATATTACTTTTTGCTGTTTAATTTTAACCCTTAAGTGAACTCTCAATCTCAACTTTAAAGAATTTAAAAAATAACGAAAGGGTTGATCTTATTGTGTTCTAAAATTAGTATTTTTATAGCTTTATTAATTATTAAGCTTTCAAGCATTTTACTTCTCATAATTTATATTATTCAGCATTCCCACAATATTTCCTTAACGGTGTTTTATCGCAGAAGTGGGACTGAGCAAAAATTCAAGACCACGAAAAAGATTAGGCGGAGGCGGTTATGGATATTTCAAAAATATGAACAATCCAAATTTGGAGAAACAACCGCAGCGCAGAATGATATTCCAACAAAAGAAAAAACATCAAAAGGACAATCGACAGTTTGTTAGATAATTGTATTTGAAAATGTTTAAATAAATACATCAATTGTACACTATGCATATAAAAAGTTGTTCAAAATACTATCCTTCGTATATATTCTATATATTAGATCGAAGCATTTTAAACAAATTTTAAGGAAAAATGATTTCTCTCCGTACACGAATAGGATAATCGGCTGAAAAATTGAAGTCTAATAAACGGTGATGAATGTTACGAAAAAATACCCAGTCGATAAAATCATCATGGCACGTAAAGTCTTTAAACAGATGTGAAATATCAAAGTCAAACATTGAACTGATAGAAATCGTATTAGGCGAACAGCATACTCGATATGCAATCAAGATATTTTATATTTTATTACTTTTATCGTATCTCACATTATTTAAAAGATATGCATATACCGTTTAATAAAATGATTAAATCTATGACATTACAGATGATTTATGGCAAATATAATATTTTCTAACAATGTTAAAGCAACTTATATAATGTTTCCTTTCAACATATTTTCTTATCACTTAAACAAATGAAATTTCGTGATTTTATGCCTTTATTTGAAACATATTTCTTCTTTGTTATTGTCCATAATGTTGTTAAAAATAGAAAACTCATACCATTGGTAAAATACATAAGTGTAGATGTATTTTACTGATGCTTAATGGAAGTGACATCATTATTATTTCATAAGCGTAGAAAATGACCGAAAAAAGAAATCGATATGGAGCATCATACGTAAATGGTACAAGAGCGTATTGAATTACATTTTAATGCTAACGTTAATGTCCAATTGAACATCTTGGGGCTCTCGATATCTGAATAAACACATTTACTCTGGTAATAGACGGTGTACACAGTAACAATATACATTCAGATAAAAAAGTAAATATAAGTTCCATTATATCTTATTTATTAGATGCAGAGAAATATCGATATTTTCCAATAGTTCAAATTCTACGAAATTTATCCAAAGAAATCTTTATATTAATTCTTAATAATACAAAAGAATTATTAGGATTTTACGCGTTGTTAAAAATACTTGAACAAAATACATGAAATTATAGTTTCTTAAGAATTTAATTAGAAAATTAAATAAATCTTCAAGCCGTGACTGAAATGCATATTTTTGGTTGCACATATCGATTCCTCTCTTCGTTCTAGGTAAGAAATTATTTTGGTACAGTGGCAAAAAAATGATTGGTTCTCGAGATATTTTCAAAAAAATGTTTTCATCTAAGAAGGACGCTTTCGCCTTACGTGGCGCATTGTAGAAAGTCGGGAAAGAATTTAGGGAAAGCATGGAAACAAAATCGACGTTTTGTATATGACTTATTCGAACAAAACGATTTGTGTAACCGGGTCCCCCTGTTATCGAACAACCGCGAGTATGTTGGTTATTGACACAAGGGTTAAACATTCGTATAATTAGTGGGAGTAACTGTATTTGAGCAAAGGGGCGCAGGAAAGCGAAAGGGGAAGACGCGAGAGAACTGCGCATGCGCACGAGATCGCGTGGTTGTTTTCAAGCAGTTACCTGTGTGCTTTCGTCCACATTCCCCTACCCCATGAGAATCGCATCCCCTACACAAACTACGCACACATGCACGTACGTATATACGTGTACATATGTATATACATATAAATATATATATATCTGAAGATACCTTCGGTACCGTCTCACTTCTCATCGTTACCCCCGTGTCGCGCGACTCGTACAATTTTCAAGATTGCACAGAAAGTAATTCCATCCGCTTGTTGGAAGCCCTTTGATCTCTGTCTCTATCATAAGGTAAGTTCATCAATTTCGTTAAATTTAGTTTTAATTTAGCGATCGTGAGATTTACGTAATTTTATAATCTGCACAGTGTTACGTGATTTTCGTGCGTGAAATTGTGATTATTTAAGAAATATGCAATGCTCGAAAAGTACAGATTTGAAGGATAATTCCGCCGGTAATTTGCAATTTATTTTCATTTCTAAACATAGTCTGCTTTGGAATAAGAAATTGTCACGCGTAATTGTGAAACTATTCTAACTCGAGATACAAATATTTTCGTAAAATAACATTTTTTAAACTATCGAGAGCGTGTATTAATTGAAATCTTTTTATTGGTATGTTTAAATCTCTTAAATCCGTTTAAATTATGCTTATAGTTGATAATGTTCAACGATCGACAGTAAGGATTGAATAATTCGATTTAAAGTAGCGCAATAAATATGTTACCGATATTTTTAAATATATTTTGTAGTTATGTTAGAAATAAAATTCTTCGACGGTTAACCAACGATTAGAGAAGCGAAAAATTTTTGATTTTTGCTTTTTTTTCAGATATAATCTTCGAGTTGTAATTACTGGTTTATGTATAATAAAATTCTTACCAGTAAATAGTTACGAAATTTTTTTTTATTTCGATAAATTAAAGTTCAAATAGTTACTTAATACCGATATTAAAAATCTATTGAAATTAAATTCCTCCATCATCGATAAGTAGTCTAATTGTCTCGATATGTAATCAAATCCTTCGTAAGCTCTGGTTAAATATAAATCGTTGATGTATATTTATAAATTGAAATTGATAATTGATAATTGTGATACAATAGCGTTTAAATTTCGAACACCGTGAATATGTTCTATGAAACTCATTGTCGAACGATATGAAAACAGCTCGACCGTCCCTTATTGTTAAATACCTGCCGCGTTACATGCACAATAGAGACACAGAGTCCAGTGCACCGAATTGCTTTAATATGTAACTCTACTCCGCTCGATACGAATCTATTTCTACGCAAATTGTATTGCGTTGAAAAGCCTGTGCTAATTTTATAAAACTATTCACTTTCTTTCGCACACGAGTTAATTTTTACAGCACCAAAGGCAATGCACAAGATAATTTATATTTAACACTTTACCGACCGGTAGCGGTTGATTAATCGGCTATCGGTCGGTAAAAAAGTTGATTAATACGCTATCGGTCGGTAAGCGTTGGCCGGTAAAACAGTCGATTAATAGGCTATCGGTCGGTAATGTATTAACAAAGAATATTTTTTTCAAAATTTTTGGTGGTCATGTAAATGATATTGTATTTCATCTATAATGTTATCTAAATATCTAAAATGTTCAAGTATTTAAGTATTTACTGTATAAAAACCAATAGTATCGTACGACTATTTACTTAAACAGTTATGCGTACTTAATTAAAATTAATTAAGCACGTTTAATGTAACATTTTATTTTCAGAAAACGTTAACAAGATGTGGAGTAAACTCTACGTAAAATCTATGCTGCTGTTCGTTATCGTCGGCTTTGCTGTCGGTGTTGAAAGATACAAAGACTATGGAGGTATTTATATAATTATCAATTAATCTGCGGATAAAGAAAACAATCTTTAAATAATTGAAACAACATCCGCCCACTGTTTACGTGTATTCTGTATGAGTGACACGATGAGTAACGCGGAAAAAATATCGGTTAATAAATTTTGAATAAGACGATACAAGTATAAAAATTTTGACTCTTGCAGCCAAGGACCACCGATTGATCTATTATTTTTTAATCGTTTCGTTTGTTCGTTTACAGATGAAATACCGGGAAAAATACCAGAGGAGAGTATCCAAGAGCTTTACAAACTTCTAATGCATCGTAACACTTTCGACGACACTGTATTTGGCAAGGTTCCATTCGAACATTTAATGATCCGCAAATCTCAACGATCGCCATCTTTACGCTTACGTTTTGGGCGTTCGGATTCGAGTTTACCTGTAAGTACAAATTCCCTCCTGAATTTAATACATTTGTAAAGATCGCGTGCTTTCTTATATCAGGTCATAATATAAATAATATTCCCTGTTTATCTTACTTTAAATAAACACTTAAAACGGATGTCGACAATGTGTTTACAGAAACTTGTTTCTATATCTTTTAAAAAATGATCTATCGGCGTTTACAACGTGCGTTCGAAGCAGTTAAATCGATATTTCTCGATTACATCGATTACGTTTGATATCAGATGAGTACATCGGTAATTGGTTTTATCTTATTATCGTCTGTAGAATTACCTCCCCAAACAATGACTAATGGTAGCCTGTACAATAATAAAATCTGATAAATTAATAATAGTAAACCATTATCATTGAAAAATAGTAATACATTTACAAATAACTTTTAAATAATTTGTGTTTTTCAGATGGAAAGATTCTTTGGATATATGAACGGTATGGCATCACCAAGATTCAACGACAATTAAACGAAAATGAACAGTTCGGTTTTCGGCGATCTCTTTTACTACACGTATGAAAAGAATTCAAATATAACAATTGTCTTTAAATAAAATTTCCATTGTCAATTGTTCCTAACCTATTGTTTTTTCCTCAAAAGAAACCACATTTTCAAATTTTTAGGTCGGTACGACAGTATTGACAGTCAATTTGGGCCACGAAAGTCCATAAGGTGTAAGATCTATTCGTATATCTCGTCTGCGATAGAGCTATGCACGTACATGCGTAACCTTCTTCCATCAAACGTCTCAATTATTATGTATCTTCTTGGAATTTATATGTATACATCAACATACACGTATGTGCCCCTTTTCTATCCAGTGCTTCATTTGTGTAGGTAATAAAACTCGTCCTGACATAAAATAAATTTTTTTTTTTATTCATCTTCATACAGAAATTACGAAATTCAGTAAATTTTCAGTATATTTTCTCAAACGATTACTTCAAACTTCAATGATTTACTGGCCCAAGTAAGTATTACACTTTACCATATATGTAAATCCATATATTTGTGTGTATCGTATGTATACAGCTGGGTACTTTGTAGGGGTAATAATATAATACTGTAACTACTGGCATCTTCATGTTTGTAATGTTTCAATAAATTTACTAAGCTCATCATACATATAAGTTACATACATACTGAACTTTCAACATCTACAATCACTGAATTCTTTTTCTTCTTCACAAAACCAGCCAATGTACTTTTACTCAACATTTCTGAAAATATGAGAAAACCATTAATACTTAGGGTGGAATATACCTACAACGAGGATTCTTTATGAAAAAATGAATTGAAAAAAACAGAAAATTTGTTGAATCTACATGCAAATAACTGAAAGTCACAAGGAGAGATCCCAAGGATCTGGATGAAGATGTTAAAGATCGGGATCGAGAAGAATTAGAGATCACACAATTCGTCACTTTTTAGCATTGATGATTATGACACTTAGCGTGTAGTAGCGGTACTACCTAGTGATTTTAAGAACGAGACACAAAGTATAATTATTGTATACACATGAAGTGAGCAGATATTAATTGCCGCTAGCGATATCGATAAGCACAATTCAAACACTGCCGAGTTGAAACAAACTCAGCTTCTAATTCAAGCAATCGACGGAAGAACATATATACAACACATAAATGTAACTAATAAAAAATTAAGATCAACTTATACAACAAACATATTCAATGACAAAATATAAAAGGATAAATGTTATTTACAAATCGACAGGATACGATTCCCTTCTTTAGTAAGAGTGGTTAAGAAAAAGGCTAATTAAAACCAAACTTATACTGTCCTAACAAAGAATTAAGCGATTAAATGTTAATTATAGCTAGCATGCAATTAAGCATTGTTTTTTTCCTTTCATTAACCTAATTGAAAAAAGAAAGAACAACACAATGAAATTATATTACTACGAAACGTTTACAAAGCAAAACAATGAACAACATTATTATATTGCGGATGTTAAATGCACGAAAATTATAAAATATCTTCGTAAGAATCTGTTCCACTACGTATAGTACATGCATCTTCATCTTCATCTTCAACTTCTATATCTACATACATAATACGAAGCGTATTCGTAAATCCTGAGCCTTGTTTCCATCCAGTGACAACTACGACTGCATCTCCAGCTTTGATAAAACCACGATCTTTGCCGAAGTTCAGTCCAAACTGAACACGCGTATCAACATCTTTCACCCAATCGGACAATGGCGCACCTGCAAATAATAATTACTCGTACATGGTAATTTCGCGTATTTTTCGTGCATGGTAAAAATACTTGTCACTAGGTGAATACCTTTTCCATGTATTTATCTCTCGTAATAATATTCATTACCTTCATAAAACAGTGGTAAAATTCCACGGTAAAGATGTGCTTGTCTTGCAACTTGATGGAATCTGGTTACCGCAATAATCGGACAGCGAGGTCTATATTTTGCAACTAAATGTGCAGAGCGACCAGAGGTCGTGATTACTATAATAGCGCTAGCGAAACATTTCATAGATCCTGCTACAGCAGCAATCGCGACAGTGTGCGTGGCATCGATTGGCGGTACAGCTTTGCTCGAAAGATCATGGAATATCTGTGTTTGCCAAATGGCTGCTTCTGCTTCCTTGCAGATATTAGCCATTGTACGCACACATTCCAAAGGATAATCTCCTTTGGCAGTTTCACCTAAACATTTTACAATTGTTATAGAAATAACGCTATTTAATCTTTTAGCTTGTTATATACTTAACACATTACCGACCGATAGCCTATTAATCGACTTTTTTACCGGCCAACGCTTGCCGACCGATAGCCGATTAATCAACCGCTACCGGTCGGTAAAGTGTTAAGAACTAATATTACGCTTCTTTTGATTATTTTAATAAAATACGGGAACATACTATTAGTATCTGAATAATCAACGTAACAATTACGCTTACGTGCAATACAATATCAGTACCTGATAACATAACACAATCTGCACCGTCGAGAATAGCGTTTGCTACATCCGACGTTTCGGCTCTAGTCGCCCGTGGCTTTTTCACCATAGATTCCAGCATCTGTGTAGCACAGATCACAGGTTTGCCAACTTTATTACAGCCAGAAATCATACATTTCTGTGCCAAGAACACTTTCTCTGGTGGTATTTCAATACCAAGATCACCACGAGCCACCATAATACCATCGGAAGCATCGATAATCTCACTGAGATTTGTCATGCCTTGCTGATTTTCGATCTTCGATATTATTTTAATATTCTTGCCCTTCTCGCCGAGAATAGCCCGAATTTCACTCAAAGCAGCGGCATTTCTGATAAACGAAGCGAAAATCATATCTACTTCTTGGTCGACTCCAAACTGTAGATCAGATTTATCTTTCTCAGAAACAGCTGGCAGATCTACTGGCACGCCAGGTAAATTAACACCTTTGCGTGAACCTAGCATACCGCCATTTTCGACCGTCGTTGTAATTCCATCGGGAGCTAACGAATGTAAAGATAAAATAGTATGAACAACAAGGTTTAATTTCTTGGTACATCGTGCCAATTCGTGTCACATAAAATGACCATCAATTACTGCACTTGTTACCACTTATATTACACCGGTTTTTTTTAAATAAACCAAACATCGACATCGGCTGATTTATTTTGTAGAGAATATAGAAATATTTATGATACATACAGACTGCAGTGACGATGAGGGAAATTAAACCATCATCGACGAAGACACGGTTCCCAACCTTCAGCACCTTGTTAATGTTCTCGTAATCCACAAAAACTGCGTTGACGTTACCTTTCTCCGCAAGCGATTTGTCAGTAGACAATTTGAAACTTTGACCTTTGACCAATTCAACTTCAGCTGATCCGCCCTGGTAAAATGACAAGCCTTTAAATATTACATTTTTTATCTTAGTAAAAAAATAATGTAAGTACTCGGTTTTGTTACCTACCCCTTCTAAAAGTCCAGTACGAATTTCAGGGCCCTTAGTGTCGAGAGCAATCGCCACAGGAACGTTAATTTTCGTACGAGCGGTGAGATTTTTCTGCGCTTGTCTCACGTTAGCGATTGTCTCCGCGTGATACTCGTGCGATCCATGAGAGAAGTTCAATCGTGCAATATTCATACCCGTTTCGATCATCTTTTCAAGGGTTTCGACCGGTCTCGAAGCCGGTCCGATCGTGCAAATTATTCCCGAAAGTCGAACGAAAGACGCACGATTTTCGATATCCAGAGCACACATGTGGTCCAACTGACTCTGAGCATACATAGCCAGGGTGTTCGGCTTTCCAGACATCTACAAAACACAATAATCATGTAAAATTTGTATACAAACTATTTTAATACTTTAGAACAATCATTCACAACACGTTGACTGCCATGCCACTGTTCCATGTTTTAACAAGTTCTCGACATTTGTTCAAATCACCGTGAAACATAGAAATACTTGATAACTCAATGGTGTATTAGTTTTTTTTCAACATTTCTAATTGATGCAAGTATTAGGGTTCTTCCATTGTAAATAATATTGCAATACATTGTAAGTTCAAAGTACAGGTCACCAGAGACCACCATGGCAGTCAACATGTTAAGCAAATTAATCTGAAAGCGTCTTGAAATTGATGTGTAATTCAACCGAAGAAAATATACAGAATGTTCGGCCAACCCTGGGAAAAATTTTTATGGGGGATTCTAGAGGCCAAAATAAGACGAAAATCAAGAATACCAATTTGTTGATGGAGGCTTTGTTAAAAAGTTATTAACGTTTAAAGTTCCAGCCGTACTGAATTTTTTTCTCGAAAATGCGCAGGATTTCGGGGGTAGGTCTATTCACCAAAAATGATTGTAATTGACCCCCGCAACCGAAAATAATTTTTCCAGACAAATTTGGAAATTTTTTTTGCCGATATTCACGTACCCCCTGTTGATTTTTTTTAAAAATTCGTTTGACGCACTACGGAAAAGTTGCATAGTACTTTTTCGTAGGTACCCATGAGCTCTACTTCTCCCCAAAATTTCATTGAAATATATTCACTATTGCAGGAATTATGGTCTTTTGAAAATTGGACCATTTTTATGGGGGTTTTTCTCACTTTACGGGGTTGAGGACCAACCGTTCCGATATTTTTGAAATCTTGGCATATTCTATAGCAAAATACGCGTTGTTCGCATTTTTAAACATTAAAATCCTTCAATCCGTTCAGAAGTTATGACGTTTTAAACGAAATTTCAGGGAAAAATATGATATATGGTCAGACATCATATTTTCGGTAAGGAATTTTTTTCTCGAAAGTGCGTAGGATTTCGGGGGTATGTCTATTCACCAAAAATGATTGTAATTGAACCCCGCAATCAAAAATAATTTTTTCAAAACGATTTGAAATTTTTTTTTCCGTCGAAAAATTTCACACCTCGAATTTTTTTCTCGAAAGTAGATAGGATTTCGAGGGTATGTCTATTCACCAAAAATGATTGTAATTGACCCCCGCAACCGAAAATAATTTTTCCAGAACGATCTGAAATTTTTGAATTTAATTGTTAATAACTTTTTAACGAAGCCTCCATCAACAAATTGGTATTCGTGATTTTCGTCTTACTTTGGCCTCTAGAATTACCCATTAAAATTTTTCCTAGGGATGGCTGAACACCCTGTATATGAAAAAATAAATAAGCAAGTACTAAAAGTCTATAAAAGGTCAAATCTACACAAGTATAGAGCTAAACTATTATAAAAAAACCATCTATACTTAAGCAAAATCAATTACATTGTCAAGGTCACGTACTACCAGCACTCAACCTTCTGTTTGAAAGATAAAACATGCAAAAAACTCACATGCGTTCTCTCCTAAACAGAATAACGAGTTGAGATGGTATAAAACTAGCACACTTACCTGATATGATTTACAGTCAGATACGTGATCTTGACAGGAAAATGCTATATTAATTTTAGCTTCACTGTACGTGAATCTTTAAATCCAGGCTTATAAGAATGTAAGATCAGCATTATCTGCTGTATTTAAACATGTAGGGTGTTCATTTGGAAAGTTACAAAAATACAAAAGTTTTTCAGTTTCAAGGGTGAAATACAGCTATTTGTTAAATGTTTTCAAAATCATTTGATGGTCGAAAAAAAAACTTTTGTATATTACTTTCCATAACTTTGATCCATTATCTTTCTAAAAATGGTATTAATGCATTGTTGGGATTCAGCAAACTGAAGTGAAACTAAACATAACATTAATCAGGCTACCTTTGATTCACTTAATGTATGTAATATTAATACAATGGCATTAAATTAAATTAAAGTTACATTTCCAGTTCAAATTGGTAAAGAGAGTTTTATAGAATATTCCAGTGGATTGGTAGAATTCTAAAAAAAATACAACATCAAAGATTGTATCAATATTTTATATACACTGCCATTTATAAATATTAGACACTTGGTCGAAATGTTGTTGACCTTTGTGGATTGTTATAACTCCACAAAAAGAAGTTGTTCGATCATTTTTCTGAAGTTATTTTCAAGGTTGAACCTTTTACTTTCACAATCCTAAGTTGAATTTCCTTGATGATTCTTTTATACCAGGGAGCGAATGGGAAAGTAAAGATAATTTTATTGAAAAATATGTTTCAAATTCAAACAGCCCTCAAAAACTTTTTAAATTTTATACACTTCACAACATCAGTACAACATTTTTGTTTTGGTGTTGCATTAATAAGCGAGCAATGACCTTAAATCAATATTTATTGGATAGACCATATCGGGTATACTTTTTTCAGATCCTTAGTTTTGCATGTCTTATATTTTTTCAATTACCTAGAATTAAAAATCTATAGACTTCAATAGTTCTAATCTTTTTTGTATGAAACTTGAATAATTTGTATTCACTTTTAAATAAATTAAATACGTAAATATGAATTATATTTCAATTGACAGCAATCTAATTTTTGCTTGACCATATTAAGTACCTATACTCTAATACATATGTTATTTTGTCATATTTTGTGAATACAAATAATCACTATTTACAAACATTTGATATGATCACAGCAATTTGAAACCATTTTTAAAACTGCATTAACAATTTATACTAAAAACAACTCAAACTTCGTAAAAACACAACAGCAAGCGAAATAAAATCATTGCAAACTAATATACACGTTGCAGTACTGCTTCTCTTCTTGCAATCCAATTGAGATCAGATTTAACAAAGGAATGTTTGGGCAACAAATGGGTTCTAATAACACAGCTGTTGACCACTTGAGTCAAGAGTTGCTCGAACAGAAGAAACACAAAGAGCAGTGGGTGCAAACTGCTGCTAATGTAAATTGATGCAAGAAGCGAGGCTGTGCTGTATAATTAATTGGTGAGGTAAAATACCTTATCGTCTGCTGTAATCCAGACCATTTTTGCAGGCTGCGCAAATAAATAGGAGACAGGAATTAGTGACAATACTGTTTTGACGACACCTTGTCTACATCTGACTGCATTTGTTGGTGCACATGGTGCACACTGCTTATTGGGTAAACAATGCAAATTTCGCAACGAACAGAAGCGGAAAGGGAAATTGAATACGTCCGACGAATGTACTAGATGATGGCGATGCCAATATATACAGCAAGTGTACCAAAATTTATGTGTCTGCATTCTATTTCAAATTATTCATTGAAATAAAACAGATCGTACAGATCCGTTCAAATAGCATTTAAATTTCGTTGATTTATGCACAACACTAAAAAATGTATGATAATTACGAAATTGATTACTGTATGTTAATTTATCCCTCCGGCAGGCGCGCTTTTTATTGCAAAACGACCGCCTTTTTTTGTACTCTGTACACGCGGCGTTCATGTTATGAAATTCTCATTTCTTGTTCAAATAGATAGAAAAAACCTTCAAATGAGGAACAGAAAAAGGTTCAAAGTTGATCCGATCACGGGGAAAAAAATTTTTGGTGAAAGATTAAGATGCAAAATTAAATTGTGTACTTTGTACACGGGCGCGCCCGCCGGAGGGTTAAATTAATTTTAATCAGATAAGAATTGTGACGAACACATCATTTGTATCGTTACATTGTCTCAAACACCTATCTTGATTAAATTACGGGAGATAGTTCTCACAAAAATAATTAATATGTACTTTTTTTTATCTGCAATCGTCCATATTAAAGGGGTTAGGAAAACAGCCCCTAAAGATGAAATTCTCTGCACGCGTTCAAAACGATGCTTTCCATTGTTTCAGTGCCAATGAGTCTAACGCAAAACGCAGTCGCATGCGCACGACGCATACGGGGAATCCCACCTTTAAAGTTCAGGGTGGAACACATATTTTAGGACAAAAATTTTCTTTTTTTTAAACATACATTTTTGAGTATGAAATTCAACGATAAATAAAATCCTATACGACATATTGCCTTCGACTGATTCAGGTTGTAAGACCTTCGGTCAAATACAAATGGGGTGAGAACCCTGTAGGATTTTTAAGTGTTTGAAACCGAAGATTTCTTTGTGTAAAGTATGTGGTAGTTCTGGAAAGAGCTTTTTAAGAAACTTGTGGATATTTTTAAGAATTTTAATTGGTTTCTATAGTCAAGACGAGGAAACTACCCTACTCAATTTACAACAGTATGCAGAAATGTATGAATATATGCAATTTTTGTGTTGCATACTATCTCTGTTGCATCAGTCACTCTGCGTCACGGTCAGAGGTCGTGACCGAAACAATGATCGCAATTCTCGACTGGCTACGTATCTCTCAATAACTTCTAAATTTCTAAGACGTTTTAACTGTAACCCTAACTGAAATAACCGAATATTTGAGAGGAGTATTAAGAGATTGAGACCCTCAAATTCGACCCTTCCGAAACGACGGGGAAGATACGTTTGCATTTACAAGCAAACCTCATATAACTTATTTTTCGTATTATTACTTCAGTTTTAAATGCCTCGTACCGTACGTGCGTACTATTCGTCGATGAGAATACGCCTAATCCCTTTCAGAAAGATACACTTCATAGCCACACGCATAGTAGTATGTAATTGTAAGTATTACGGGGCTTCTCCTTATCACGAGTGATGATCCCACACCTAATGCGAGTTAACATCCTAAACCTACGTCTACGTCATTGTCGTTCGTTATTACTTTGTCTTACTCTATTCCGATACATTACGCTTCTGTGATTCGTCACGCGATAAGATTGTAAATGTGATCGACTTATAAGGGGAGGTTGCGACCTGTCAACCTCGAATTTGGACCAAATTTGGCAGAGTTGTAGGGGCCCCATGTCCAAACGTAATCTGTGAAACGTCAGATGTTTATGGCCAGCCATTTTTTAAAAAAAATGGCTTTGAAGGTTAAAATTTCGAAGTCGTCGGATCGAATACGTCTTTTTTTAAATTTTTGCTGTACCATCGGTAATGACTCAAATCTTTGGCTAAACTTATCAAAGATGGCTGGCCATAAACGCCTAATATTTCAATAGTGGCAATACAACAGCCAACTTCAATACTAGCCATGTTGAACAAGAAACAGTAAATCTGGCAAAGTCTGATTTTCCACTTGATAGAAAGAGCATGCAGCATTTGTGTCTATTCAGTGAAAAATCAGACTCTCTCACAGTTCTACTGTTCAGCTACAGCCAATTTGTCTGGCTCACCATCTTCTCATCGTCGAATAGTATATACAATACATAAATATCATCAGACATTTTTTTTTATATGTATTTGGTTTATGTATATTTTCAAGAAAGATTGGAATTCAAAAGGAAAACAATTTCATATATGAGATTCTATTAGATATATGTATAAGTGAATACTGTTTAAGATATGTCTATATTTTAATAAGAATAAACTGTGTTAATTGTTTATCGCTAAATGAAAAGTATTATCATACTAAAAATGATGAATGAGAGAAAAACAAGTATTGTCCAACAGAGAATGTAAGTTCTAATTCTTGAAACATAAAGAAAACAAGGGTTGTGCACATGCTGATAGTTGTCAATGAAAAATGTTCAATTAAATTTTAGGTTAACAGGGTATAGAATCATTTCTAAAAAGATGTTCAAAATATTATAGACTGTTAATACATAATATTTTAATATCAACTGTTTAGCTTTCATTAAAAATGCATAAGATGACAAGAGTAAAAATATAAATTATTTGATAGGATCAAATCGAATTGAATAAAATTCGTAGAAAATAATTATTTCCACATACTATTGAAATGTAAACTAAACAAACGAGAAATAAAGTAGAAAAATCTGGCTTTAAACGTAATACTGAACTTTTGCCAGCACTTGAAAGCAAGTGTAGCGGTTCAAGGTTAAACGTATATTCATTAAATATTCAGTAAATGCTAAATATGAATATATATATATATGCATACATCTATAAAAATATGTACAATTTCATATTGTAAAATTGTACATAATAAAAGTTAAATAAAAACAGTAAGAATTAAGAAAATACATAGAAGTGAAAAATTCCGAACACATGATAAATACTAACGACGAAGGACATTTTAAACAGTATAAGTCCTTACAATTACGGTTATTAACACAAATTAAATAGTAAAAACTATGTAATCTATATATATTATTTACCTTGACAACTTGTTTAAACCAAGCACGAGTTTAATAAAACGAAAATTAGGGAGCTGTTCGGAAATTGGCCAAAAATCACGTTCTCTACTCCACAGCCAGTAGGAAACTGATGTTTTAAGGACACGAAAGGTCACTTCATCCGAGTGTTATCTGTCTTTTGGTTGATTTTCAATGCAAGAAACACGTTCGACACTTGAAAACATATAATCGACAGTTAATCTTATCTTTATGAAAGTTGTATACCTGTATGTAGATTCTTATGTAATCTATGTATAATAATTCGTAATTTGATTAGTTAGAAACTTTTATTAAACGTGTTACCGTTACTACAGTCCATTCAACTTAAAGAAATCCACGTCGGCTCCATTAATTTCGTGTCTTCGATGCAGCCATGTTGGCTGGTTTCGCGGGAAATTTCGAAAAGCTTTAATGCACGTATTGTAATAGTACCAACTATACAAGGGATTATAAATTATATTGCACATTTGAAGTTTTTTATTGTTTTGAACGGGAACTATTTGATTATCTTGTTCCTTTGATATTGAAAGTATATACCCTAAAATACTTTAACATTGCCTAAAACTACTTTCTGACATTTTTGGTACTTAATAATTTTTATAGAAATATGTATTTTCATAAATTATATGTGGATAGGATTGCTATTTATTTATTCCATGTACAACACTTGATGAAAGTTACTCTTTTGTATTTGTTGATTTCAAATTGGCTGCATCAATTTTGTGATCTGGTTTTATAAATCGTTTCACTTTCGCTTTGTCTCGTGTTCTGGAATAGAAATTTGTATTAATTAAATGTACAGTTAGATAATAAGAAAACAAAGCAGAAAAAAACAGTCTAGTTAATAACCCAAAAAGAACAATAAAAACTACTATTATACTTACAATTTAATAGCAGAAGGAGCAACAATATTCCTCTGTTGAAGAGACTTGAATCTGTCTTTCAATAAATTGCCAACTGGATTAGAATTTCGTAAATTTCCAGTTAATTCTTCTGTTAATTTGAAGACAGGTTCTAATGGCTCAAATTTGACTTTACTAAGGGTTTTAGTACCCATTGCTTTCAGTGCTTTTTTTTGCAACCTCTTCACTTTAGCAATCTTTGCTTTTCTTTCTTCAGCAGTCAATTGTTTGTCTAATAATTTTAATTTATAAATATCAGAGATTTTTTTCTTTTCCACTTTCTTTCTGAGCATCTTTAGAGCTAACTTCTTTTGTTCCTTTTGTTTACGCCTCTGTACATGCGTCTTTTTCAGGTTTTGGACTGGTGGATTTACAGATGTCACTTCTAAATCATCATTTTGGATAGAATCTTCAGTTTCTTCAGGCTTGAGACCTTCTGATAATTCTTTCATTAAGTTCTTATGTTTTTCTTCAGGCGAAACCTGAAACAAAATGATTTAATAAATAACATAACATCACATTTAATCTTTAATATGTTTATGATTGTAGATTAAAGTTTATAAAATAAAGTACCTTTTTAAACATCTTTGTGGTAACTCTTTCCAAATGTTTTTCTTCTTTCATTAATTTCATTTCTTCCTCTGCAATTGTTTGCAGTAAGTTTTGATGATCGTCGAACGAAGGATTGTACGATGTTCCTGGATGTGGTGTCTCAATTATTGGTATCGCAGAATGTTTCTTATGCAACGAAGTAGGCAATTTCTTCTTCTTCATCCCAAAATGAGACAGTATATGTTTTACGGTACTCGAAGACAACCAATTGGTGTCAATTTCACTTCCAAATTTTTCTTTCCACACATCTTTGTTAAACTCACCTCTTTTCGGTTTGTTTAATTTTCGTATTTCTGCGATTCTCCTATTTCTCAAACGTACTCTGTCTTTCAACTTTAAAATTCCTTGGGATTTTTGAATAGCTTCTTTCCGTAAAAGGAGAGCATTTTTTCTTTCATTTTTCGTTCTCACACGATTTCTTTTTACTATTGGATCCGGAACTAACGTATGAGGTTTCAAAATATTGAAACATCGTGGTTCTTTCGACCGTAATAATTCACGTCGTGATTTTTTCGAAAGAATCTCAGGTTTTGTAGAAATTTCGAATAAATCGGAATTTTCACGAGTAGAAAAAGAACCGCCTAATCTCTCTTCTAATCGAGAATCCTCCAAGAATTTGTCAACATCACTGATATCCACATGTTTACGCCATGATATCTTCTTCTTTTTAGACACTTTTCGTTTTTTGGTCTTACTATCAACCATTTTCCTTTAATTAGTGATACAATATCACTTACACTACTTTTACGTTTTTGAGAATATAAATTGTACAAAATTTGTAGTGACACATTAGAGGTTATCCCTAGACACGTGCATATAAATACTTAGGCAGCGCTCCGCTGACTTAGTGTCTCGCGAGACGTCACAGGGGAAGGGGAGTCGGTCCGCCCATTTATCTATCTCACTCTCTTGCTCTCAGACAATCCACATGTGTGTGTAACTGCCGCGACGAATAGCGAGCCAGAGATCAATGTATGCATGGGAATACGTGTATCCCTTCTACTTCTCCCCCTCATTTTTTCCGCGAGATTTCAAGTCAGCGGAGCACTGTACTTAGGTAGTGCTTTTGAAAAAAGTTTTACAAATTTAATAAATTAATTTGTTGGCACGAAAAGATGACAATGCGTGTCTTGCCATGCATCGCGGGGGAAAGAGCGCATTTTCTCTTCCCTTGTACAAGGTGTTGAACTGTAGCCTGTTCAACACAATGATGGGTCCTTTGAGATTTTAAGTGTAAAACTAAGGTTTTGGGGGAAATTTGGTATCTTTTTCCCCCAGGATGGGCTTAATTAACATCTTTCCGGTTTCCACAGTCCCCCCATAGTGCTCGAGGCAGGGCATAAAACGATATGCTTAATAAAATATTAAGTAGTTTATCTAACAACTCTTTATTTGAAAAAATCACAGTTATTGTCAGTTCATGACTCATATGTTACGTGAAATATTTAATATACCTGATCATTTTTATAGCTATTTAATATAGCCTTTATATAGCTAAGTTAACTTAACAAAAAAAAAAAAACAGACAATGGTAATTACAATTTTTGTTTTAGTTAAAGTCATTGAATTCACAGATTAATGTATAGGATAATCAATAAAGTTCAATTTTACAATAATAACAATTAAGTATTAGTCGTTTTAACTCTGATTTAAATTGTTAAAATTTGTTTGTACAAAGCAGGTTTTACCTCTAATAATAGTTATCACACGATTATTTTGTTTAATAACTTATTATTTGATTTTAGCCCTCAAATGATATTTAAGATCTTTTTCACCCGAATATATATACATATATATATATGTATTTGGGTTTCATTGCATATGTTACACAAAGAATTGTAACTATGAATTATGTTTTTACCTTTTCAAATAATATAAAGAAATTTCTTTTATATATGATAAAAGATTTCATCCTTAACAAATACAAAGAATTTGCGTTAGACAACCGTATCTGAATAAATATTTCATGATTTTTGTAAATCAAATTTCCTAAAAAATTTACATAAAAAATAAATAACTTGAATTATTTATTATTTCAAAACTTATAGCTTAATCTTATAAATTTTACTTAATTACGAGTGTAATTTATTTATTAAAAATTTATATTGTTCGGTAATAATTTTAACCCTAATTAAGTCCAGGCCCGTGCAGTTCAATAAAACTTTCCAAAGAACGAGGCACTCGTTCGCAATAAGGTAAGTTGTATGTCTTTACGGCTTTCGCAGCCATACATTTCAATGACAATTTTGTCCGAGTCCGCAATATTAATTCTGCCTCACCTATGTGTATAAGGCAACATAAATCAATAACACAAAATGTTCAATGGCGAAACTAGCTTTAGATATTAAATATAAATCATTATTTTAATTATACGTAATTCTTTATTCTGTTAATATTTAGAGCATCTTAAATTCATTTAATCAGCGTACCTGTAGTGGCAGCATAATATGGAGTTTTTCCTCGACTATTTACAGTGTCCATATGTGCTCCAGCGTCTGTAAGTTCCATAATAATGGAATAAAGTGTTGCAAAATCACTGCAAGAATTTTGAAGTGTATTTATATGACTTGTTAAAAAGTATCGCTTATGTTTCTCCTTAAAATATAAAAATTTAACCGATGTGTACATTTCTCGGAACTTAACTACCGCGTTATACGGAGAATACCTGTATTATCAAATTTGAACTGTTTTAGAAAAACAATTTATTAGTTAATTATACCTAACTGATGTTCTGCAACTAACGATCACATGTAATGGCGTATTTCTTTTATTGTCCATAGCATTTACGTCAGCCCCGCAACGCACAAGTAATTTTGCCGTTTCGGCACAAGGAAATCTGTAAAGTAATTATTTTAAAAATCATTAACGGCGAAGCTCTGTCTACCGAAAACCTCCGTCCGTTTTTGAACAGAAACACAATGTAACATTGAATAAGAATTCATTTTTAATTATTTTACAACATAATTTCCCTTATTATTTATAACTTTCTTATTTATAACTATTAATTTATGACCTCCGTGTGTTTTTTGCCAATTAACGAACTTTTTTCCTTGTAGAAGATTGGAAGAAATGAAGAAAAGATCGAGACGCATATTATTTCACACATAAGTCTAATTCTCTCTATCTCCCTCTATTCTCCTGATCGATGTAATTTTAGTAAACTAATAATTGTCTGCTTTTAATTAAGAAAAACAAATAAAAGAAAACTCTGATCATAAAACGAACAGAAGTTTCTGGCAGATCTAATAATTAACTTCAAAAATTTTTTATGTAAACTGACTTGCAGGTGTCATTAATGTGGAAGTCATCAACAGGAGTCTCATAATTCACGGCAAGATGTAGTAATGTCTGTCCATCCCTCAAACTTAATTGTAAGATGCAGAGTTTATGAACTAGTCGATACGCTTTATCTTTATCTTCTTCCGTATATCTACTTTCATTCGCTGTTAGAAGTTTCGTTAATATTGCTAATATATACAGTGTACTTGTAATGTTCGATTCCATCTCCTTCTGCATTTTTTTAATTTTCAGAGAAAGCATCAATTAATGTTTAATTTGTCCAATTAAAATTTAATTGAAAACAAAGATCGAAAGGCTAAAATATTGGGCTGCTCGCAAAGTAATTTGGATTTTTTTCCCGTGAGCGTAGTTAGTTTTATTTTTAACCAACCAACTTCATTCTGAACCATATTGCCATTTATTTTAACAGCTAAGATTGCAAGATTTATTTATGTAAAATTGTTTTCTGCATTGAACCAAAATAATCAATATATTATATACTTTCCGAGAAACCCAATAATTACATCAATATTAATGAAATTTTTGTTTAAACTTACAATATGTTGGTCAATATCTTCTTTAGAAACAGGTTTATTGATTTCAGATTTATTACGACTAAGTTCAGTTACACAAGCTTCCAAAACACTCAAAACTTGAGAAAAATCGAAATCCACCCCGACGTGTATCATTTGTGAAAATATCTAAAACAACATTTAAATAAAAAAAAAAAAAAGTAGACACGAGAAACGTATAATATATCAAAGAATATTCCATAAAAATATTATTTAATGTATATTTCTAAACAATACCTGTGCAAACCTAAGGAGATCCTTTACAACCGATACTTTATTTAACTGTTTTAGATTCAAAGCATGAAGCCACAAATCTATACTTCTGTCAAACCTGGCATAGTCTGCAAATACTGCCCCTCTGAATATTATATGATGTGGTAATTCTGGATTATGCTGCCCTAATGTTAAAATTTAATCAATATATAGATAATGTACGATACAAACACAAAAACTATACTATTTTCTGTACTTATTGTTTGTTTCGCTACTTATAAGAATAGAATAGAAACCTAGAATTCTCTCCCTAATAGCCAATGATTCCATATTAATAGCATTCTGATTGTTCTTAATACTTTTCAGCTTTTCTAATGTCTCACATTCTTTCCAATTATCATACGCCTTCACCGATTCACCTAATTTTTTATGAATAATGTTTTCAGGATCCATAAACCTGTAGCATCCAGAAAATTATCCGGCTAACTCTCCAAATAAAATATTAGTTTTTTTTTTGATGATGCAATATACAACGTAGATCATTTAAATGGTAGTAACTAAACATTTCTGTTGCTTATGAATGTGTGAAAAAATTGTTTAAGATAAAATAAAACCATTAAAGGGGCAAACAATATAATAATACATAATTATACTCGGCAAGTCTTTGTTACAGCTTTGCATAATAGGTATAGAGTGAGCAGTTCTTCTACTCTCAAACAGAATAGGAACGATATGATTCTATTTGAAAAATCATTGCTGTTCACCCCTTTGAACAATTCAACTTTATCTTGAAGTTTTCTTATAGATCCGTAAGCAATGGAAATATAGAAGTGTTCCCATTTAAAAAATTTATTCTGTATACATACCTAAGCTCCATTGCTTTGCAGAAATATTTATATGCTTTTGCCAAAGAATAATTTCCTTTATAGACATTATTAGCATAAGAAGCACCAAGAAGTTCATATGCTTCGATCGTTTCTTCTTTAGATACTCCTGCGCATTGTATTAACCATTCGACAACAATGGCTCTAATACGCTCTGCTGCAACTATTAGCGGTGTCATTTTCCTAACATCCTTTGTCATTTTCGCTCCGTACGATAATAATTCGGATACTATAATAGTATGTCCGCATTCAGCAGCCAAGTGTAATGCTGTAACACCGCAATTTGCCTTTCCATTTGGATCTGCGCCTTTTTCTAAAAGATACGTTACCTGTTTTGATATAAAATACAATAAAAATTGCTGAGATTAATTATATTACTTAAACAATAGAAACAATTGAAATTTTAATTATACTTACTACATCTGAATGGCCTTTGTATGCAGCTATCATTAGACACGTATTATTAAAATGATTTGAAATATTTATATTTGCATTATGTTCTGTTAAATATTTAACTATATCTAACCGTCCATCGAAACAAGCTGCTCTCAAAGGCGTAGAATGACTTTCGGTCAGATGATTGACATCTGCGCCTGCTTTTACTAAAGTTTTTACAACTGGCAAATGTCCTGCGCCAGCTGCACACCAAAGAGCACTTGCCTTTTCGATAACGCATCCGTCAAATTTAACCGTCCCTTCTTGTTCTAAGTCGGGTTTAAATTTATCAAGCAATATTTTAACCACTCTATCATGACCATATCTTGCAGCTATTATTAAAGGTGTACATTGCTGTCCATCTTCTTCCAATACTTTTTTATTAATCACATAATTAACTTGTTCAAATGGTTTATTACTGAGAAGATCATAAAGCACAATAGCCATACCATCTTTGGCAGCATAATAAACGCGTGTTATCAACGATTCTGACATTTCTATTATATCTTCAATCGAATTGACAGTTTCCATTTCGTTAAATGTTATTTGTGTATCACAAATGTCGTATAAAAACACTTTCACCGTGAACTTCTTCTGATGAAATTTGGCAATGTTATTCTAACCACAAATTTTCCATTTTACGCTTCGCATTTCAGACAAAGTTCTAAAAGTTATTTTAAGACCATACGAAAACATATCGATATTCTTGCATAAAAATAACATTTAACCTCATTTACCCTTGTTTTGTGAGTGTTGTTACAATCATTGCTATTTTTGTAGATGGTCGTTATAGTTATTTTCTGTTGTGCTGTCGCGAAAACGTAGCTTTAGGATCACGTGATGACGGCATTTATATGAAAGTGAAATTCGAAAAATAGACAATATGACTACCACAGCCGACTCCAGTATTAGCCACGCTGAACAAGATATAGTAAAAACGCCAGAGTCTAATTTCTCGTTTGATAGAAAAACTACGCAGCATTTGTACATCTCTGTCTATCTAGTGCAAAATTGGATTCTCTTAGCTTTGTTGCATCTTGTCGAGCATGGTTTTTACTAGACTCTAGTAACTAGTGTCGACTGTGACATTATTTACTTGAATGTTTAAACCTTCGGCGGCAGACGCAAGGCATGATTAAATAGATTTTTGTCGTTAAATACATTTAAGATTGATTATGTTACTACAGAACTATCCCCAGTAATCACCATGTTACCAGTATCGTCAGACCGTGCAATGCACGATGTGCATCCCTTCCATCTTCGCACACTAATGCCTGATTGCGTGTACGTGAGCTTGTAGAGGTGTAGAGGTTTCAGAGGGTCGAGAAAGACAGATTGACAAGCGTTTAAAATTTTGTTGCAATTGAATTTTTAGATTTCCTAAAACTTCTTTCAATTGTTACTAGGTAATATGGCTACATCGACCATTAGAAAAACCGAAGTTTTCTCTCGAATACTGTATGCATTTCCCATTTTAAATGAAAAGGTTTGTTTGATGTAAATTAACATTACAAATGTTTTTGGAATCTGATGAAAATTAAATTTTTTTTTCAGCTTCAAAATGATTGCACAGACGAAGAATTCATAAAAATAATCAATGAAATCAAGGCATTAAATTTAACACATTTAGTCGAGGATATGGTTATTTATCATATAGAGGAATACATTCGACAAAGTGTAGCTCCTATGTTTTGGAAAAAATTCATGACTACCGTAAACGGACAACAAGGCTTTGAACATTTTAAATGCGCAGTAGACGGGTTATACACACAAGTAACAGGATTTGTGCCGTTATTAAAGAAATTAGAATATCTTACGCAACACGAACCAGCTCAATATGCGACAGAAGAAAATAATATATTCAGTCAATTTAAACTGATCGTACGATCTACATTATTAAGTCAATTGCCGCTCCATTATGAGCATGTACTAAAGCAGTTTTACAAAATTGCATTCAATGTATTTTGTTGCACAGATAATGCTACACATGGTAATTGATATTCAGATTTGATTCTTGTATTGAATTCTTTTGTGCATTGCCTTATTATTCTAATACATAAAAAATGCTACAGAGATATAATATCTGTTCTCTAGGAAATACTGTCAGCGATTCTCTTCAATGTGTAGGCTGCTTACAGAAAATAGAAAAATGTTGTTGCCAAATGATAGTAATTATGTTCCATGAAACGAATAGAAAATTGATCGAATTGGAACTATTAGAAAGACTAGTGGGTAATGTTCTCACATCACTGATTCATATACATATAAAAAATCATGTAAATCAGTCATGTGATAAAACATTTGATGTATCACAGTTAGAATCATTGGAAAATGTAAGATTTTATTATACATATTGTACTGTATGAATTGTGTTTATATTGTAAATTGTATTTAATTTGTTTTTACAGTGGCTTGAAACAGTTGTTATGAGTTGGTTAATAAGAGTATATTCTGGTGGTTTTTCAAAGACTGTATCTTTAAGCGATCAAACTCGTAATACTATAGATAACTTTAAGCAAAAATTATCTTACTTTTTATATGAAACATACACAAGATTTAGGATTGAACAACTCTTTGATATTATAATAGGTATTCTTTTATCTATCAAACACACAATTTACATGATTTCATAATATTTATATTCATAGCTGTACAATGTGTAATAGTTCTTCTTATGTTTAGAGTATCCTGATTCTCAACCAGCAATAGATGATTTACGTGTCTGTTTGCATCGAACTGACTTGCGAAAAGTTTTGGTAGAAAGTCTACAGGAAGCCTTAAAGACAAGATTGTTGCATCCAGGCGTGAATACACCTGATATATTAACTGCTTACATTGCAGCTATAAAGGCATTAAGACAGTTGGATTCTACGGGAGTTCTTCTTGAAACAATAACAGAACCTATCAAGTAATTACTATTATTATTGTAATAATAATTTTCATTATATTTTTTTTACAATTTGTTTGTGAATTTCGTTTTATTTAGAGTTTATTTGAGGACTAGAGAAGATACAGTACGTTGTGTCGTGAGTGATCTATTGGATGATTCGCCAAGTGATCTAGCAGATGAATTAGTTAAAGGCGAATCTTTACAATTAGATGATTCTTCTGGCGACGAGGAGAATGAAAATTGGGATAGATGGATGCCTGATCCTGTTGATGCTGATCCTGGTATATTGAAATATCATATAAATAACATATTATAGATTTCATGTTATAAATCTTAATGTGTTTCTTTTTTTCAGCAAAATCGGCACAACGTAGAATGTCAGATATAATCTCAATGTTAGTAAATATATATGGAAGTCAGGATTTATTTGTAAACGAATATCGCACGCTACTAGCAGATAGATTACTGTCTCAATTAAATTATCATACAGAGCGAGAAATTCGATATTTGGAACTATTGAAAAGACGTTTTGGAGAAAATCAGCTTCATTATTGTGAAGTTATGTTGAAAGATATATATGATTCTAAGAGAATAGATGGACACATACAATCTAATACTAGTTGTGCTTTAGAGAAAGAGCAGTTCCGTATATCCGCTTTAATATTATCAGCACAGTTTTGGCCGCCGTTCAAAGAGAATTGGAAATTGGAATTACCTAAATTCGTGCAAAATCAGTTACACAAATATGTAAAAGCGTTTGAAACTTTGAAAGGAAATAGGACACTTTGTTGGAAACCTCATCTTGGGAACGTTACATTAGAGATTGAATTGAAGGACAGGACATTAGATATAAATGTGACACCAATACATGCTACAATAATCTTACATTTTCAGGATAAAAGTAAGAAATTTTATAACTGGTATCAGTTTCTTTAATTACAATTCAATAATAGTAAGATATAATTATTTTAATAGTACACAGTATACAAGAATTTTTCTTAATTTTTGTTAGTAAATGTACCTGCAATTCCAATCTTAATTTAGTTTTTAAATGATTTTTGCAGAAGAGTGGACTTTGGAGGAACTTGCAGAAGTAATGCATGTTCCTGCAACTGTGCTTCGAAGAAAAATAACCTTCTGGGTTATGCAAGGTCTTTTAAAAGAAAATTCCAATGATATTTTTACGTTACAAGAAGAAAGCACAACAAAAAATAGATCTCTGTCAGATATTGTAGAAGAGGAAGAAATTGAAAGTGCAATGGCATCAGCAAGCGATCAAAGGGAAGAGGAATTACAAGTGTTCTGGTCCTATATTGTTGGAATGTTGACTAATCTAGATTCGATGCCTCTGGAAAGAATCCATCAAATGCTAAAAATGTTTGCATCGCAAGGTTCAGGAGCAATGGAATGTGGTTTACCTGAATTGAGACAATTTCTTGATAGAAAAGTTAGAGAACATCAGCTACTATTTTCAGGTGGTTTATACCGTTTACCAAAATCATAAAGTTTTAATATATTTTCTATTGTTTATTCTACTGTAAAGTATCATGTTATATCTTTCCTATTTTTTACTGCCAATTTTCTATTTTTTCTTCCTTTGTAATCTGTCAATGCTTAAAATATTTTTAATCATTAAAACGAGGATTGTATTATACAGAGTATCCAAGATTTTAACAGCCAAATTTTGTCAGCATATTCTTTGGTCTAAACAAGAAAAAAAAATGTTGTGTAAACATATATTGCTTAGAGCTTTATTCAAAAGTTGATACAAGTATGAAATAGCAATACTGCGATACAGTGTGAGAATATACCATTATTTACACTTATTCTATCTTCATTTAAGCAAGTAAACATTTACACTATCTGAAATTATAAAAACTTACAATATTTCTATAAATTTTTCAAAATTTATTAACATTGCATCTCATACTCATAACTGAAGCATTCTAAAATCCAACAATTTACCAATAGTATTAATGAAAATATAACTTAGATAGAGATTGTCTGAATGTAAACATTTACATGTATGATACATTATAGGTAATGATTTAAGTGAAATTGATGGTAAATGCAAGTACCTAAAACCAACGAACGTTGGTATGTTAATATTATTTATGTTTTGTAACATAGAGTGTAAATATATATATATATACAATATATTTGGTTAACTTGTCTAATAACTCTCCCACTACCGATTTGAATGGCGTTAAAATACGTTGTTAGGGGCGTCATTTTAAGCAACTTTTACATTGCATGTTGTAATAAGTCGATCTTAGTTTGTGAGATATTAATGAAATACTTTTAATTTGTCACTATATGGATATACGTACAAAATTTTAATGGGAGATTTTAGAGGCCAAAATAAGACGAAAATCAAGAATACCAATTTGTTGATCGAGGCTTCGTTAAAAAGTTATTAACGTTTAAAGTTCCGCCTGTAATCGTGCGCACGATAGTGGTTCTCAATCAGCATGAGAAACTCTACTTACTGACGTATCGACAGCCTTACAGTTTCGTGAGTGAGAACCACTATCACGCGTACGCAGCTGTTTGCAGCAGATTACCGTTCTACACACGGAATTTTAAACGCTAATAACTTTTTAACGAAGTCTCAATCAACAAATTGGTAGTCTTGATTTTCGTCTTATTTTTGCCTCTAGATTTTCCCAGAGGCGATCGAACGCCTCACATATCGAAAGAAAACAAACGCTCGAGACGCAGTGCTCGAAAGAAATGAAACGAAGGTGAAATTTAGCTAGGATCTTCTCCCCCTCCTCTCCCTCCAAATTTCATCTCGATCGACAACCATTAGACTTAGATTTGGAATGAATACAATTCGAAAAAGATTTAACTGGGTCTTTTGAATTCCAAAAGTCACTATTCGATGTGAATTTTGGTCTAGCCAAATTATTGGGTCTTGTTTCTTTCAAAATGAGGAAGGAGTTGCACCACAGACAAGGTATAGCGTAAATTTGTTCGATATAGGTGTGATATTTGTTTTGAGTACCTTTTACTTGACATTTCGTAAAACTTGCTCGGGTTTCTTTAGCTCTTGGACGTTGATTTTTCGTGGAACAATTCACTTTGCCCTGGAGGTGGAAGTGGTTGTTGAAAGTAATTGTTACAACTTGATGACTGGTAGGAAGCCATGGTGGATCTACCGGTAGGTAAGTTGTGGATGAGATAGGGCTCACCTCAACTTGAGAGTAAGATGCACTTTGTATCAAATAGTTTCACGATTTGAGTACACTTCCAATAAAGATATACAAGAAAACACTTTGAGGTTAGGTTAAGTGTGCCTATCGTGCATTACACAAATGTTACCTCGCGGGGAGAAATGTGGTAACACCTTTCGCACTCGCCAACAGAAGGATACATTCAACTTTTATCTGTCACACAAATTCTCGACCAACCGTTTATTCACTACTCGACCGACCATTAAATGCCACGGTGTTTAAAGCAGGACCTGCTACGGCTGCCTTCGGTTACAAACTGATGATGAGTCCTACTTAACAGGCACAGGGCGCAGCCGCCCCGCGCAGGACGAAAACGCTCTCCCCTCTCTTCTTTCCGTTCTCCGTTCCTCACTTCCCCCACGCCCCTTGCTAACGAAGGGTCGCGGGTCAAGTTCTCGATTACCTGCCCCCATTCATCAATTTCTCGGTAATTTTGAAATATGTAGATGATTAAAGTTTCGAACACCTTTTTCTTTTGACAAAATTTCTGTTTTTCTTTGGCTTTAATTTCCAAGATGTTAACAAAATTCTTTTCATGCTAGGTACATTGAATTCTGTCTATACATACGTGTTCGTGGCAGTGAACGCATTACCACATGCCTGTAATTTCACATACATTATCACTACGTTACGACGGTCTGTATCTTTTACTTTTGTACAACTGGTAAATAACTAGTAAATATTTGAACGGGTAAACTTAATGATCAAGCCCAAGTTGATGATGACGAGAGAAAAACTAGCCCAATCCTAAGCCATTTTACAAAGACTAAAGTACTATACTAACTACCTTGTTAAAATCCTGTAATTAGTATTATTAAGTGTATTAGTACAATAGTTAAACTATTAAGTAAAATAGGTTCTGGGGCATTCTTAATATAATTATATCATAAAATAAAATTTATGCAGATGAAATAAAAGTTACCTGTCTTTCGATAATAAAAAAATATAGAAGCGTTTGTTGAATATACAATTAAGTTACACACATTATTAAATATACACAAATGAGTATGACAAAAAGTTTTTATTATTACATCTACATATGGCAAATTTAAAGAATCAACAAAACATTCGTTTTATATCTAATGTTATATTCACTGATAAATAAATCAATCTAACATATAACCATTCTCATCCATGTAGACATATTTCGTATGTAATATAGTAACTAATATTATAAGTAGTGATTTTGCAACAGAAACAGGTAAAAATAGTTTTTACATTAATCAAATTGCTCGTTGATTTATAACGACACAATTTGTAGTACTATTTCGTTAATAGACCTTTGTACCCTACACTTTTCACAAATGAATATTTTTTTTATAAGAACTTATCTCAATTTATAAGATTGAAAATGTTCGATAAACGGTTGAAATTTATTACTTTACAAGTAAATTGCACCATAATATTACATAACAAAATTTTCCGATTACAGTATAGTAAAACATAGAATAACATCTCTTTGTTAAGAAAAATGGAGATTCTTTTTAGTCACATAACAAATTAATATATTTAAAAGAAACTTAAATAATTGCAATACCTAATTAGTACATTTCAATATTTTGATTTCATTACCTTTCATTTCGTTTTATTGTCAATATCAAATTTACGAGTACTGTAAATCCACAGTAATTCATGCAATATTTATTGCCTTTATATATTTCTTTAAAATTACATATTCATTGAATTTCTTCTAATATAGCTTACAATTAAATTTTATATCTAACAAATCATATCTTTATATTACGTTACGTTTCAATGTATTTTAATATTGCGATCTATTAGTATTAAACTGTCTCGATCGAATTTTACTGTTTCACTTAAGATTAAACAGTCGCGATAAAAAATATTTTTACGAATTGTTCTCATTTTACGAGTTGAACTAGACTTAGCACTAATTTTACTTTCCAAGTACAAAACATCAAGACGAAAAGAAATTTTGATTTTATATTGCACCTATTACAAGTAAACGTGTTATATTCTTAATTATACAAAATACATTATATTATTTAAATTTCTTATCTCATTTTTTACCCACTTCTCCTCTTTGTTCCGTTGTTCTGTTAACAATATAAGTACTATATAATTAATTTTACACATCGCAGACAAATGTTCGTTTTACGAGTCTGCGATTGGCAACATTAAATATGAAAATTTGTTTTGATTGCGCGGTATGATCTTAAGGTCTCCCCTATAATATTGGCTCTGCGGTAGGTGTGATACAACAGAGAAATGAGATTCTTTAGTTAAAAATAAATTAAGTTGAAGATTAAATCGATTAAAATATAATAACGTTGTTAGTTACATAGAAACCTAGTTGAGTACGTAATAAGATAAGTATAGTTCCGTCAAGTGTGAGTGAGTTTTAGAGGGTTGAAATTGTGGACAGATACACTAATTAGATTTGGGACGACAGAGTCGAGTAAATTTTATTTTCAAATAACGAATAAACATTTGATTTATTGAATAACATTTTAAAATAAATCTGTTAACCAATTCTAATTTACGAATGCATGAAAAGATGAAAACGTAAATAAAAATTAGTTCGCGAATAAATCTGAAATGTTCTATTCGCTGTTCGAAAATAAAAATTTGTCTAATTCCGTGGGATTGGACAACTGATGTTTTCACGAGCCAGAACGTCCGTCGAGTCGCATCTACTTCACTCTTGCTTGGCTGAATTATACCTTCGCGATTTATGACTACGACACAATTTTCTACAAACACATATTCCATTAAAACAGGCATCATTAATGATCAATACACACATATGTATGAGCATCTGGCTTATTTCGATTAATATGGAATAAGCATACTTCTGCCACCTACTCACATGTATATAGAAACCAGAAATTAAACGTAACATTTTTATACTTATTACTAATAACTATACATTAACAATAAGTCAAAGAAATTCGAAGAAAAAAAAAATAAAAAAATACAGTTCCCTGAATATAATAAGGAATTCCTTACTTCAGCAAATATAAATAGTCAATGGTACAGAGAAAATATTAAACATTTGATTAGATCGATAGAGTAAGGCTTTGCGGACACTGAGTATATAAAATGTATAAAATTTATAACGGATAGTTAGTAGATAACAAAATAATAATTAAAAAAAAAAAAAAACTGTAAGACTATCTGTGAGAATATATAATATGAGTTGTTCTAATTCGATCTAAAAGTGATATATTAAGTGCATTAAGAAATTCGATATACTGTACACGGTTGGAAGGAGCGATAACATCGAGCTCCATCCAATACAAACTTTTACGCGTGTGTAACCACCACCATTCGGCCCTTAGGCATACGAGTATTAGGTTGTAAACTAAATTTCAGCACCATGACACATAACGCTGTCCTTTGATGATGCCTCTCACCATGGATTTCGTTCGTTTTTAAATATGTTACAAAGGACGGTATTTTCAACAACCTTTTTTTTGGTTTTCGTTCCTGAGATATTTGCAAATGGCGGTGGAAATGGATGCAGAAACATAGAATTTTAGTTTCAGGAATTAAATAATTTTCAAGATATTAATAAACGTAGCGGTCATCACTGCGAAACATTGTCCAGTGATGCAACAGCTACCAGTAATAGTTATTTGCAAATATCTAAAAAAAGTCGATCGCCTTTCAAAGGAAAAAATTAGAGTATCTTGCGGGGGGGTAGTTTGATGTGCTATATACGCATGATGTTTGGGAAATGGAGCTTTCACGAGTGGAAATTCGGTAATTGTTATACTACGACTCTTCGAAAGGTGTAAAGGCTGAAAAATCGTTATGAATATTAACGATATTTATGGATTTAATCGTCATTAGCAGGTGTGTGGCGTTTGAATGCTATTCGAGATTCAGGTGTGAAAATTTGACGATCGATAATCATTAATAACGTGATCTGTCGATCGGAGGACTGATATCCTTGATGTTATTGAAGAAGATTCGATTCTGATTACACATGTTTTGACTGAGCAAGATAATAACATATCGAAACAACCTGTATGCAATTTGGACTTTTTTTATCGACTGATTTCTATCCATTTCGAAGTCTAAAGCCCTTCTCGGAATTATTTGTGATCCAAGGACCGAGAGCTAGGTATCCATTTCTTCGAGAAATTCGAATTGGACGGAGAATAAATCGATCAAGATGTTTTTAAGCCCATTTTGTCTTCTCCTTTTACTTCATCACCGATGAAACAGTGTTGAAATTTAGTTTACCATGTAATATATCCGAGTTTAATAATGATGACCGAATATGTGTGTATGCAGAGGTGTGACTAATCCACTAAAGGCCAATTCTTTCGTTCGTCTTTTCGGTTCTGCAATGAAAATTCTGATTTTGAATAATTTAAACATTAACTTTAAATGATAATAAAAACTATTCAAAGTCATTTTACTTTTCACTCGAGAATTTCTCATTTTCTGATTATATCACACCATATGAAACATTCTGTATAGAAACGTGACCCTGGAAAAAAAGCCAAAAAATCTTTTATTTTAACAATAAATAAGTTAATATTCTAATGTTAAAACATGAACTGTTCCTTCGTTACGACGGGAACATCGCACGAACGGTTTTGGTAAGAAATCAATGATCTTTTTCGACACGGCATAATAAAAAATAAGAACTGAATAGATTCTGTACTTATAAAGAAACAGTCTTACATTCGAGAGGAAAGTTAATAATAAATTATATTGACATTTTGTTAATTCTACAGCTGAGAGAGGATAATTTTAATATAGTTCGTTTCGAAAATACGAGATCCTTTAAAATCATCATTCGTTTACATTAAAAAATCCAAAAGCATTTTAAACTCTTACCCATGATCTTGCACGCGGATAAATCTGACTTGATTTGAAAAAAAAAAAAAAAAAAAAGATTTTCTTTTTCGCATGTAACGACGTGTGATACCACGTTCAGTCAGACGATTATCCGTCGAATGTACGAAACGCCGTCAGAATTTGCTACGAGTGCTAATGAAACGAATATTAATAATTTAATCGAGAATTACAAAACTTTTAAAACACGGAGAGGATACAGGATGGATAAACTTGACAAACAGGGCTGGTGATGCGAACGACGAAGGTGGTCATCTGGTTGGTGAATCGATCGAACGCGGATGTTGTTCCAGAGTCCAGGTGTTAGCACGGGGCGAGTGGATTCCATTGTTAGCACTCCAAGCCTATAGGCCATGGGCAACCAATGTTAAATAGAAAGAAAAGAAAAACAGTTTGTTAGTAATTTAATTATGATTGATTCATGTTAACATTAAGTCTCTGAACAGTTCAATAGTTGAAAGAAATGTAGTTAGTGGGAAGCAAATGCCTTGGCTTAACAATCAAATTACCTTTAACTACACGAAACATTATTTATTCTGCAATTATTGTCCGCCACAGCGTTTCTCAACAACTATTATTTTAAAAAAATTTAAAAAAAAAATCTTTTTTTAAGCGAATTTATAAAATTTGTTAGAGTTTTAAATTCTAATACAGTTTTTTAGAGGACTTCGAAGATAGGAAAGTTTGAGAACCGCTGAGTTTGCTAATCTTTGCGTTTGAGGACTAAAATCAGAACAACTACGATAAATAGTAAACAAGCAACTGCTTCACACTCTTGATGGTCAATATTAGTGTTTAAGCATTTAATTCATATACAACATTATGTAACAAAACATTATCAGAGAATTGCATTTCACCAAAATGAAATTTATACTTCGTTATTTGTCGGCTATCGCTTATAGTCATTAACCCTCTAACGGCTGAAGAATTTATCAATTTTACAACTTGAATTGAAATTTTACAATCCCCATAAATTATTTAGCAATTACTAACTTTTTGTACAATGATCGACAATTACATTACGTTTGAAAGATTTAAAAAAAAACAAAAAAACATCAAATTAACATTTATAAAGTATTGTACTTTAAAGTTTGATAGTTTTCGTATGGTACAGCTCTCGTTACTTATTAGAGGGTTAAACTATTTTTAAGTTTCACAAAATTATGTACCCTCCCCGCGCATAGGATAGTTAAGGTGATAAATCGATTAAATTGTATGAGATTCTAGAACGATTGAAAGGTATAAATATAAAAAAAAGCAGATTTAGAATAGTGATAATAAGAGGACTTTAAAGTAGCTCTTTACTTCGTGAGAAGTTGTAATAAATTTTATAGGCAGCTTGGGTGTGCACCTGCCACCATATAGCAGCATTAATATTGTTCATATGTATGATATTAAACACATAATAATGGCAACATTATTACTGTGAATCATTATAATTTCAACAACTGCATATTCTATTAGCAAGCAAGTGCCCAAGGGTCTACAAATTACACATACGGCATATAAGGTAAATTGTAAGTGGTATAAACTTTAAAAAAAAAAAGCAAACTATTTCAATGTTGAACATATACTATACAAATATGGTTAATGTAATCACCTAGTCAAAGTACATATAAAAGGGGATCTTGGAGAGTTTTGTATCTTACTTAACAAGTAACTATCAACATTTATGTTTTGTTTTCTGTTAAAATCATTAACTATCAACTTTTATATTGCACGATCGAATATACTACGCAATTCCACAAAAAAACATGCGCTCTGGTTTCACGTTTAAAAGCATGAAATACTATAAAATTATAGTGACAAAAATACAATTCAATTTTTTTTATCGAAGTTAATTAAATTTCGTAAATATATTCAAATCTTCATGTGTTTATACAATTTAAAAAGCTTGCTGCTTAAAGTCACCCTTAGTTTTAATTCACAATTTCCTTGTATTTTGAATTAAGTTAGTGTCAACTTGGCCATGTGGAGCATTTTTGTTAGTTTAATAAAGACAATGCTTAGTTATACGATAAGTGTAATAGGTAAAATTACATCTATAACGAAGGTGCCACTATAAATTATGTGTGGTAGTTGTTAGTAGTGATACATAAAGGAGGAGAGGATGCAAGTTTCAGGATTGAATTGTAACTTCGATTTTTTGCACGAAGTTTGATCTCGAGTTATTGGGGGGAAAAAGTGGACGAGCAAGAGTTGCTGAAAATTGTCTACAGCAAACGGGAATGTGGGACTCGTCTTTTGGACTAATGATGGAATTAGTCGATTAATATCTCTTGCCATATTGAAGTACACCACAACTGAATTATAACGTACACGTGAATTTCAGATACTTTGAAAATTACATATCTCTAGTTATGTAAACGTATCCTGGATTCATATGGAGGACTGACACCCGAAATTTCAAGGAAATATTCCCAATTTTTGTAACAATAAACAGACATATTGATTTATAATTTGAACCTTCGCATCGTATCGTAATACCACTCCTGTTACCTTCATTGAAAATAAAAAAAACTACCTTTTCTATAGTTGGTATATACATTTATTTAAAATACGCGTACATCACGTCACGCGTGCACACATATACACGCAGAAATAGGCAAATTAAATAAAATGTAAATAAGTGTTCCACAGGCACAAGTTGCCAATATAATCGAGTTATACATATGTTTACATACGTTCGAGGTAGACATATGCATGGAAATAATCAAATTTACCTTATAATATACTTATTCAGAAAATAGTATATTGGTCGTTACTTTCATTAAAATATATCTTTTGTTCTTTTTTTCTTTTTCCATTTCCCTTTTCTGCACGTCGTTAACTTATTTACAGGATAAATCAATTCCTTCGGTTATTCAAGAATGACAATAGTATTTGTACTTTATCATTAAACTAATGATTACTCGTAATTGAAAAATTCTATTTCCCAATACGTATAATAAGTTAAAAGTTTATAGAAAAATGGGTAGGTGCGCACCCATACCTTACTTCCATTATAAATTACTTTCTTGCAATGTTGATGCAAGAGTTAACAAAGGGAACTATATGTATATAAATACATGGTTATAATACAGTGTATTCTTTACACCTACTTGCGGGGAGTTAATGCAATACTGAAATTCCAGAGTATTGTGTTCATGTAGATGACAAATATAAACAATATACGTATAAAAACATTTCATTGTTTATGAATTTAACAAAAATCAATTGTCTATGTAGATCTTTTTAATTTAAAAAGATCGATTATATATCAAATCTTCATTTCTCGCTTTATACAACTATTAAACAGTGAATGATTATTTAATAATTTGATAGCAAGTAAATATAGAATACCTTAAATATTAAAAAGAAATACATTTAATATCGATTTCATATTTTGAAAAATATTTATAACAGAGTTGATACGATTATGGCGCCCAAAAAATATGGCAGATCTGTGTTGAACTGTTTTCAATTTTTCAACCAAGAAACTCAATTACTATCATCATCTTTTATACTTATAATAGAGAAAATAAAGTATCATGGATTGATCTATTTAATATTTTTTTGAACATTTTACAATCACTTCCGTTAGTTCTCGAACCCTGATCCCTATTTAAAATGCATGAGGTGAAATGGACCAAAGAATTCGAAAAACGGTCATACGTTCAAAAAGGGGGATTAAAAAAAAATGTCCTATAGAAAAATGGTAACAGACTGGACACGTTGATTGTTTGAGAGAAATTAATTCTAACATTTCAATACGCATACAACATGTTGTGCAACAAAATGGATATTCCACAAAATATTTATCCTCAAATAAAGACTGTTAGTTCTATTCTATATGGTTAATTTCCATAGTGTTCGAATATTTTTGTGTATTTTTATCTTTTCTGCATTTTTATTTTTGCATTTTTCTTAACTAGAAACTATAGAGAGATGTAGCATAATACATCTGTTTTGTTCATTGCATGTATAGTTAAGATACACAGAATAACGTTAAAATTATACTGTTATTCGAATATTTGTATGACCGTGTATGTTACCATAAAAGTAGAAGATCAGTGAATGTTTATCTCTGTTAATTTAATTAGCAAACGTGTACATAAATATTTTCAGTTCATATTTGCTGATAAAAACTATAGTTTCGTTACTTGTTGTTGGAGAATGTTTTATTTTCTCGTAAAAAGAAATTGGTCAACTCCATCTGGACTATTATGTACTAAAGCAAAGGGATGTGTTTGTATAATTCTGTTAACCAATCATTAAATGTATTATAATAAATAATTTTAAAAATGTACTTTCATTGCTTGTCAATAATAATTGTTTTGTTTGGTTTGGATGAGTAATGTTAATGAAACAAGAAATATATTTCGTTCAGTAACAATTAAAAAACTTGGAACTTTGGAACTTGCCACAAAGTGAATGAAATATTATGTGATTCTCATTACACAATAAATGTAAAAAACACTTTCACTGAACCCAATTAGTAAGGGGGACAATCGCTAGTAAATATAAATATTTGATAAAAAAATAAGAATTTTAAACAACATTCAATGACGAGACAAATATATGCAATTACTAGTAATCGTATATAATCACTGTAACTTCCACATTCACGGTGACATATACATATGTATATATATGTATATATACATTAGTATCTTTCTCATTTTACAACACTTTAAGGTAAACGTATTATTTAATTATTCTCCTAATTACATGGGTGGGTATAATGATCAGGAATTTTGTAATAAATAAAAGGTAACCGAATGCACCAAGAAACTATCAAAATTTAAATAATGGTGAATAGGGCGGAGAAGATAACGTATAAGAAAAATATTAAAAAACAAATATTTGCATCTTAATTTATGACCAATTAACGGATTAATTAATCCATCTCAAACTTATGACTTGAATATGTACTTTATATATAATTAATATATATAAAGATCCAGGCACTGCCACGTGAGAGTTAATATAATCATTCTATCGTGTAATTATATTATAATTTATAAATATATATTTACATATTTGATAATTGAAATTTCCATATAAATCTATACGACTTAAATGTAGATGCCAAAAGGGAAAATCGATTTTAACTAAATATTAAATTTGACGCAGTGTCAGGTAAAACAAATGTAAGCTTTAATTAATTTCAACAAATTTTCCTCGAACTTAACAATTTTTAATTTTATAATATAAGTTTAAGATTCATCCTTTTTTTTATTGTATACCGTTTGAATATATGTAAATGGAAAATATTAGGGGTGAGCAGGTACCCGAAAATATGGACTCCAAACTCTGCTTTAAACTTTTAAGTCTGGAAGCATTTTCCAACATACCATGTAATCAAATATAAGTGTTCATAAAAAAGCAATACGTGAAAAATCGTATTATTTTACATTAAAGTGTAGAAAGCATAATTTTTCGACATTTTCTGGTATTAATTCATTTCGTCTATAAATAGTACCGGAAGTAAACTTGTACCAAGTGATATGCAACCCGAAAATACCAACTGAAATTTTTAGTCATTTAAAAAAGTATGGTTCTTCTACTTTCATTTAAAAAAAAACAATTTTTCACATATTGCTTTATTTTCCCGTATGGATCCTTATATTTGACTACATAACAATAACAAAAACGCTCCTCCATAGTTAAAAGTTTCAGATCGGCGAGAAAAATGTCTCAAATAAAGTTTTGGTACTCGAAAATTCGAGACCAATCCGACTCGAGTCCTAGAAAATTATGGATAAAATAATTGCACAGGCTATTGTTCATTCATTTTTATAATTTTACCTTTGACACGATCCTATAGATAAATCTTTCGAAACATCGAACGAAATACTACTTTGAAGAAATGAAAAGTTTCCAAAAATTTGACAACTTAAAAATCAATTATGCCTTTCTAAATAAACATTTTAATTTTCACTTCGATACCCCATTTTTTCAGCATGTTATAGACTTTACGATAACGTAAAAATATTAACAATTGTGTAAAGTAGATGGTTGGGGAATAACAATTATAATTGTTAATAATAAAATAATAACTTAATAATTTAATAATCATTAAAGTTCGAGGAAAATTGAAGTGTACGGTGGGAGAGAAATATTTTCAGTAAATACTGTGTGTGTGTGTGTGAGCTGCGTGTGAAGAAATATGTGTATACGGACAATGTAACATATCGTAAGAAAATATTCATCTAAAAATAAAAAAATTTAAACGTGTGTGAGAACTAACCTCTTCGCGGAGGCGCGTACAGTATTGTGATCGCGCTCTCCGAATTCACGACAAAGCACCAGCCCTTTGATAAGGGTGCTCGCGAATCTGACCCAGGTGCCTACGCTGTTTCGCAGCGGCTGCTGCACCTGTCCCCAACATACAAATGTGTATAATTCATCTGCATCCACATGTATTAATTATTTTCCAGTCCTCGGCAAGTCAGTTATGTATCGCTATAAACAATAATAGCGAATTAAAATTTCACCGAGGCCGCGATCGAAACCGAAATTGGTACCATTTTTCCACTACGCGTCTCTCTACTTGGGCGCCATTTCTCTCACGCATCTACCAATTGTAACAATTATAATTAAATGAAGTTTAGCTGCTTCGAGTTCGATTAATTGTTTTTCTTTTTTTACCAGTTTGCTTTCGATCGTGTCTCTCGCACTTGGAATAATGGGAGAGTAAGTTTTACAAAAAAAGGAAAAAAAAAAGTAAAATGAAAGGCTTTATGTATATACACAAAATTGGTTGTATAGAAATTTCATATAATGAAAAATGTATTAATATAGAATTAATACAAAAAATATGCTGATATAAAAGTATTTTTGGTGTTCGTATTATTGTCTATCGTATTTCTTACTAAAACGATATAAGATAAAGAAAGAGATGAAAAGACACTATTTTTTTATAAGATATACAATGCATTAAATTAATTGACAAAATTTACGATAAATGTTCAATTATGTCTCAAAATTTTTTTAACGAAGAGTCATGGTAACTTTTATGTTAATAAAATTCTTTTTTTTTAATAAGTGACTTCTATTTTATTGTTTTATTATAATTTGACATTGTTAAATCTGTCTTCACAGTTATTTTTGTATAATATTGTAACTCTTGATTAAAAAAAAAATATTGCACACATTTATAATTTGAAAATTATTGGAAATTTTGTTAAAAAAAATAGTGAACTTTTCTTCTCTTTCGTATCTTTCTTACGACATTGCAAGAAACAGGTAATAATAATACGAACACTTCGTACGTGATTTCTCTAGGCTACATAAATTAATACTTATGAAACCTACTATAAGCCATTATTCTGTAATCTAAGTTACAATAATTGTTCCAAAATTAGGCACTAATCATTTTTGGTTGTTTTATATTTTGTGAAATATCTCTCGAATGTTTACAAGATGTGAGCACGCATAATGTGGTAGAGATTTGTATTACTTTAACATAGACTTAAAGCCATGGAACAATCAAACATACAAAAATCAAGAAATGTATGTTACACAAACGATACATTCGTATAATAAAATTTTTCTCAATGTTCTTGCACTTTTAAGGGAACACGAGTATTTTGTACCTTGCGTTTATTTCATGCTACTGTTCATTTTTAATTTTGTGAATTTTTAATCATACTAATTTTCAAATTAATTTTAGCCATTTTCGATCATAGAATTATTAAGATATTTGCGTGTATGCATACATAAGACTTTGGAGCTAGATGTTTTCTATAACAAATATCGAACTTTTTACCAATTTCATTTTTATTTGCACATATATGCCACAGATATTAATTCGATTTATATACACATGCATACGATGTGTGAAAATTGTTCTTCGCACAGTTTGTACTGTAAAAAGAAAAACGAGTTTTTAATTCTGTCGATATGTTAATAGCGTTTCATGCGATTACTATATACATTCGCAAGGAGATCTTTGATCTTCCAAGGATTTCGATCTTTCAAGAGGTATATTTCGAACGACGACATTCTGTAGAATATTTTGTTATAATGCATCTTTTTACTTTTTATTGTAATCGAGATAAATTTTCCAATAATTTTTTTAAACATTTTAAGATTCTGATACTACTGATGTACTTGACTACTAAAACAGAAAATTTCGTTTCAATACGATTGCATCGAAACTTTATATTTAACTGCTATATTTTCATCTCAAATTGCTATAAATATATAACACAATGAATGGCAGGCAAATGTTTATAAATAATTTTCAGAGAATGATATTAATAATACAGCTTCTACTTCTACTTTAAAAAAGTTTAAAAAATTCGTTGCGTTTCGTAATAAAATGCAAATTAACAAACAAAATACAGTTGGTTCTTATTTATTATTATGAACGAATTTTTGTTTCTAGATTGGAAAACAGGCACATTGTCTTATGTAATTAACACTTATCGAACATTATACATTTATATAAATCATGAGTATTCGCAATTCGTTGCTTAGTATACTTGTCGTTTTCTCTCTGAACATCAACATAACACAGAATGGTAAAATAATTATAAGGCTACAATTAAATAATTACAGATTAACATAAACTAATTTGCATGATCTGCGTCATTCTCTATACAATACTTTTGATAGGATACCCTTAATAACCTTAACTACATACTTACAATACATTATGTAACAGTATTATTTTCATTTCTACACGGGCGTTTAAGTATGTTACTTTGTACACCGACTTCAATTACTTACGATATAGCACTGATTAGAATCCTCATAAAAAATAATTATTGCGACGAAAGAAACTGTATTATACTAGATCAAAATTTGTTCCACGAGGTAGGATAAAATAACATTCCAAACGATATCTCCGGCTTACGACAGAAAAATTAAAAGAAACATCACTAATACATATAAACGTATCTGAATCGAGGTCTATATTTCAGTCTATTACTACTCAATGTAAAAAAAAAAATGCTTAAAATGCAGATATTGATGTGTGTTTAAAAATTTATAAACATATTTTTTTTCCAACACATTTTAAAAGATACCTTTCTGTTTTTTTTTTTAAAAGATACAAATTGTGTGTATGTACCATCGAAGTAGTTTTAGAATTGTAGCAATGTATAATGATGCAGCAAGAAAAAAGAAAGGAAAAAATGTTAGAAGCAGAGTTGGTCATTATTTGATATTTATCTCGTACAATTTTTCGAATAAATTCTATTTAATTCAATACTTTATACGCAGAATAATTATTCGTTATCCGATCGATTATGTATTCGAATAAATTTTTATTCTTGATTATTATATGTTATCCGTTGTCCAAATAAAATTTCATCCAACTCTGAAGATATAAAAAAGTAAATTGTTTGAAAGGGGAGGAAAAAGACTTACGCTACATTTTTTTTTCTATATCCGAAAATAACAGAAATATTGACAGAGTTTGAACCCCCATTCTGTATATAAAAGTAAGTCTAATGAAAAATTCCATGGCTGTTAGGTATCTTGACCTTTTAACAATCTATAGTGCGAAAACGAGTAACAGTGCTGGTTTATAATATTGTTAAACAATAGATACTATCGTTTTATCTTTTGCGTGAACATTCAGAGAGTAACAGAAATATTCTAACACCTTGGTATGTTTGGATTTTTTGTTGTGTAACTTGGTCATATTTGTACAAAACATGATAAAAATTATATGCTTGTAAACATGAGTCTAAATTTAATATCAATCAATGTAGGATTAACTTTCATAAAGTGCTCAAGACGTTCAACATCGTATTCGTTTAGAAATATTGAATATTAAAAAAAAGAGACACAACAAAAATGTTAAGTAACGTAAAGAAAAAATGTTTAGACTGTAACGAAAGGCTATTTGAACTATTGTTGTATCGTAAGTATCGTATGACATCTGCAGAGTATACCAAAATAGTCTAGTACTTTTTTAAAGTGGTCTAATCTATAAGGTTCAGGGCATAAGTACTTTAATCCTTTTTTATAACGATTAAAAGGCTGCATCGAATAGAGCGATCAAAATTATAGGGTTCCATTTAAAAAAAGGATGTAGTTGCAGTCAATGCATAAAAATGAATAAAATTACGTTCAATTTATGCATTCGTTCGATGCAGTTTACTTTTGCCTCGCGACAGCATTTTCCAATTGCACGGTATACCCTGTATACAACCAAAATTTCAATGCATTTCCTATGAAGGCGTTACTTAAGGTCTTTTGTACAAACCATCTATCATTTGTTTACATAATATATTTACTTTGTAACAAAGTAACTATTGTCAAATATATTTCTTTGTACATATCATAAATATGTAATAATAAGACACTATTGGCAACATTAATCCAAATATATATAAAGAAAACTCTTATCTATTTAAAAAAATGTACACATATACGGCCGCAATGCTAAAAAATATTGGTAATTTGTATGAAAGCTGATACAATGATCCATTTTTCCATTATACCATTAATAGTACTGATTTAAACTATGATATGACGACTAAAAGAACATGAATAGAGAAAATAAAAATGTATGAAAATATTTGTCTTTTATTTACAAAATCATTGCTAACGGTGTATATAAAAAAAAAAAAATACCGTTTCTACATTTAAATATATTCATAATAAAAATTCTTTTTTCTCTAAGACAAAGTTATTTACAAAATATTTTTTTCACATACCTAATGGATGAGAAAAAAGTTCGGTATATTCTACCTCAATTTCATTTTCTCATGTTTTAATTAATTCAATTTTAATTTACGCACATCAGTCTTTAATTTAACTTCAATTTACTGGATATCCTAACAACATGAGCCCAACTCTATATGTAAATTATGTATTGTATTATTATACCGGATGTTCGGCATTTATATGTCAAAAATTTAACGGCTGATTTTAGAGACCAAAATAATACGAACATCGATAATGGTAATTTGTTAATTGAGACTTCGTTTAAATGATAAAAATTTTTAAACGAAGTCTCAATTAACAAATTACTATTCTTGATTTTCGTTTCATTTTGGTCTCTAGAATCAACCCTCAAATTTTTGATATATGTATAAATGCTGAACACCCTATGTACTATAATATTTGACAGCTTATAGTCGATACGAGTATATGTTTTTATAGAATTTATAAAATCCACTATTTAAAATAATGAATAGAAAAATGACAAATAATTAAAACTAATTAAAAATATGAAAATTGTTTGGATACAACTGAGAAATATTCTGTTTTCTTTTTACAGTGGTAAGAAATTAATCTTTGCCTAAGAGTACACAGTTTGGGATTCCGAGCATAGAAAAGTCAAATAAAAAATGTAGATGTGCATACATATAAATAATACTAAACTTTCGTTAAGAAACCGATATTCGGTAAGATTTTTTATAAATACATTAAGTATTCATTTAATTCTACTTACCAATAAAAAAATTTAATAAATAGTTATGACATCATGATAGAACTATAACAAATAATCTAACTTTTCGTTTAAAAAATTTTTTATATCCCAAATCTGAAGCAATGTTGGAAATATATTATATTCTGTAAAAAAAAAAACTTAAAATATTTAACAATTGGAAATGAGAAAATGTCTCGCAACAATTAAATTGATAATCGAACATATTTAAAATATGACACTGATTGAACAATTTTTGTGAAATTCGTACGCGATGTAAGCACTTTTTATCTTCGAAATAAAATCGTTATAAAAGTTAAGTATATTTTTTATAATCGTGAACGAATATAGACGATTAAAGATTACACATTCAATTCCATTATGTTTATAGAAATGAAATTATTTTCATATAGAAATAATTGTCCGTTCATAATAGCTCTAATTATATGTACTTATTTATAAAATATTAATATACAGGTATTCAATAATATTAATGAGACAGTGTGTCAAATATATCTGTACATTTAAAGTAATTTTATCAGTAAAACTTGGATGAAGCCTTACTGATGAGTCCAACTAGTAGATCCAGGACGAAACGCAAAACGGATTGGAGACATAGATGTGTTTCCAAAAACTGCAAAAGGATTTTGGATACATATTTACGTTCCCAATAATGCTCCATAATATCATAATTCTTTTCATATATTATTCTCTAGGAATAATTGATTTTCTGTTTTATCCTAGTAATTTTTTTATCTGTTGCAATGATCGTGTTATTTCAATTGGCCATATTTACCCATATCCTTTCAAATAGCAAACATATACTGTAATGAAATAAATGCACACAACAACGCAATTAGAAGTTTACTAAAATCTACCGAAACAATTTGAAAATAATGTTCTCTGCTTATGAATAATAACGGTGTTTTTAATACTTGTTCTCACGTGAAACTGACTCACTTCAGTTCATAATTTTTTACCCTGTATACATACTTATCAAAGATTACGACAATAAATAATGTATGATTTTGTTTAATTACTTCATAAATATATGAATATATTAATGCACCAAAGAATCGGACATGTAATAACACATGTACATTCCTCTTTTCGTTCTCTAAAATACAGTAAGTGAAATACAAAGTATGTGTGTCAGAAAATGTGGCATGTTCGAAAAATGAAAAATGAAAAATGTTCTTTTACGCTTGAAAATATAGATAACTATTAGGTGTGCAAATAAATAATCAAATTTTTTTTTTAATTAATAGAAAATTATTGTAATATCTGATAACACTTGTACAGTTTTGTTAAATAAACCACGTGTATTGCATAATTTTCACAGCATCTTCGTCAACTCTGTCGTTCATTGCTCATTGTATATTAATAAATTGTAATATCATAGACAATATACGAGTTTCCATAATCCTACGGATAATAAATAGCAGCCTTGTCCCTGTGTTCGCGTAGTGCATTGTTTATTAGCGTTTCTAGTAACGAAAGGGTTAATAAACTTAACCGCGGTAATCAGCTATGATTCCTTCATTTTTATCTGCGATTCTAAGTAGTTTCGTTTAAAATGTTTAATGTGATGTTAGCAACATTTCATTTTTCAAACACACCATACTTATTGAACACACATTTGATCTATACTTTGTACAATAAATGGTAACGAATGTACGTATAAGATTTACGATAGAATAGATGATTTATCATTTTTATATGTGTGTGTTATATGTATACAGTAAAAGTTTGATATGTTCCCGAAAAGTGGGACCCCAAGTCAGGCACATATGGAGTTGATGGATCAATTCTAATTATAGAAACAGTTTGAAAAGTACAACGAGTAAAAGGGAAGGTCCTTTTTGGTGTATCAATCTTCCCACAGTGGTGGGGATGAACACCGGGCATTTATGTTGTAGATCAATTTGGGCATACATCAAATTTTTACTGCATATACATATATAATATCTGCAATGTACGGATCTATAACTGGTAATGGCCACATTGTTGTTTGAATTAAACGGAACATGGTAAAGTTTAATGCCTTTCTGTATAAATACCGACCCGAGCTAACATAAATATACTAAGCATATGCTTCTACAACGTTTGGTACTTTCATCTATCAAGAATTGCTTGTTTTTTAAATAACAGGACTTTTACCTGTTCGCATTGTATATATTACATTATATAACTCTATCACTTATTATTAATTTGTTATTTCAGAAATGTGTATTGTATCATTAACGCTCGATTATAATTAATAATTAAATAATTATCAAAACTGATACGACTAGTAAATGACTGATTTGATTCTGTCAATATAGGCATTATATGTCATAATAAAAGTAGTATCAACTAATATTATTACCTGAACGATAACTGAGTTATGTTTACTTTTACTAATTGATAAATTGCCGAAAAATTGTGATTTTCCCTATTAATCGGTATTATGCTTTTGCTGTTTCTAACGATAATTTCGTGTGATAATGATAATATGATGGTGGCAACGAAAGGTAATATAATAATAGCAATAAAAATCATAATGATTAACATTATGATGAACGTAATAAGAAAAACAATAATAATATTAATAATAATAATAATAATAATAATATTGATAATAATAAAATAACAACCAATTACACATGCGACGAAACGACTGGTAATATTAATTATCATTATAGTACACAGATAAACAAAAAAATATACGTGCGTATGTATTTTTTTGTTTAATTGCGGAGAACATTCCTTTTCATATCACCCCATATCCCAAAGAATCGAACGAGGAAAGAGTATTTTTATATCAGTGGCTTGAATAATATTAAACACAGAACGTGTCGTGCAATTTTTTTTTTCATGAGAATTATTTTTTTGTGATCTTTTAGAATTTCAACTTTTATGTCTTGAGAGTCGCTGTGAAGCACTGACAAAAAAAATGACATTCCATTTAAAAAAACAAAGATGATACTTTGAGTATTTTCCTCACGCCTTCATCTAAAATGAAAATATTTTTATCGTTAGATGTCCACTTGAGAATTAAATAACATTTATACTAAGAAGCATGTTCTTGAAAATTTTACATTTTTACATTAATTATTTATTTCTATAAAATTTCTATGTATCCTCTACTAACAAATATTTTAAATTATAAAGTTAAGTAGTACACCCTATACGTACGAAGCATTTCGTAATGCATGCGACCCACTTCAGAGATGGCTTAGCATTTAAAGAAAAAAAAAGATAAGATTAATTCAAGTTCATAAACATGCATCCTATTTATCTTTGTTTCTAAGTTATAACATGTTCTGTGTTGCAATAACTCCATCAACAAACCATACTAGCACAACTAATTCAATTCGTCTGTTTACAAACAATGATCAAAATCTTACCGAGAATTGCGTAAACACTATTCCATAACATTCTATGAGTTATTTTAGTTCGTTCCATATAAAAGCATTACGCGACGAATAGCTCAACCGAATTTGATATACGAGCTTGTCGAAATGTGAATAAAATCGTTTGCAGCACGTTCATTAACAATCCTGAAGTATTCAAACAGAGAATTGAAAATAGGTCCCAGAAAATTGTAATAAAATGTTTGCATTGTTAGAGTGAGATGCAAAAGGTAGTAATTTTAACTAGCTATAACTGAAAACTAAGGTAAAATAGGGCATATATCTCTATGAACGCATTATTTTCAAATGCTAAATTCATTCCTGCGATGGATCTCGTAATTACGACGCGCCCGTGTAACTTTATAATTATTATTTTTTTTAAGTAAATGGAATTCAATTTATGATATATTTCTACATAATCATTAGCAACACTTGTTTTCAAACGAGGAGCCGTATTTGCTCAATATCATCTAAGTTACTAATTTCAGTGTGCCATATATGTATATTATATATATGTATATACATATAATATGTATGTATGTATGTATGCATGTAAATGCACTTTTTTCTAAAAAAAAAAAAAATACATTTTTGGACAAAGGAGATTCTCCACAAAGAAACGTTTCTCCAAATATCAGAAAACGCAGATACATTTCTTATCATTTGTCTCTTTCTCTCTCTTTTTCTCACACATTCTGGGTTTTCTAGTTTATTTGTGCTGAAAGAACGAGGGAGATCAAAAAGCAGAAATAAAGGTAAAGAAAAATACTCATGGAGAACGATCTTGCAACTAAGATCAGCGAGCAAACAACCCACCAGAATGATCAGCAGTGGTGTATTCCGTGAGGAGCGGCGAGGCTGCCAAGGCTGCATAATTGGCGTAGTCGGCATATGGCGTGTAGATTAACCCATGTGGATCACCGGCAGAAAGAAGAGATCCTGGTGGACCTGAGCCGTTCAAAAGAGATGCTGCGGTTGTCGGTACAGATATCCGTGGCGAGAGTATTAGTGGTGCTCCCAATGGAGCGCTGGGTGTTCTCATGGGTGCAGCCAACCCTGGAAGAAGTCGCTGCGTCTCTGCTGCAGCTGCTGCAACGCGTCTCCATTCTTCGTCGCAAGCTGAAATGTCAAATGCTACACTGACTCTAAACTATGTTCAGTTAAGATCTTCTAGGATGTTTAGCTACTATCGAAGCAAATAACTGTAGAAACATTAGAAAAGGAAGTTCACGTACGTTTTAACAGACTAAAAAAAACTATAGAAAAAGTAATGATTTTGATTTCATTGTGCTAGGGGCTATAGTGACATATCTACTGAAGGTACATGCCAAATTTGAACGAAATTGATTAAGTAGTTTTGAGCATAGCATTTAAAAATGCATTTAAACAGAAGAGTCAGACCAGGTTCAACCAGGTATAGCTCAACTGAGCAATACGTATAGTATCTTCGTTAATTTTAGGAGTTTGGTGATAAAAGACCCCTTTAAGAGATAAATTCAGCGCGGATGAACTTTTCTAAAGTGTTCTATTATACAACAAAACGACTGTTAAGAAGTGTACCTGTAGCTGCAGCAACCTTCGTATTGGAATCCCGATAGGTACCATTTATGATAGCGAGCTCCATTAATTGTCGTTTTTTTAGCTCATCCTCTCCATCAGCCTGCTAACAACCAACATGATTCATAAGAAATGTATTCATATTAACTGGGGAAATCATACAATCTTTAATCACAAATAGGTCTGTATCGTTTACCTATATTCTAAACATTATTACTTTGATATTATATATAACAATTGAAGAGGCTTTGTAGAAAACAATCTAAGTGTCAAGAATCTAATTTTTCACGAGGAAAACAAATCATTGCTGACTATATTCTAAACAAGATTTAATTTATTTTTATAGGAACATGTTACTAAGACTGTAACAACTGATAATATAAATTTGTGAAAAAAAAATTGTATTTATAGAAAAGCCTATAAGTGCAGCTTACAATTATGGGATTGCAATTTGAAAAAAATTGTCCTCTGAATACAAAATTATTGTAATTTAATTAGAAATATGCAATTTTAATAAAAAGTTTTGTACCCTGTGTAATTTCTTTTTAAATTGTTTATATATCTTCCATAACAATTGATCTAACTATTATTAGTTTATCTAACAGTATTATACCCGGGTACTCCTATATAATATTTTTTAACACAAAACAAAAATACATGGGTACCCAGTTGCCAACATAACAGTTGAACATTAATTAGTTAATTTGTACATTGTTGAGTGTACATTTCTTTTCTTACACTAAATTGCACATGTCATGCAAGGTGTATAACAATAGATGTCCAAAACTTGGTTCAATGTTTGCAAAAGTTGGATAGAAACATTTTTAAATAAGGAAATAATTTTTTAGTCTATGTTTCTCTTTGTTCATGAACAAAACATCTAAAATTAGGACGATAACCTAAGACGAATCGTTGCACTAAACCTTAACAAGTAAAAAAGATGAATGTCTTATAAAAATTCATCTGTAACTACCATACAGTCACACTACGATTATGCGTTTCTTCAAAGATATTACATAATCGTTCTTGAACAAAGCCTCAAACAGAATTACGTTGTTCTCAATATTCTTCTTATTTTGCCAACATTCCATAATGTTTTGGACATCTGCTGTTGAACACACTTATAACAATCAAATAATTTATATCGAGAAATAAATGATGATTATCGAATGAAAATAATTCTGACAAAAGAATCAAACGTGACAAAAAAAAAAAAGTATCGAATTTCAGATACGAATCTCAGCACACCGTAATTTAGAAGGAATACTAGATTTTGCTCGAGGGTGGCGTAACGATAAGCTCTAAACCAAGTTATGAAATCATTATTTATTGTAGTTAATAACAGGAACTTTCTCACCACGGGAACAAGGAGCTTCTTGACTTCTTCTACAGCTCTGGCAAGTTTCAACGTGGCACGATTTTCTGTATCCTCAACTGTCAATAATACATGAAGTTCGTCTGTCAGATGTTCCCAGTTTGGCTTACCGCGGTTTAACTCTTCCTAATAAAGAAATTAGCGAGAATATGTATCATGTTATAATATCAAATTCTCCATCAAATAATCTTACAGCTAATACAGCAAACGTATGTATATCAATATTAATATAGAGTAGTGCCCGCTTAAACGTTCAATCTCAAGACCGGCCGTGGACATTTACGCGGGAAAGTGAATTCTATGAATTTAACAATGGGTACACCCCTCTATTTACTTTGATTTTTACGTGGTCAGATGTATATAGTACATACACATATATTTTCCTATGAGTTTTAAAATTGACAGTTTTATACAGTCAGTATTGGTGATGCAGAAAGAAACTTTGTTGCATTAGGATCGCGCAAGGCATTGCTCTTTGGTCGCTGATTCGTAGTGCAAAAGAGAACAATGTGATTTTGGACGTCGAGAGGGCGATATTGTATTTCTAAAACTTTTACCAGCTCTTATTTCCAATACTTTTCCTTTTATATCGACAGATTCAATTTACACGATTTTTATTCGCGTAAATCGAAGCCACGTGGAACGGATATTAACGTAAATTGAGGGGCGGGTGTACAATAGTGAAATACAATATACAAAGTATCGGTAACGATAGGCATCAAGTTACGCTCGACACGCTCGATGCTCGAAACCGTTTGACTTTCAAAAATGGAGGGGTTAAAAGGCGCCAATGCGGGCACTATTTTTTGAATTTTCGAATCACCGCGCCTCCCTTGTTAGTTTAAAAAGAGCACTTTTGATTTGAAGCGTATGTTTATCGTCGAAATTTTTTAAAATAATCAATAATATCATTATCTACGTAAACATACAAATAAATTTAAATGTTGGGTATAGCAATTGTTCTTATACATATATACATATATACATGTATATTTATACTGTATACTTACGATATAATTTTCTCTCATTCATCGTATGCAGCTTGAAAAACAAAGAATTTTACTGAAGCAACTAAGTACAAACTTTTCTATATACAACATTGTTTTGTATTACTTTTAATGCATATAATACGTGAAATTTCCGAACTTCAAGTTGTGATAATGTCCAGGTTTACATTTTATATAGAATTAAATATTTAAAATGCAAGAAGAAAATAAAAAACATATACAAATACTATGAAAAAATAATTATTGAATACGCAAATATTTAAAATAAGGTAGGTGTAAATAAGTAGAATTTATAAGTAAATAAGAAAGAAGGATTATAAATAATAATTTTGTTCTCTTGAGGAAAGGCCATAAAACGAAATAGGATAAACAATAAAATGGACTCCGCAGTGGCCTCTAAAGTAGGAAGTTAAAAGAGAAACATAAATAAAGGCAAGGACAAGAGGAAGCATCTAAGGATACCACAAGGATAATACAAGAAAATACGTATAAAAAATGAAGCAAAGGAAAAGACAAAATGATAAAGAATAGTAATTGTACATAGTACATAGTAAAAATTTGCTAATGTATTATACACCATAAAAGTAACAAAAATGTTGCAATAAAAACGAATGTTAAAATCCATTTGTATTTCAGATACAATTAAACAATTACTTTACTACAAATGTTTACAGGAACAGGATCTCATTTCCTTAAAAAGCTGATAGGTACACTGATATTGCAAGTATATAAAAAATTGTTGACAAGGTTTCTCCGCGTTCATTCTGATTCAAATTAATTTCGTAACTTCATAAATAATTTATACTACAATTTAAAGTTGCGTTAATGTGCTTGTGACATTGTCGGATAGTCGGCAAAGTAAAATTCAATTGAAATGCATATTGAAATCTATCCTGTCGTTCATTAGAAATATTTGTTCGTGTTAGTATATTATTAATATTATACAGTACATAAACAACTAAGTAATAAAAGCGGTTTACCTTTTTCTTGTCCCTCATAGAACCTTTCCCCCGGACCATTATTTTACAACCCGTTTCTTGCTCCAGTTGTTTAGCCGTCATTCCACGTGGCCCAAGAATTCTTCCAACAAAGTTGAACTGCAAAATAAGAAAGTTACAAGATTATTTATTGAAATATAAAAACACACGTTACGTTTCCTAGATCGTACTGGATAATGCAAACTCGAATAAAACTCGTCACTTTCGACGTTTTATAAAAATAAATAAACCATGTAAACTTTACTTTAAGCGTGTCGAGTTCTGATTTTTAATAAATTACAATAATATCAAGTAAGCTCGTAAAATTGATATCTTGAGTACGGCTTTTACTTTTATCGAGCCTAATAGGTGTCTTATCTTTGATCTACTCTTCTAAGCAAAGTTGATCTACAAATCTTGCTGGCAATCACGTTTTATCAAAATATGAGAACAAATATTGACAATTCCGTTTACAAAATTCAACATAATCTTTGTATTTCGATAAAAAAAAGAAAACAGGATATAAAAAAAAGTGATTACTGTATCTCCCTAAGAACCACGCGAGTTTTCTTTGAAATATTTTTTTTATACAGCAAATACCTACTTTGTAAATTATTTCAAGTTTGTGTATATAAAAAAGCAATTAAAAAAACTTACATCTGGATGTTCTTTAACGGGTACGTAAACTTTCTCTGTTAGTGTGGTGATTTCGCCATCTGGTTCTGGCAAAACCAGTGGCTCCTTTTTGACACCACTGATTTGGAATAGACTCGCCCGTACTTTTGCAATTTCTAAAACAGAAAACGAACAAGGGAATATAATATCTGCAGTATCTTCAAGCATTGTTCAGAAATCCACGAAGACTAATTAATAAACAAATGAATAAAAGAATTGTGTTCTAATAAAACAAGTTTCAAAGTACGTGGTATGATGGAGGCGTTAGCGTATAGCGATTCATCGATCTTGTAACGATAAAATAAACAAACACATATATACAATATAAAACTTTTACTTTTTTCGTTTGGGTAACTCATGAACCTAATCACCCTCGGTCACTTATACAACTTGTTTCGAGTCAACATTAAGCGTTGGGGATAACCATGTGACAAATACCGAACAAATTTTCGCGTATTTATGATTCATTATATTACGAAATATTCTTTGAATTTATAACGAGCATAAAATTAAACGATCGAATTAATAGCGTCATCGTTGATCTACACAGGCTCTCTATAAACATATATCGTTTAAAATAATTATCAATCGGTAGGAGGTACGAGAAAAACGCGACAAGATTTTCTTTACTATTTTTCATGTAGAATCTAAAACAGTGCAAAAAATAAAACTACTTTACGATTCTTCCAAGTCACATTATTATTAACGCGTTTTTTCGAAACACTTGCACCGAATGAACCCTAATCCTATAACTACTTAATTATCTTTCAAATAATGTAATTGAAAATGCTGTAGAATAACAAGTACATATGCTAGTTAACTACTGGGTATTTTAATTCATCACACTATAATTTGAAGAAATAAAATCGGTTAATTGGGGTACCAATAATTCGGTAAAACGTTAAACAAAATCGTTAGGGCTATTTGTGTCTTAAATTAATTGGAATCGCCGTTTAATAAACAGTCATTATATTTGGATTTGTGTTTGAAAAACATACGGTGAATAAATATTTTATATTAGCGCAGATTGTCGAAAGATTGCGTATACAGAACTTTCTCCTATTTGGAAACCGGGTCGAATAAGACAAGTATTTATAGAAACTTATTTTATTGCTTTTCGGTTCGAAATTCATCCCTGAAGTGGTGTCCCACATATTACGAGACATCGAAGCGCATCGTATTTATACTTGGTTTACATATCGTCGCGTATCATTCCCGATAAATACGCGCGCCATTATTAAAGATAATCGGCCAGTTATTGTAACAAATCCATCGAACGGGTCGAAACTAAAACGATATTAAAAAGTTTAGCGATTGATAGAAAATGATTTGTTACGTCACGCCGGAATAAATGTCTATATAAGCGTAGGCAGTAATGTTGAAAGAGTGTTAGTGTTAGTATAGTTGCAGCGTTTTATGACATCACCGCTGTCGTAATTAGTCAGACAACGATCCATGACACAGATCACATACTTGAAAGCGAAGATCATGTTCCAAGAAAATATACAGTTAAATTGTGAAGATTATGCGCTGGTAATTATATTTGTGTTCTGCATCGTTTTTAAAAATCACAGAACTCGATTCGCTCCGAGGCGAGTAAAAACATTGCGAGATGTTACGATGGCCGCTGGATCGAACCGAACGGGGAACATCAGGAAAAGTGAACTTGTGGAGAATCCTGGAAACTTGCTGACAACAAATACTCGTTACCAAAATGTCAGTGATTTTCTAATAGAGTGAGGAAACAGGCTTGAGGTTATTTCGAACGGAAACATTTAAAATAGATCTAATGGGTTTATTTTCACGTGCTGAATGGCTGCATAATAGGTGGAACGAATACATATATACCGTGGTGATCGAGGCACACTCGACTAAACAATCCTCAAAGTGTATCGTGACTTTGTGTGTCCACAGGGTCCACTAATTCTTCGAGGGAGTCGAGCATACTCCCTTCTCTATCTGGGCAAACTCTTCGCTGCTACGGTTACTGGACAAAGTATTTATACAACGCGATACGTTCAGTTTAGACAATAATTATTTTAGTTATAGAAGGTTAATTGGTTGCGAAGATAGGATGATGGGAATTTAACTCAGTTTTCTTATTTTAATGTGCTAATTTCGCGTTTGAAGTTACGCCCCCATGTTGTACAACACCCTGTGTACTCCTATTCGATAACTTATGTATATTACATCGCTACCTTACCCTACTTGCGTACTATAGTCTCATAAATCGAAGTAAAGTTATTAATATTGCTGACTAGATTCGAGCAAATCCTTCATGGCATTGCTGGTTTCGTAACACGATCAAACGAATGAGGAAACATTAAGTATGGATCTTCTTTGTCATTCAGGGAAGTGTTCGAGAACTAGCGTTAGCATTAGGAAAACAAAGTTGCAAATTTCCACGTGGAAAAGCATGAACTTCGAGGATTTTTTAAACAGAAATTTTGTCGAAAAGCTACAATTTTATGCGACATAACATCGAAAGAAAAACAGTTTGTCTGTAAGGGAAAACTGTATTTTGGAGACCCTAATCTATGCACCACTCATGCATGATTTATCGCTTCCTTTTTAAATCAAACTTCATAATATAAATAGCAATCGTTAATTGGGAATAAAAAATAAAATAAATCCAGATAGACAATATTTATTCCGTTCTGGCACAACGCGTACACACCCAGATTACATCTTCGTGGTCGAACCTCTTAAGCAATTCAAAACTTATTTTCATGCAATGAGTCACGAGGATATATTTATAAAGTGGTGGCTAAGAAATTATAACTTCTAACATCCATTTTATACTTACATAAATACAACATTTAAAATAGCGAGGAAAGAAACTGGCCACACACTTATCACCAGATTATACTAATGCGGAAAAACTGCAACTGCCCGTTAGAATCGTGTTATTAAAATAAGCGGTATCGCGTAAACTTGATCTCAAATTTTGAGCAATTCCCAGAGGATTTGTCAGCAAAATTTTCGGTCAGAAATCCATTTGCTGTCGAAATCACGCTGCTATCAGAGTTTGCAAGAAAAAGAGCTGATCGAGCTGTTCTGCGTTGGCAATCTCGTCACAAGAACCGAAGAAAATGGTCGAAGGACAATAGTCGATGAATACTGAGTTGGATTTACTAAGATAAAATTAATTTAAATGAAATTTACAAAAATTATATTTGATTTAATAAACATACTCCTAGTACTAAAGTGTATACTTATACATTATGTTTCTCTTCAACAACTATTTTCAATGATATTAACAAGGGCGGAGACAGAATTTTGTCTAGGAAAGGGTAAAAACGCTAGACTAAAATTTAGTTACTTCTTATTTATTTTTTAATATAATATACAATACTTAAACAATAATCGACATAGTATTGAATATACTTGTATTTTCATTAATTCTTTATGCTACAATTAAAATTTATTTATAAGTATCTAGAAGAGGGGCTAGTTCCCAATTTGCCCTATTGACCTGGCTACGTCCTCGTTAAATTAATTTATTTTGGTTTCCGTTCAAACAATATCTCCAATTGTAAAAAATTCCATATTTAAAACTAGTTGACGTTATTGGTAAAGACATGTACAGGGTGTTCGATTACCCGTTTAGTCATCGTTCGAGGGAGTGATTCTACGGACGAAAATAAAACTAACATCAAGAATGACGATATTCCGGGTGGATGGTTCGTCTTAAAAACAATTAAAGATCCGCCTGAATGACGGCAATTTGCGAACAGCCACGTGCGCGCGAGGTAGCTCACTTCATGGTGCGTCCTCCATGGTAATTCCTTGCTCGAGTCGAACCTCGGCGTTATCTACGATGTGCATCAATAGACGGCTTTATTTACGCATGACAGTGTGAATTATAGCTGGCCAATTCCTGGAATAAACCTCCCCGCTTAAATGTCCGCGTCTGGTCCCGATCGTTGGACATTTAAGCGGACACTACTGTATTATCTCCACTGGCGTAGAGATGCAATTAGAAATCAATCTTATTAGATGGCGATCGTAACGAAATACGAGATTTTTATTTGCTTTGGTTACGTGAGAGATATTTCAAATAGTAGCAGAGCGAACTACATATGCCAAACAAAATAGTAAAAAAGCAACTTGGTAGGTAACGTGTTAAACAGTTAAACTCGGTAGTGATTCCATTAGAGTGTGGCGTGGTATGCTGTAGGTACATTTTATCAAATCGATGGTTCAATAAATATGTCAATAACAAAACATAATGATACAATACAAACGATATAAACATATGAAAATTTTTAATTATCAAACGTCCTATTCAAAGTTTAAATTTGAATTCAATAGACAATGTGTGGGCATATTTAAAAATTAAACTGGTAAAGGAGTATAATGATTCTGCATTTTCATTAACTGATATGCGGTAAAGAATGCAAGAACTCTGGTATAGTATTGCACAATACATACTGTGAAACTTTAGTATCGAGTATGTCAAACTGTGTTCGAATCGTTATTGAAAAGCTCAAGTATTAAACCTGTAAAAACTAAACAGTGATACTACGTATTTTATGTACAAGGTGTGTCGTTCGAATCGACTCCATCGAATCACCGTTAAATATACTCCTAATTGTATAACGTGAACTTGACGAAAACCTAAGTTAAAACAGTAAATGTTGAACCTGCCTCGTCATAATTTACAGCAAATCTGACCGAGTATAGTATAGGAATATTGATATAATGACCCAAGCGTACGTAGATGTGTACGGGTACACATCCAACTCAAGGCAAGCAGAAAGAATGATAAAGAGCAGAATGAAGAGTGGCTGGTCGGAGACAGAGACGGCAGAGAATTCCTTTCACCCTACTTACTTTTCGAAGCTTGAAGCGAGAGCCTCGAATCCGAGGAAGATAATCTGTGCGCGTGCGCGTGCACGTGCCTGTGTACGTCCAACGGGTGGGGGTGGGAGAGTATAAAGAAAGAGAGTAAAAAAAATGCTTGAGTACGAAAGAGACGATAATCGTGGGAATGGAACGAGAGGAGAGTCGAAGTCGAAACGGGCAAGAAGATTTTAAGGAAAACCACGGGGCGATAGAAAAAATCGACGGAAATAAATACGTCGGACGGTATTTTAAGAAAAAAAGGATAAAA